CTGTATAATTCCTTTGTGTGTGATTCAACGTTTTACTAAAAAATGCCAGCGGATGGTTATTTTGCATAAGAACCGCACCCACCGCATAGTCCGACGCATCTGCTGCAATTTCCAGGTTTTCGTCTCCCTCCGGGAATTTCAAAACAGGGGCATTGATGAGCGCTTCTTTTAATCTTTCAAATGCGGTATTTGCTTCCGCTGTCCATGTAAATTTACTTTTCTTTCTTTTACTTACTGACAGTGGTTCAACAATATTAGCGAAATCTTTTATGAATGACCGATAATAAGAAAATAACCCAAGGAAAGAAGACAGTTTCTTGGCGGTGTTGGGCGGTGGGAAATTCTTGATTGCTTTTATTTTTGAATCTTGAGTTTCTATACCCTTTTGCGAAATTTTATAATCCAGATATTTAAGTTCTTTAGTTGCGAACTTGCATTTTGAGGCGTTAATTGTAAGACCGGCCTCTTTTAATAATTTAAACCCTTCTTCTAGATCTTTAATATGTTGTTCCAACGTACTACTCGTTATAATTATATCATCTAGATAAATTAAAGTCGATTTTCCTAGGACAGGCTTTAGAACAATGTCCATAGCTCTCTGGAATGTTGACGGGACCCCACACAACCCAAAGGGCATGCGTAAAAATGCATAAGTGCCCGATTTTCTTATAAACGCGGTTTTATGTACGTCTTCGGGTCTCATAGCTATTTGATAGTAGCCAGACGTTAAGTCCAACGTAGTCATGTATCTCGTAGATTTAATCTTTCTAATAATTTCCTCTATAACCGGCAAAGGGTAAACTGAGAATTTAGTAACACTATTAAGTTTTCTGTAATCGATAGCAAACCTCCAAGCCCTTTTGTCCGAAGGAGGAAACTCGTTCTTTTTCCTACATAGTACGACTAGACTCGCGTACTCACTATTTATGGGCGTCATTATTTTGTTCTTTAACATTACTTGAATATGTTCTTCTATGATTAGCTCTTTCTGTTTATCATAGCGGTAAGGTTTTGTCCTACAGGGTTTGTCGGCAGTTAACTGTATCTCATGCGTAACTATTTGACAGTTACCAGGCCGTTCTGAAAAGAAGTTTGAAAAAGTACTCACCACTTGCTGGATGGCTTGACTTTCACGGTCATTCAAATGGCTAAGTTCAACTTTTACCACAAAAATTAATATCTTGAGGCTTTCCTCTTTTACCTGTATGTTTAATGATACTTTCCCGATGCAGTGACAGGTTTTTCCTTGCGCCACTATAATTTCTTTGTTTTAGTTTTTAAATAATCGTAACCTATAAAAATTCTTTTTGAAGAATGTCTCATAAAATTACCTTCTGCTCCTGTATCGATGAGGGCTTCTACTGGTACATCGCCAACCAGGACTTGTATAATTGGTAGATGTGAGTTTTTTACGATGACCGTATTTAAATGTCATTTTGAGGGTTTTTTAAAACTTCCGGTGTCTGGACCCTCGCTTTCACAGGCCCCTCTACTCGTTTAAAGCTTTCCTTTCAACTTCCGCCTTCTGGGTACGCGGACGTTTGTTTTCAAATTTCCTTTTTGGGCCTTGACCTTCGAGGTTCGATGAGTTAGCTTGATAGCTCTTTCCCCCATAAGAGCGGTTTGCATTTCTGGTTTGCTTATTTGAAGATTGCCTTCGGGTACTTTGAGAATACGTTGCCCCTCTAGCTTTTCCCGCTATTCTGCGATTTTGAAACTTCACTCCCAATTCGAAAAGCTCCTGCAATGCGTTTGGGTTTCTAATTTCGAAGTAATCTTGAACAGCAGGTAACAATCTTGGTAAGATTATTTGAATAATCTCCGCGTTGGGTTTCTTCCCATCCAGCATATCCGTCAGCTTAATTTTTCGCAGAATAAAGTCCGTTAATTCTTCCATATCCCGTTTATAGAAACTATATAGTTCCGCTTCTAGCCTTGCTCGATCTTTCACTATGGGGAAGGCCTTTAATAACGATTTTTTGAAATTTTCAAATGTATATGTCTGGCTTCCAAATTCCCCTAATAAAAATTTGCCTATATTCTTCCACCATAGCGCGGCCTGTCCTCTTAGTGCAGATGTGGCGATGGCAACGTTTTGTCTTTCAGGCACAGGGTAGAGCTGGAAGTGATTTTCTAGGCCTTCTAGAAATATCGCCACCGAATTTTTTCCGTCGAAATTGGCTTAATTGAATTTTTGGCTTAATTGAATTTGGCTTAATTGACGCTCTCAGCGTCTGGACCAGGTATCCAAATCCTTCCAACTGGCCTGCCATTTATTGTTGTTGTCCCGCGGCTTCCATCCGATTTTGGGCCATTTCAGTTCGACAAGTGTTCGGGCGCCAATGTAACGTTGCGCGCCTCCAACCTGCACGCAACAAAGTGGTGACTGCTGAAACTGGAAATTAGACAGAGTCTTGCGAAGGGTTTAAGTCCCTTTTTATTCAACTTAAGAAATTACAATTGCGTGCTCTTGACGCTCACAAACTACGCCGACCCGGCGGTAAAATCAAAATAAGAACCTGAAAAGAAATAATAACAAGAGACTAACTACGAGGCTCTCTAAACGTAACTAACCTCACCGCGTTTTACAATACCGCTGCTAATTCAGCAAACTCTGAATATCACGTTGAAAGATTAACAATTCTCCGAGACAAGCACACAGGCCGAAACGCGTGGTTCTTCAATTTCTGACTAACTACCTCCGCGCTCGTGAAGTAAGAACAGCCCATCTCGAACTCGTTTCCTTTCTATTTAACTCAGAATACTTCCGATGATAATTTGAATCCTTGCGCGTTCTACTAAACATTTACATACTCTGGCATTGGCAGTTCCAGGGAAAAGTAAGGCTTGACAGGAAAGATAGTTTAAACTTAAAATAAATGTTAGTTAAAATAAATATAAACCCTACAGGCATACTGGACAAAATATTACTGCTGAGCTTTGAATAGCTATTGTGATGGGACTGTATTAGAAAACACCTTGTGTTTGGCCATGGAATGGTGAGAATAAGTGCAATTAGTTTCGTCTTTCGATAATGCTGTTTGTCTCAAATTTCATTGTTCGAAAAATATTAGCCCAAAACGCATTTGTATTTTCGTGCTCATTCCCAGGATTTAGTGTATTTTCTTTTTTCCAAAAGTGAAAAGAATTTAGAGAAGGCTACTTTGATGATTATTTCCTATTTAAATATGTGTGAAAAATTTAGAACTATGTTCAATAAATTGTTTGATATCAATTGTACGTATATTATATATACCGTATTGATACGTATATATACGTATTGATACTGATATACACTGGTTATCATAAATTAAGAAAAAATCACAAAAATCACAATTACTGAAAAAGTTGCATGTAGAATTTTATGAAACTTACCCACAATATACAACACATAGTAAGGTATGAAACAACATAAAAAGAAAGTACCGGACAATTATGGTAATATAGAAATTAGCACATGTATAAAATGAACAAATCGAAGATGTCAGTTTGCTATAGTAAAAGTACCTTCAATATGGAATATAATCGTCTCTAGAAGCAATACAGAAATGTGTGATGCTTTCAATTATGCAGTCTATCAGTTCCATAGGAAGCGAGAGCCATTGCTCTTGCAAAGCAGTTGCAAGCGCGGCAAGGGTCTGAGGGGGCAGATTGAGAGCAGCTAGACGTCTTCCTAAAGCATCCCAAACGTGCTCGATAGGATTCAAGTCCGGGGATCGAGCTGGCCACTCCATGCGCATACTTGTTTCCTGTTGAAGATAATCATATCCGATGCGAGCCTTGTGTGGTCTTGCATTGTCGTCCTGTAACAGGAAAGCATCAAAGCATCACCTATTGCCCTGGCATATGCGCGCACATAAGCATCAAGGATGTCATCTCTATAAACATGAGCATTCACGGTTTCCCTTGGAAAAACATGTAGGTCTGTGCGTGCACCCAAAGAGATGCCATCCCAAACACAGACACTGCCTTTTCCGTATGCATCTCTTTCACGGATGTTTGACGGATGATAAGGGGTTCCAGGTTCTCTCCATATCAAATAACGCCTACTATCGCGTTCTAGACTAAACCTGGACTCATCTGTAAAGAAAATAGCCCTCCATTGCTCAGGCGTTCAGTGGACATGTCGTGTCTACTGCAAACGGTCTCTCCTATGGCGTGACTTGAGCAGCACGCAAATGGTTGTTCGCCTCGCATACAAACCACCTTTGTGAAGCTTCTACGCACAATTGACGTTGACATCAACCTTCCGGTGGCTGCAGCAAGGGAGGATCTAAGAACAGTCGGAGTAGCGGTTCTATTCCTGAGTACATATAATGTCCAATATCGGTCATCGGCGCTCGTCATAGCAGTTGGCTCTTTGGATGAACCTCCTAGGTGCCGAATCTGTGATTTGAAATTGCCTCCAAAGTCTATGAACCACAGAAGGACTCACATTTAGCAATCTGGACCCTTCTGTTTGACTTTGTCCTGCCTCTAGTCTCCCAATGGCTTCCTGTCGTAGTTATGCAGGCAAATGATGCCTAGAGATCATTGTTACGAATTGTCTATCTCAGATTTCTGATGTCACTATCACAGTGAAATATGCGGGCTTGCTCTCAAACATGGACTTTTATGCTCCTCGCAGATGACGTATTCCGAGTGCAGCGCCACTAATTTGCATATTGAAGTTTTACTCAGTTACTCTTACTTGGCAACATATTTAAATTTTACACCGTTTGGCTCATTTTTGATGGAGTTATTGCTATTTTTGTAATTTTTCCTTAATTTACGGTAATCAGTGTATATTCGTGATCGTGAAAAGCAATTCATAGATTCTAGAAGTTATTTTCAATAAATAGGAACCCTGTTATATTATATTACAATATTCCATTATTTTTATTTAGCATCATTCTTTTCCAAACTAACGCACTCTGTTAACGTATAATTAAGGTCTTAGTAATTTATATATGCATATGGGAATATATCGTAAAGTTAAACACTCTAATTATCTCTTTCAGCTCCTCCAAAATGGGTGATTCAACCGTTTGATATACAGACTCAAGAAGGGAAGACAGAATCTGTGCCATGTAAAGCAACAGGAGTGCCATCTCCAAAAATAAAATGGAAATTTGGTTAGTTTTCCTTTTATGTTCTTAACTTTATTTTAATCGGATACTAAAAAATATTGTAAATACCGCAAAAATGAAATATGTGTAACTGTGTATGATAATAAATTTTGCAGAAGTATTTTCTTAATAAAATAATGTTAATTTCTAAAATGAGGAGTCTGACACTGCCCACGTGGGTAAAAATGTCAACGATTTGGTTGGCTGCATGGGCAATTTCACATATTTCTCCATGAAAGAAATGTGTGTAATATAAATCCAAATCAATTTTCCTTAACGCAGTCTTCCACGAAAGTCGTCTTTTAATTAGACGGATATTCCTCGTACGATTTTTCAAACTAAAATTTATTAAAGAAGACAAAGTTTTAAGTTCATTCGTACATTGATAAATTATTCCTGCTTTATAAATTAATTTCCAGAATCAAGGAAAATTATTTATTCTAGAATCATGGGTTAAGAATTCGCTTAATCTATGCCTTCTGACGAAAACGTCTACATAAAATAATGTACATATTTTAAAGTTGATGGTAAATTATATAGAAATAAATGCAGAGAATTGACATATATTGTAAAAGTATGAAACCAAAATTGCAAATGAGACTACTATATTTTCAAATAAACTAATTTTCAATTTCAAAATAATCTGAAGTTTCAATTTCAGATAACTTGAGTTTCAAACATTCTAAGTATCAAATAATCTAAGTTTCAAACAATCTGAGTTTCAAATAATTGTTAAGGCTTTGAAAATTGAGCATAAAGAATAACTGTTGCTTGTATTTTGTTCGATAGTTTTGACTGAATTTGGTTTTGTTGGACTTAAAATTCAATGTATTTTAATTCAGTTTGTGATAAAATGCAATGTCTTTTAATAATACATGAATGAGGAAATGTATTCGACTTCTTATGATATTGTTTGAGGAAATGACCTTATTTTTAAATTCACATTTTTTAGTTTTCAAGGATTAAGCTTTTGAAAGTTTCGTTCATGCAATTATATACGATTATTTGAATGACGTGGCAAGTATGTGAATGGTCGAAATTCATGAATTTAGTTATTTTAAGAATTACATTTTTAGGCTAACGAAATGTGTGTATTGTATTCTATGGTTTAGATCTTTAATAAATTTAAGGACTGAAAAAACATGAAAATTAATGTTCAGGAATATAACGTATTATTAGATGGATGCTTTAAGATGAAAATTTTTATTTTCCCTTCCTTTTTCTTTAATCAAGATTATGAACTTCAAATGACTAACGAAATGACTAACGATTATGACTAACGAAATGTGTGTATTGTATTCTATGGTTTAGATCTTTAATAAATTTAAGGACTGAAAAAACATGAAAATTAATGTTCAGTGAATATAACGTATTATTAGATGGATGCTTTAAGATGAAAATTTTTATTTTCCCTTCCTTTTTCTTTAATCAAGATTATGAACTTCAAATTAAATAGATGAAAATCTATACATCCATAAAATAACGTTGAAGATGACCAAAGAGTAAGTAAGCAAAAAGGAATTTAGGATTCTAGCTAACATCAAGCTAACATCATTGTATTTAACAATGACAAGTGCTATAAATTACAACATAAGCTATAAAACGGGAATATGTGTAACATAGTAAATAAGTAAAAGAAGTCAGGATGCAGGATTCCAGATGGAAATAATGTATAAATTAATATGAATATTAATTTTAATCATGTCAGTAAATATGGAATAAAATCTAAAACGGAGCATAAGTTACGTAAAATCTCCTAACATCATATATATTTATCTGCTACATATTTAACGGCTTCTGAAGTTGACTGTATTTAATAGAATTAGTGTTATTTAAAATATAGAAAATAGTTTTAGCTCTCAAATTTAAATGTCTTCTATATAACAGAGATATTAAATAAGAAAGATGTATGATTTTTAAATCGGTTGTTTGGATAATGAAGAAATCGTTTACTTAATATCTATTAACTTTAGAAATAATATATATATATTATACATGAGTTATACGTATATATATATATATAAATCAAAGATTATGTTTTCAAAAAGCTAAATATTTATGAAAATGAAATAAATAACATGTCTGGTGCTAAAGAAAACATTCGCTTGGACATTGAAACGCTTAGACATTGAAGGACCATTGAACATTCGCTTAGACACTGAATGGTTCAAAATCGTGTAAATGATAATTTCGATAAAAATTTAGGGAACATTAGTACTTTTGAAATAGTTAAGATATGCGATTCTTATTTTACGACAAACTGGAAAGCATTCAGTGTGACTATGCACGGTTACATTTTCTTATTTTGAAATCTGAATAAATTTTCTGACCTTATCATTGTGCCGAGTTGATGATTTAGTATTGTCTATAATTTTGTAAACATAGAAATCAAATTGGTCTGAATAATATTAATTAGAAGTATTAGAGAGAAATGTGTGGTTTCCACTGCTATTTGGTATAATATTTCAGGTGAACAAATGGAAACAGAAATATCAGAAGACTCTAATCAAATGGTTTATGTTTCGAAGAACGGCTCTTTGGTGTTAAATAAGGTGGATTCTTCTATGAAAGGTTCTTACACATGTGTAGCTGATAACAATTTTGGTGCACCACTGAAGAAAATTATCTTTATATCAGTTAGTGGTAAGTTAGACAGGTAAAAGTTTTTGATTCAAATTAGCTAAGCAAGCTCATGACCAAGCACGCTCAATGTGGGGGACCGTGTTATCAAAATTTTAATATTTATTTTAAATTACCTTAATATTTGTATTACAGGTTTCCCTTTTTTTACCATGACTATAATGCTTATTAATATATGTGGGTGTATAACTATATACATGTCATGGATATTAAACCTCATGTGGTATTCAAATCTGTCGATATATGCTAATTAAAACTTATTTTTATTCTTTAATTATTACATATGCTTCACTAAGGATTATATAATTAGATGACAGATTGCGGATCCTAAGATATTATCTGTGACAGGTGAGTAAATGTAATTATGCTTTTAATGTTAAATTTATTTTTTATATTTTAGCGATTTAATTAACAATACGCAAAAAATAACATTTGAGAAATAAGTTTGTTTTTAACAGGAATTTGGTAGCATGATTAATTTGAATTAAATGTTATTTTAACACTTCTATTGTGCATAAGAAAATTTGTCTTTTATGAATTTTCGAACAGAAATAGATATGAATTCTTATGTATATGTACATATACATACATCATCATTCCCATCAGTATAGTATTAATAATATCATTCTATTTTCTGGCATCTATTTATCTATCTATATCTATATATAACAGTAATATTTTACGAAATGAGTAAAACGAATGTTTTATTATACAAACAGATGTAAATAATGCAGAATTAGTTGCAAAAATATAAGAAATGAGTTATGATTACAGAACATGTCTAGTTATTCTAATGATGTAATTATATATCGTTCTCTTAGTCTGAAAAGATAGTAAAAACGTAGTTAGAGCGTATGGCTCTCAGTACGTATTTCAGGGACTATTAGTTGAAACGATAATTTGCAAAGAGTATCTTTCAGTCATTTAAAGCACATCAGTGGGTCAGGGAGGAATATTTTGGGATGTTTATGGGATAGAAATCCGTTTTTTCACTACCTGTGTTATATCCAAAATGAAGAGTAAAATAAATAATTATGCATGTGTAGGTGATCATCTGACTATTGAGTTTTTCTTTATTTATCATATGTTGCTCAATTTAACGCAGTTTTTCTAAGCTTATTACATTATTTCTTTCTTTTCTAATATTTAAGATCTATTTTGTTTTAATTGTTTATATAAGTAATCTTAAAGCTAATTCACATATTTTTTAAAATCTTCTTTCCGTTATGCAGTGATAGAATCACCAAAAATTTCCATTTTTAAACCATGTTCAGAATAAACTGAATCACATAATTTTATTGGCAGAATAAATACCTGAAATGAGGATTTCTTTTTAATTCTAATAAGCCCTTTGGTTAAAGCATACTAAATTTTTATTATTCGTAGCATAGTAATAATTATATATTTTTTGCTGATTTTGACAGCGTTCAAAGGTAGCATTATGGTATGAATGATGGACATGGCATAAATCTCGTAATGAAGTGCGTCTTGATTGTAGTATACTAGAGTACTGAGAATGATATTTGTAATAGCATAAACTGTTGATAAGGAACAAGCCATGAATACTGCAAAATGAGCTCAAAATATTTCGTCTCTCTCTCTGAAACTATATTTTCTGTATAACTGTGTTACTTGCACGTTGTAATTTGGCGTTCTAGATACTATTATTGCTTTGGTAGCAATTATAAATATTTTGTAAATTTGCAAGAGGGAATTATCATTGATTTTAAATAATTGATGTTTTCAAATACATCAGTTAAAATATTAGGGTTTAATGATAAATAGTCAGTTAAATTAAAAAAAATAAATCCTATTATTTAGACCTGCTTGAAGAAGATACTTTCTCGAATTTCGATTAAATACTATTGAAATTATAGAATTGAAAAGACATTTTTGATTACATTGTTTTCCTGCTTTAGAATTCATAAAAGTTTTGATGTCTTAATCATGTTTCAAATATAACGCAGAAAGAGTATTTCTATGTAATGCACCAATAAAAAGTCTAATTTTGCAATACTCTCACTTTAGAATAATTTAGCTACACATATAATTAAAATAGTTCGAATTCATATGTTTTTTAATTATAAATTTTTTATTACTTTCTCCGATATGTGGCGCTGTAAGCTCGTCCGTCTCATTTGGATGCTGTATTTTGATCGCCATGTTTTATTGCATTAAAACCTTTCGTTTTCTTTATATATAGTGATTGTTTTGAGCTGCACCTAGCAACAGACCAGGAAAATTCAAATGCGTACACATGAAGCTCATTCGAAGAAGAACATGCTGTTCAGGGATTAAGAATTTCACTACAGTTATTGAAGTTATTTTAATAGCGTCTGTTTTCAATGTATCGGAAAGCGGTGGTAAGTGCGTACCAACAAGAGTTTAAAATTGCCTTCTTTTCAAATGTTTTTGACTAAAAGTAATTTTTTTATGTTTTATTACTTGAAAAAAGTATTAATTAATTTTTTAAATATGTTTAATTAAAAAAAAATAACTACACTTGATTAATTTTTCCGTTTTGCTTATTTGTATTAGTTTTTATTTATTTATTAATAAAAACTAATACAAATAAATTTAATAAAATTCGAGATCTTGTACTATTTGCTAAATTAACATTAGAATCTGCTAAACCGTAATTTCCATCCAACAAGAACAAGTTTATGCGATCTAAATGTGCATGTAGAAAACGTTCATTGCTCTCATAGTTACTTACTATTATCACGTGAATCCAATATCTTGCTTTCTGTATGATTATCTTATTTCTTAACCCTCTGATAGGCTCGGGGTTTTGGATCTGTCATAAAGACCTGTACATAAAGAGCCTTAATTAGCTAAATTTGTATATTTACTTACTTTTCTTAAATATATATATTATTTTATATACATATTATTTATATTATTTCTTATATACTACATATATATAAGTTTACATACATATATATATATATATATATTCTCAAATATTCAGGTACCGGAGTCTTTTCTAGAGGATTTCAAAACCTTATAATGATTTCACAAATCAATTAATGTGTTCCTGAAATTAATGTAACAAATGTTCATTGCGTCGTTCAATTTTCTTAGACACTACGATTTAAAGTTTGAAATTTGAAATTTTCAATATAAGGAAATTGTGCAAATTTAAAACGAAAATTTCAATTAGGTTATTCAAGCGCATCATTATTCTTATATTTATAGGATTGAAAATAGTAATACTATGCTACTTACATTTTATTTTGCACTCTGAAGTTTTAAAAGCATTCGGAACAATGCTCATACCTTATGTAAAGCAAAAGCACATTCACCAAAGTATTCTTGAATTTGAAATTCTTATAATGAAACATGTTTATAACGAAAACGAAGAAAAATAACGTATCATTTTCCAAGATTTTTCACTGGTAGTTTTATTAAGAATTCATTTAATTTGCTTGTTATGCTATATTTTACTATAGACCCACCAATGGTTGCTGCATTTAGTTTTCCTGCGGCCTTGAAAGAAGGAGAGCGAGGAAGTGCGGCATGTACTATCAGATCAGGGGATACTCCGTTGGAATTCAAGTGGTTGAAAGATGGACAAGACGCTGAGGAATTTCCAAACCTTAAAATCCAATCTCTCATGGACTCTTCTTTACTAGTTATTCCTTCCGTTACGCCAAAAAGTTCTGGAAATTATACTTGTATTGTAAAAAATGCTTTTGGAAGTGATCGGTATACAGCAGCTGTGGCAGTTACTTGTAAGTTCTAAGATTTAAATACTTTTGATTTCGTAAATCTGTTTCAGAATGACATAATTAAAAGCGTTAAAGTAATAATAATTGCAGATAAAGTATTTCTAGTATTTATGTAAAAATGCCAAGTTTAGAACACACTCTTTTAATTTTTCTGCCTTTTGATGGTTATTGGATTAAAAATTCTAATTTAGAGACTGAAAATCTCTTTCAGATGATTCTCTTTCACCTTTTGACTAAATGCGGTATGTGTATAAGACTTTACAGATTACATAACAGAATATGTTGTATAATATTTGCATCTTATGATTCCGCAACAAAGATATCTTGCTTTCTAATAATCATTAAATTCCCTGGAACTAGAGATTAAGATGAAAATTTTAGCATATTGATACAATAGTTTTTAAAGCTAAATTATTCATATAATTACTTAAGCAAACTTATAATTTAAATCAACTTCTTTTCGAAAAGAATAGTTCAAAATATCTGAAATCGCCACTATTTAAATGGTTAAGTTGCTCTATTAAAATACGTAGATATTTCCATTTTATTTTATGACATGAATAATGTATGCTAATTAAAAAAATTGAAACAACCTCCTTTAACAAAATTATGATAAAACGGTAAATATTTAGTATGATATTAACTGTAAACAGTTACACGTAATGCAATTTAAAAGAATTAGCCTGTGCGAATGAAATTATCTATATGAATCTTAAAACTGAGAAATATAAAAATTAACAACAAAAGAGTTCTATCAATTCTCAAAATAATCTGAGATTACTGTTTTGATTAATGTACATTTAATGGCAAAGAATAACCATGTATAAGCAACAAAATTAAAAATAAAAATTTAAATTATCTAAATTATTCTGTATATTAAAACTGATATCAGAAATTGCAGTTCTCATACCTGCAATGTAAACGTTTGTTTAATTTATTTATAATACTTTAAAATTACGATTGATCTTTTGACTGGGAGTATTACAATTACCTTAACTTTTGTCGATCTTTTAAACGCTGGACTTGGTCAAATGTACCGAAGTGATTAAATTGATTAAACCACTTGGAATTCATGCCGTGATGTCTTATTGTATTTACAGTAATATGATCAGCAACAAAACGTTATAAAACATTAGTATGCTTTACTTAAAAAAGTATTGGGATATTACTTCAAAAAAACTTAAAAAAATACTGGATAAAGTCGAGGAAAGGATCAATCTTTCAATGAATGCATTTAGAATTTTCTGAAGTTTTTGTTCTAAAAAACCATACGCTCTGCTTTCCCTAAAGAATCGTTTTAGTCTTGTAATAATACTTTATATTTTTAAGTTACAAAGCGTCAAAGTGTGTCTCTTTTTGTGGGAAAAAAAGAAGAGATTGATGGTAACAAGTTTAAAAAACATGATAGAGATTTTGTTCTTTTAATCAATTTAAGTGAATTAAATTTTATGCATTTTATTTTTTTTCAATATCTTTTAGCTCCTCCTGTATGGAAAAAAGAGCCATACGATCTGAGCACCATGCAAGGTGAAAGCGAAATTATTCATTGCGAAGCTACTGGCGTGCCTACACCTTCAATGAAATGGATGAAAGGTAATGAATATTGTCATAAATGTAAACTTACTCCTACTAGTTTTATTCTTAAAACTTTTGCTGTGTATTTCACAGAACATTTCTTTTATATAAATAATACATCACAGTGATTGAAATGTTTACACAGGTTTTCAAAGAATGTTATTTGTGAAGAAATGAAAGCGTTTTTACATATCAAACAAGGCTGCGTTAGCGGTGAGCACAAAATCGCAATGTAGTAGAGAAGTACAAGAGCTAGAATATCATTTGAAAGTTCTGTAAGGAAAAATATACAATATAGGTTTTCTAACACAGTTTAGCACAGAACCTGTTTAGTTTGAGAATATAAATTACATCCATGTGCTGTGAAGTAAAGTGGAGTAACAGTGAAGACATTCGGAAGAAACCCTAAGTAACCGTCAAAAGCAAAATGATATATTAAAGTAATCCATAAGTCGTTTTAAAAAGATATATCCTCGATCAATATTTTAATTTATATGTGTAACAAGCAGTTTATTAAAAGAATAATATGAATTTGTGTTTGATAATTTATTTAGCCTTCTTGGACTGCATTCGACTACCATACCATAAGAGTTAGCACTGTCGCTATTTACACGATACGAATAAATTTTTTTCAAATAACCTTTTTTTAGTCCAAAGGGATTTGAATCCCGAAGGACTATTATTTTCGTTTTGGCATTTTGCGTCGGACTCATAAATGTCGGTTCACTTTTCAAACTGTTGCCACAAAATGTTAGAGTCCTGCATTATATTTGAAGAAATTAAATAATGAAAAATCTGCATAAATGTATGTATATTTCTCGCATTGTGATAAAACAACGGTACATAGAGTCATCGAATTTTGAATAACGTAATCCTCCAACGAATATGAGCATGTGGAAGACCAAATTTGAAATTTGAAATTTTTTTTATGATCGACTTCCTATTTTTTAAAACTTTGACGAATTTTTGATTAACAAACTCAAGGATTTCAAAGCGAGCAATGGCAACGTTGTGCAGAAAAAACATTTTTATCTCCAGCGCGTGAGTCTCTGTATCGGAAATTCTAAAGATATGCTCGTTTTAAAACTATTTTGCGATATTGCTGTTGCACTGGATCTTATGGTTTAAGTGCGAGGAACATGATATTTAATAAAGAAAGGTAACACACAAAATGTTAAAAATGCCCCTTTGGACGTAATTAAAATCTGAAACATTTCAGATTTTTTTTTTCTTTTTGCGAGTTTTGCGAGGTTTTAATACTGGCACGTACGTAAATTAATCATTGTGCACGTAAATTTGTTACTGCATAAATAATAGTAGTTGAATTAAATTTATATGTAAGATATTTGTATTATTTTATCGCAACAAAATTGAAAATATATTAATAAATTTTAGTACTTAAATTAAAATATCTTAACAAGGTTATTACAGATATTTCCTAATTTAAAAGAATTGTTTTTAATTCTCAGGGGAAAAAGGAATGGAAGAAATTTTATCAGATGATATTAGCTCAAATATCAAGTCGCTCCTTAATGGTACATTGTTACTTAGTAAGGTGGAAGCTTCCATGGAAGGAAGTTATACTTGCACTGCAGATAATGATTTTGGTGCACCACTTTCAAAAACAGTATACATTACTGTTCGAAGTAAGTTCCTAATGTATGACTGCATTGAATTTTTATTTGTTTATTAAACATGAGATGTGCTAAGCAAGTGAGTTTTCACTATTTACTGCAATACATGCTAAAGGGAATAACTATAAGAATTTACAAAATGTACGGAAATAATTTGCTAAGCATTTTCTTTTAAATACCCTAATGTTCTGAAATATATACTAAAAAATGCTGCAAACTTATTCAGGTCGTTTTATATAATTCTTTTATGAGAAGAAATGGAAATAGTTTTACCAATTTACAGTTCTATTAAAGCTGCAGTAAAATTCTTCCTTTACGGAAACACTTTACAATTTATGTCTTTGAAAATATTATGTAACATTTTCATTATGTAAGCTGTATAATTTCTCCGTCAGCTATCAAGAATTAAGGGAATTAAAAATATTTTTGTCATTTTTCCTTAATTCTGTGATTTAATCTTGAAGCGTAAGGTTAAAAAAACAGTTTACTTCAGAATAATATACTTCACGAATAAGCATTACATGTGCAATTGAATACTGAACAAATGTATCTGTTTATAAGTTTATGTAAATCTTATATTACATTGCTTTAATGTAAATAAAAATTATACTAACATTTTCTCCGATATGTGGCGCTGTATGCTCAGGCATCATATAGAGAATTTCAGCAAAAGGCTACCGCCATATTGTGTGCTGCTAAAAATTATATTTATTTCACTGTAGTTCTGCTTTATTACATGGTATCAAAGTATAATTTATTTTGTCTTTTTTAAAATTTGAGTTAAATTTTGAGCACCTGACCCATACTGTACAGAAGAACGTATGAGATGCTTCCATCAGGAATTCTAAATTTTGTTGCTTTGTGGACTTGGTTTTCGATAACCTATGCTGGAGGTAAGTGAGGCGATTTACGTTATCATACTTTCAGTTTATAACGTCTATGTTGTATGTTTGGATTTAATAAGTACCATATTGTAATTTACACTGTATTTCAAAAGTTACCATGAGAATGTAATGGATTCCTTAAGGAAGATCTCAAAATATTTGCTTATTTGCTTTTAATATTTACCGAATTATTTGAATATAAGAAATACAGAAATTATTTAAAATCTGTTAGTCCAAGAACTATTTAAATTTATGAAAAATTTTCAGAAATTTCCTTTCTCTGTTTTCGAAGGTATTTTAACATACCTGTAATTATTTTAAATTAACTTTAAATTAATCTTAAATTTGTACGACAGAAACAGGAGGAAAGGTGAAACTGATTTACTGATGAAGAATATTGAGGTTTTTCTGAGAAGAATGTTAAAATATTTTCTCTCTTTTAAAATGATTGGAACATTTTTAAATGTTGATTAGTCGAAAAAGATCAATATATTAGTTAAATTAATATTATGTTACTGAATTTTAGAGAATATACCCGTCATATTTATCTTAACGCTATTTGTATATTTTTTAACAGTGATGTATTTTATATTTTTTGTCAACTGCATTAAAATTGCACGAATTTAATGCTACTGTAAGTCTTGTAACTATTGAAAAATTAACACTAAGAAAAGAAAAGAATGTAGTCATACGAAATGGGTTAGCAGACTCTTGGAATGATTAATAATTAAATTTTTTATTGAATTCGTTACACATCAGTTATACGCAGAAAAATCCTATTACGTTAACGGATATTCCAATAATATTTAGAATAACATAAAGATATAAATTACGGAAAAATACATATGTTAGTTTTAAATTGTTAATATAATTAAGTAATGTTCTGTTTTAAAGTAAAATTTAAATGAAAGATCTTATTTCCCAGCGAATTAAAATGCTGAGAAATTGCAGTTGGCTAAGCTGCGCATGGTTGCTTAAAGATCTATGCCTTGTGGAATGCAATACTTCTCTGGTCGCGTAAATTTGTTGTAACATAACATAATGTACCGATGCTGACAAAGGAAAAGACTATGTATTAGCCACTTTAATGCCAAAAGTTAAATTAAGTTAGATTAATAAGAAAACATTTATATGATATTCGCTTAACCAACTTAGCAGGAAAAAAAATCAGTTAGCGAATATCAAATTAAATGAGGTATCTATATGCGAATAGATATAGGTAGATAGATAGGCAGTATTTGTTCTTTCTTCCTATGTTTAAAATTGTTATTGAGTATGTTGGGGATTACCCTGAATTAAATTATGTGTTTTTGTTTTGCCATACAGAATCTCCCGTAGTATCTCCATTTATATTACCAGATGCCCTTAGAGAAGGAGAAAGAGCTAGTACAATTTGCACCATAAGATCAGGAGACAGACCTTTGGAGTTTGAATGGAAGAAAGACGGAGAAAAGATTTCTGAATCATCTTATCTAAAAATACAATCTGTTCCAGATTCTTCTATATTAGTCATTGAATCAGTAACTGCACAAAGTTCAGGAAATTACACTTGCATTGTAAAGAACGCGTATGGTAGTGATCGATTTACAGCTGTACTAACTGTCACAGGTGAGTGAAAAATTTAATGAATTCTTACTCTAAGCACGCGGGTGCTCCCCAAGTTAAACTGCCTTCACATTCTTTGAGATAAAAACCTAATTTTGATATAACACAATTTAATTTAAGGATATATTTTAGGCGACTCACGGGTGCATTACCGGTTTGGTATTGTCTGCTTTGATTTTGCTGTGATTCTTTCCCAAGATTTTAATTAGTCGTTTGTCACGTTATTCGTAAACACGAACAGGAAATCCCAGTTAGCAGCAGACGGCTTCGCTAGGACCGCAGTATCAAAACTAGAAAATGGTCCGAATACAAATTCGATACTGAGCCTTTAAAAGCTTGGAAAACTCTGCTAGTGATGGAGTACATAAACATTAAGATGCTATTAGACATCTGTATGCTGGATTTACTCCCTAAATAATAGTTTAAATTTGAAAGGATATGTAATGAAAGCAAACTTAAATGTTATTTAAGTATTAAAAATATAAATGTTTTCTTGAACTGTATAGTTTGGTATTTTATGACTTTAATTACGATACTCGAGTTCGGCTAGTTTGTAATTAGAGTGTTATTTTCTAGATATATTTAAAAAACAAACTAAATGGTCTCTTTATTAATCATTTAATTGTTGTTTAGGACTAATCATGGGATTGGTTAAACTTAAAAAAATAGAAGGAATAGAAAATGACTTATTCAAATTGTTCACAGTTCAGCAAATGTAGATTCTGCTTTATATGTGTATATAGGTTTCTTTTTTTATCTTCTTTTAAACTCTAATTTTAAAATATTGGGAAATGTTAGAGTTTACGATTCGGAAGGAAGCGTGCCAAGATCATCAAATGGAATATCACTATTTATTGTGGCTTTCTAAATTTCAAATACAGACTGCTCCAAACTCAGGAATCAAAAATTGTCTTCTTTTATGGATACATGAAATGACAGTATGTTTGACTCTTAGATTGGTATATTTTATATAATTTACACAAATTTTTATATCTTCTCCAAGCAACCAAAACATGCTTGTTTTATTCTGAGATTGTTGCATAAGCAAAATACAAACTGATGATTTCTCTTTTCACTTCTCTTTGCCAAAATCCTCCTCGAAGCCATCTCAAAGCCAAAATTTTCTTCCAACTTTTTTTCCCTTATTGAAAAATGTAATAAGTTAGGCATTTCATAAAAACGAAATAGAAAAAAGTACAATTTTGTTCAGCAGAGAATACTTATAAATACGTTATGTATTGAAGTTTTGCATATAATGAAGATTTTGCATGTACCTTGAGCTTCGTAATATTCACTTTTCTTATTTTGATTGTTTATTAGCGAGTAAGAAGTTTTGTGGCGATTATGTGAATCGAAGCCTTTGTTAAATTTTGCAGCAAAAGCAACGTTACTTTCATGTAACATTTTCTGAAGCTTGAAATAGCGATGATTAAAAAAATGTATTTTTTCCGCGCAGAGCCTAGCTCACTTTTGCCCAGCTTACAATCTTCCGAATCGAATGTAGTTTCCTTAGGTTACTTAAACCTTCGCTTTTCTCCTTACACTCCCATTATTCTAGCAAAGTATTTTCTCAAAAAACCTTCAGGGCATACATTTTTATCAGACTGTGCAGCTGATCAGTGATTTATATGAGATAATTTTCAAAGATGCTTAAATTTTGTTTCTTCCATTTAAACCTGGAATCATAAATTTGGTTAAAGGGAGAAACAGAAGCAGCGAAAAATGGTGTGTTTGAAACAGTAAATGTTTATCTAAGATTTTGAAAAGCAAGAAGGATTTAAAACAAAAATTCAGGATTGTGTACTGAAAATTCAAGACAAAAACGTTTGAGAAGTTTACACTGATATGGACGTATATACTTCTTGAAGTCGTTTTGAATGGCTCGAAGGAGCTAGAGGAAAATAAGTTGCAACAGTTGGACATAAAAGATTAGTAATATATTTTAGAATTCAGCAACAGTGATGCAGAAAGGGTCGCCAAATATACATATTTTGTGTGCTTTATTACGTGAAAGCAATATTACGATGGTTACGTCACCTGAATGATGTCATGTTATTTTCTTAAGTCTATTTGCTGAAAATGTACTGTTATGGACAATGAACTTATTCATAATTTGTTAAAAACTAGCCGCAGTCTTATTTCACTTTGTGAAGTTTGTTACGGATATGAAGTTAGAAGTTTTATTGATTACGACAGCGGAAACTTTGGCTTTTAAAGAAGAAATATGCAGTCTTTTGAAAGACTTCTAAAGTTAAATTAATTGCTATATTCAGCGCAAGCATGTGAAAAAAAAGAAATTTTCTTTTTAAAACTCACAATACTTTAAAAACAAAGAAATTGAGTGCATTTTATACTGTGATATGAGTTCATGGCAGAGGAAAGGTTTTCGCAATGGGTACATAAAATGAGTCAGTAATAGTTACACATTTGTCTTATAGACAATTGTAAATGTCACTCGACTAAGTTTGTCTTGAAAACATATAACTATCGTGATTTGATAACTAACTCCTCAAGCAACTTTCAGCTTGTCAATCAAATGCATAGTTAAGAATCTGAAAGTGACGTACAGTTTAAGTGTTTCAAAAGTTTTTTATTTAGTAAGTTTGGAGCAAGAAATGATGTCGTCTTGTCTCAAATAAAAGGTTTTTCCGGAAATATGTAAATTTTAGAATAGGTGTTCTTGGATACAGGGAGACAAATCTTAGTTTTAGAGTCCCTAATAAAGGTAAGAAATGATAATGAAAAAACTTGTAATTATCTAGGGCAAAAAAGATTGATTTCTTTTTGATATAACGTACATTGCAATAATTAGATACTCCAGAAGCAGTAGAAAACATATACGAAATAGCTGACGAAATCTAAAACAAAAAATGCTGACGTTTCAGAGAGAGAAAAGGGGAAAAAGATACCAGTGTAGAAAAAATAAAATATTTCAAGCCTTATGATTTCATTTACAGCTTGTTAGATTTAATTTACAGCTTAGGAAATCTTTAAAAACTTTTAAATTAAGAGGTATTACAGTTGCAATATTATGCGTAAGTAGAATATTTAATATTCTTTTTAATACCACTGGTGTATTGAGAATACGACAAAGCACACTAGGGCTATCTGCTTAACGGGAGGGGTGCCTTCGTGGAGGACTTTCTAAGGGAAACTGGCTCGTATACACGTTACACATGGGAGAAACCACGAAAACGCCCATGCAGCCAGCCCGTTCGCATGATTCGAACCTCGGACCGAACTACCAGTGTTCAGCGATTTTACCGCTCTACCGCTGGTGGGCCCTTAATACCATTGGAAATCCAAACAACTGACACATACAATGAATTTTCAATAAATCCAAATATTTTATCAATTCACATTTTTAGTTTTCGCAAACTAACATTATGAAGCAGTTTCTTAATGATTAAATTTGTATTACTTATTAGCATGCTTCCTTTATTTAAATTTATTGTTTTTCTTTGGCTAATATACCATGTTTCTTCGCATATAGATATATCGAATATTTTTAGTTACTTTCAGTTTTATTGCAAGTGAGCTCGACTTTATATTGTTACATATTCCATTAAAACCTGATCCATAGTTAGTTGTATTCACATATGGGAAATACAGAAACATAACAGAATTGATAGAAGCTGAAATAAGAGCTTCTACCAATATTTTTGATTAAATTAGTGCTCGACAAAGTAGTTAATTTAATTAAAAATATCACAAAACTTCGGTTAACTCAAACATCTGATGTTTACTCAAAAATATAAAAAATTATTTGGTTAAACATTATTTACATGTAAAAAGGCAGTCAAAATAATATATATTATTCTAAAAATAGTATATATTTTAATATCTAATAATAATAATAATAATATATATTTCAATAAAATAATGAATAATATGTAAGACGAAAATAATTTTTATTAACAATTTTGTTTGAAACAAAAGTAGTTAAAATTTTTCTAGAAGATACTTAGCCATGAGTGAATAATGGGTAAGATTTTGTAAAATTTTAGACATTAATTATCTTTCGTGTTTTTTGGTCATAGTTCCTCCCGTATGGCTGGAAGAACCCCAAAGCGTATTAACGCAAGAAGGTGAAACAGTATCCATTCCATGTGCTGCTACTGGAGTTCCTGCGCCTAAAATAAAGTGGACATCAGTTAAGTAAAATTTGCCTTTAACAAAATGTAAAGTCAAATAAAAAAAATTTAATTTTCCCAATATGTTTGAACAGTAATGCATAATATTTCAATTTTGCTCTGATTTTCTGACATACTTAACTTTTATATTTTACATAGTATCCTTACGTACAATGCTAAGCAAAGAAATGCCAGTTTATAAATTTTATATTTTCTCACGAAAAGAATAATCATGATGCTGCAAAGCAACTTTCATTATTGCATAATGAGCATTTCATTGTAAGATGTGAATAACTGAAACAAAAATGCATTTGACTCTATAAAATAATCTCATATCTATTGCTCACCAACAGGAAGCATATTTTTTGCGTATAAGTTACTAAAATGATGCACAGAAATTTAATTTTGGTGAGAAATGAGAACCAGCGACACCCGTTAATATAAATGACAGTTTTCAATAAGTATTTCTTTATTTTGAATGTTATTTTAAACATTACTAGCTTTTCAGATATTCTTACAATAAGAGTTTCTATGTTTAGGTGGAGGATTAAATAACGTAATATCTGATGAACCAACTTCAGCCATCAGGTCATCTCCGAGTGGAGCACTGATGATAAATAAAATAGAAGCGGCAATGAAAGGAACTTATATTTGTGAAGCCGACAATGGCGTGGGTAAATCACTTAAGAAAACGGTATCAATTTCTGTAAGAGGTGAGAGATTTAAAACCTTTTGTATTTCTGTCTTAATCCTATGTGCTGAGCAGGAATCATGTCAGTAATGACAGAATATATAATAAAGATGTTTTGCTGTTGAAAGTTTTATATTATAAATCAATACGCACTATTACACGTGAAGGCAAATAAAAAAGGAAGTAATCATTATTCGTTACAGTTACAGTTTCATGAACTCATTCATTTTTACTGTAGTTTTAACTTTCTGACAACTTATATGATTATTTGATAATTTTTGTGTACGGATTTAGTGTTTACGATAAGCATAATAACATTAAACTTACGCTTTAGTTTTACTCATTGTTTAAAGTACTGAATATATGTCGGGCTGTTTTTTTGTGTATTTAATTATTTGACGCAATTTATTTCACATAGCTTAATTGTGAAGTAGTTTTCTTGACTTTCAGTATTATTATTAATCTATTTAATAATATTGAAAAAAATAAAGAAGTATTCATATTGGCACATTATGTGAAGACAATTTATTGTTAAATTTTATTATTTTTCTCCGATATGTGGCGCTGTGTGCCCGTATCGAGTCTTGAATATATGAACGCCATATTGCATAAGTGGTATGAAGAGCAATGTTAAGTGCATTTTAAATCATTAAGGACATTTCTTTGTATCAGACTAGAACGATTTGGTATTTTTGCTTATAAAATGATGATTAATTTACTGTTTAAGCTAATTACACATAGAAACTGATGTTGCAATATATCTTTCAACACAGAAGATGAAGAAATTATTGTTGGTGATTACTTTCATCTGTTTCTGTACTGCGAGTATCGTGCATGCAGGAGGTGAGTTTCATTTCATTCTTTTCCGTATAAATTTCATATGAAACTAAATGCACTTCGTAAAAAGGTTTGATGCATTGTTAGGTAATTAACGACTCATTTTTATATTATTTTAACATTAAAATACAAACTACTAATAATGTTATATAGTTAATTAATATCTTTTGTAGCATAAAAATATGGTATTCCCTGATGAATGTAATAATTGCGATTGCTCATGTAAGTATTTCTTTAATAAGGTTACATTTGTATATTTCTGTGTAATTGTACATATCCATCTGTAATAATCGATTTACTGCATATCATAGCAATATCTTCTATTATATATAACTTGTTGAAAGCAGTTGAATGGAATAATTACGCTAATAATTTTTAGTAAAATTTGTTAAGGCTGCTCTGTATAGCTTAAAATCTATCAGTTTTAATTAAACATTTATTTCATATTAAATGAGTATCTCGTTTTTTAATATACATAAGATTTTTCAATGATTTTCTTAAAATGTTCAAGTATGTAATCTTGATATAAAAAACTTTTAATCTTGAAATGAAAGCATTTCATGAAAGCTTTGTCATATAGAGCTTCAAAATGCTCATTTTTCTCAACCTTTAATTAAATATTTTTTACATTCTATGCACTCGGTGACTGAATAACTAAACTAAAAAAAATAAATATTAAAAATCAATGTGATTTTCGGTAAACATTTCACAATTTTATTTTGAATTTGCGAAAATACATAAGCAGATGTTGTTCAAATAAATGACTGTAACATTTTGTAATGACCATTATTTGTAAATTTCAAAATCATATAGGAGAATGGCGTGACCATTTCTGTTTTAGAAAATTAATTCTACTTTTTTAATCTGTGAATATCTAGATTTATATTGTTTTATAGATCGATAGCATTTAGATCACCAACAAATTACATCAACGTTTTTATTTATCAGGTAAATTGCTGTTCCTTTAAGCGCAATTCACCTGTTAAAATGCTATTAAATGAACACAGCAATACTCCTGACTATATACAAAAATAAGAACAAAATTTATATACTAATTAGTAAACTGTAATCTAATATTGAAATTTATATTTATATAATTTTTGAAACTTATTTATTTGAAATTATGTATTTGTTTTACTTTGTTATTATCAATACATATTAATGCGATTGTTTAATAAAAATACCGTAAGGAAAGTTTTAATTTTCTGTAAAATTTCAGGAATTCATATCAAATAACTAGACAGTTTAATTAAAAAACGAAATTTAAGAATACACTTTTATTATATTCATAAAAAGTTCGATTAAATTTCCGAGTTTTGAAATAATTAGAAGATATATTTGATTTCAGAAGCACCTGTCGTAGCTCCATTTATTTTTCCTCCTGCTCTTAGAGAAGGAGAAAGGGGTAGCGCTACTTGCACTATAAAATCCGGTGACAGTCCATTTCAATTTGAATGGCTCAAAGATGGTAAAGAAGTTAAAGAAGCAGCTCACATCAAGATTCAGTCTGTACTTGACTCATCATTTCTGGTTATCCAGTCCGTCACATCAGAAAGTTCAGGGAACTACACCTGCATTGTGAAAAACTCATATGGCAGCGACCGTTTCACTTCATCATTGACAGTTACAGGTAAGAATTATGTCTACTATGTACGTTTTATTCCTGTATAACGATGCAGAATATTCCTAAAACTTAAGTTAGGAATCGACTTTTAATCCTATTTGTGTTTTTAATGTGATCTCTTGTATCAGGCTTAATAACAATGATTTTCAGAATTTGAGTTAAATAAACGGCAAAAACATTATTTTTGAACAGACGTTCAGCGCAATAGTGTTTGATACAATGAAGCAGAATGTATCACAAGAATTCCCAAAATATTTAGATTTTCAAAATAATACCAAAAACTTTACATATAGAAATTATACATTTTAAAACTAAAACATGATTTCCTTTGGAGCATAAGTTTACTTAGTATTCTTTACGTACATATTTGGCATAAATATTTAGAGTAAAAAGAAAACTGTTAGACAGTTAATTTAATACAGTTCATTTTGGAAAAGGGAAATCATAGAAAAATGGCAAGCACTTGCTCTGTCAAACAAAAATTTAAAATTATTTCTTAATAATATTCTTCAATATTTTATTGGAAGTTTATCAGCTGTTAAAACAAGTTTTAATCTTTTCAAAATGGAATTGTTTAGGTTTTTCATAATTAATATCTAATTTGTTTTACAATTAACTTGTATCATAAATTTCAATTTACAGTTTAGAGATAAATGCTTTATTTTTTAATTTCATATTTCATTCACTACCATGTAAGAACAATTAGGCTTAAATTTAGATTCGAGGAGTTGCCTTTAATATTTTAGAATAATTAAGCGACAATCAGATATGTATCTTCATGAAAGGGGTGTAGGTGTAGATATGTATCTTCATGAAAGGGGTGTGCTTAGGGTAACTGTCTTGGCAGAATATGATATTATTTTTCAGATTAATGTAATTTATATGCCAACATTATTGTCTTAAAATTTCATTTTCCTTTTCTCTGCAGCCAAAGGATGTTTTATTCAGAAAACATTTCCTGTTGGCGAATTAAATTTCCTGGAGGTGTTTTACATCCATGAAAATCATCCAGTTCTAGCGAATGATCACAATTCTAATCCGTCTTTACCCTCAGCTTGTTAAAAATTATTTCGTAGTTACTTTAAATTTTTGTCAATAGTGGCTTCGCTAACGGCTTCTTTTCCTTTTTCTGAGTTGGAATGTTTTGAAGTTTTTGTGTTTATTGTTATCCTGTGAGCACATTCTTTCCTTCTGTCTTTTTCACTCCAGCAGCTAAACGAAAGAGATTCTGCTTAACTTCCGAAACTATAGTACTGCAACTTACTTATAGTACTATAGTTATGCAACTTACCCTGATTCTTGCTACTAAAGTATGCTTAAAATATCTTTTGGGCATACTATGTTTTGCTATAAATGAATTACTGATATTTAAATAACAAGATTTCCTTAAAAATAACGCATATTCTTCCCTAAAAAGAGTGTTTACAATCTGCTGTGAAATTGATTGTTTCATTTAAAATAGTTAGCTGCTTTGTAATGCACTTTTGAATATTTTGAAATAATAACCAAAATTAGTATTAAACAGAGATATCTGTTTATTAGCCCCTCCAGTGTGGCTGAAGGAACCAGCTGATGTAATTGTTCAAGAAGGCGAACGCTTAAGCATAGAATGTATGGCATCTGGTGTCCCAGTTCCGGCTGTAAAGTGGATATCAGGTTAAGTATCAATAATGTATCAAAATGAGACTTAAAACAATTCTGCAACATTTTGAATTTCTTATTTTTATACAAAATAAGGTTATTACTTAAATAGTTTTAAAATGAAAATATTTTTTAGTCAATTTTGAAAATATCTATTAGTTATCATGCTACTCATTAATCATAATGGAGATTTTACGAACTAAAATAGATATGAAAGAGAAAAGCTGCTACTAAACTTATAAGACGACGAAGAATTTACTGAAAAGGCAATGACATTTATATTAGTCTGGTTTACAAGGAATTCAAGAAACATTAAAAATATAATATTGAATAATTATTTAATTAAATTAATAATAAATTAATTTATGTAGTCAGCATGCGTCTAAATCTTGGTATCCTAATTCAAGTCACAATCCAGTATTTTTTAAGGAAGAAGCAACTTGATTTCTCTCAGTAAAATAATACAAAACAGTGAAAAGGATTTTCTAGAACTTCCCAGAGATATCAGAATAAGGTTAATGAACTTTAGATAGTAATAAATTTTAACTGGATATTATTAAGCAATCATTTTTATCACACAGAAAAAAAATATAGAAATTCTCATACTTTTTTAAAACTCTTTTATTGTATATTTTCATTCGCGTCGGAAGTAGCCCGGTAGATTCTAAAAAATTTAATGTAAAAAAGTTATTAATATACTAACTTGAAAATAGTAGGCTTTCATATGAAACTTCTTAAACTTTATTCTTATTTGTTACCAGAATAGTAACGGAACAGCATCGCTAATTTGTTATAATTCTGAAACTTTAATTTACTAACTTGAAAACGAAAACAATATTTATAACATTATGCGAAAATTTCACTGTTATTTTTTTAACTCGATGATGAGAACGGAGATAAAGAGAGAGATTAAATGTGAAATTTTGTTTTAAATCTGTCTTTCGAATTGCGCATTATAGTCTATTAAGAAGTACTATACTATCTGTTTGAAGAAAGTATTCTATTATTTATATTTCGATAATATAATGATAGGAATATCATTGTGTAAAGCTTTAGGCAACTAATGTGTATGTTTTAATTTTATATGAAACGAAAATATTCTGTTTTTCTCGTGGGAGAATAATTGGCTAATCTTCATTTAAGGTAGAATAATATTTAGAATAGAAATCTTCAAGCTCGATTTTTAAACACTATCTAACATTTAAAAGAATTTTAGAATTTCTACCTGCAAATCATCCAGGAAAACATTTCTTATTAAAATGTTAGCAAAAGGTAAATAAGTTACATGCTATGTATTTGATAGGAATATTAATATTAGCTTAAAATGTGAACGAGGACGCAGAAATCTCTCTCCTTAATCATTGTATTATTGACTTGTAAATGTTTTCTCATTTTTAACTATATTTGGCATCTAGTTTACATCTTACTATAGTTTTTATTTATCAAAGTGATATTATATTTATATAAATATTCAATGTATTCAGAATATGAGCATCGCTTAAGTATGTCATAAATTATTTTAAACAGAAAATGGACGCAACGAAATATTTACATCTTCCAGTGATATTTCTTCAAGGATAGCAGTATCACAATCTGGAGCTCTGGAAATATCTAAAGTTGAAGCAAATATGAAGGGTCTTTATACTTGTGAAGCAGACAATGGCTTTGGGAAACCACTGTCAAAAACTATATCTATATCTGTTCGTGGTACGTAATATAAAAAAATAACATACAATGTGTTCTGAGCGAATGTCATGTCAGGCGACTTAAATTATGAAATTGTATTTTTATGTATGTTGCTTGAAAGCTACTTTAACTATGTTGTTAGACATTTTTCATGAATATGATCCTCAAAGGAAATTCAGGAATAAAAAAGACAAAAAAAAAGAAGCTATGCATTACTCACAAGGCATTATTTGAGAATGGACTAAAGCTTTGATTCCTTAAAATTTGAAGGTAAGTTTATTTCTTCACGTATTTCGAAATGTACTATATTATGTATAATTTTAACTTCATTTAGATGTTTGTAACGTCGTGTAAGTAACCTATATTTTCATGATTTCTTTTGAAATGTTTTTATGATTTGCTTAGCTATCTAGTAAAAAAATCTGAAAGTAGGTTTCAAGAATTAATTCTGACTACACATAATAGAACATATCTATAAAGGACCCTTTTTATACCTTTTGATATTATTAGACTGATCTTCGATTATAGCTAAATTTCACTAATCTAGCGGATTTTTGGTTTTTAGTTTGCATCACTTTTTACTTGCATCTCTTTTTAGGCTTATATATGTTTATTTTGAACATTCTTTGTGGTAAATAATTATCAAAACATTTGGTATAGTATGTATTTTAAAACTAGCAAAAATAATCTATTTCAAATTAAAATAGATAGAAATATAAATAATTTTAATGAATTTTCTCAATTTCTAATAATAATTTGAATATTGTTTGAAATATCACCGATATGTGGCGCTGTATGTTCACTTCGAATTCTTTATACGCCATTTGTGATATGTTCTATTACTAAGATATGCAGTAAAAGTATCACAATGCAGCTTCGTAGCATTGCTTGTAACCTTAAGATTTGACATACTATTTGAGCATATTAACTGCATTTCCATATTAAAAAGACAAAAGATACATATTGGAAAAATGAAAATTATTATCATTTGGATAACCTGCTTTGTAACGGTTAGTGCAACTAGTAAGTAATTTTTTAATACTCATTTTTGCTATCTTACATTTATACATTGTAAAGTACTACAAATAATTACCATTATATTAAATTATTGTTAAAATAATCTGAAATTTTCTGAGGTAAGCTGAGTTCTGATGTTAACTATATGTTTTAATTAAATGCTTTAATTTATGTATTTTGGTTTTACAAGTGAGATATTATTTTCTGTAACTAAAATGTACTCATAAAAATATTTTTGTGAGGGAAGGAAATTTTTACAGGAATGTTGAGTCACTACTATTTAAAAGCTGAATGATTCTAAAAAGATATTATATAGTTGTAAAAATGTGCGTTTTCCTTGGGAATATTGCTTCTTTGCTTTAATATAATACAATATTTTTTATTCTAAAGCATTTTATATGACATTGCAATTGCTTTGTAAATTACAGTAACTGGCACGATCGCTTATTAAAGTGTGAAACATTAAAAAAAAGCTTAAAAATGTTTAAATAATCTTTTCGTTTTAAAAATGCATTAGGTATATTGATGACTTTATATAACTGGTGATCAGTTAGTCTTTGTTAGTATATTATTTTCTTTTTATGCTTGATACTCACCATTTAAACTACAATACTTCTTATGCAGTTGAACATTTGAAATCGTATGAGGTCGAAATTTAAAAGGGATTGCTTTAAAAGACTTGCAATGGAATAAAAATTTTAAGCATTTATGGTTCCTCCCTTCTAAAAGTATACATATGTTTCTCTAAGCATCCGAGTTAAAAATAAGTGTTAGATTGCTATTTAATTTTCATGACTATATATATATAAATGGGACTATTTAAGCAGCTTTTATTTAATTTCGAGAAAAATGTTTGTAATAAGAATGCATGTTGCTTTAGAAAAATATCAGTTAAATATGTATAAAAATTAAATTTATCCATAAATATCTACTTCAATATTTAATAAGTGAATTTTATTATATTTATTTGTGCTCTGAAAAACAGTAGAAAAACGCAAATAAGAAAGAATTCTTCAAACAGAGGTATTTTCCCTGTTCTTTCTGAAACCACTGTTATTAATTATTTTTCAATTTTATTAGGTCTAATGTTCAATGAAAGGAAACGCTTTTTAAAAAGTTGTGGTAAGCGCAAATCTAAATTTGGAACTTTTCAAGAAAATTAAGCGAAATAAATAACAATTAATGCATGGTGACTAGTTTCTGTTTACCGGTATTTATATTCAAATAGTCCTTAAAATAAAAACATTTCTTTACTTCCTTGCATATAAAAATAATTGTGTCATTTTGAATATATCTATGAAATAAAAATTTGGTAAAGGTATTAGTTGTTGCTATTACTATGTGATATTTACTTCCTAAGTCAAAAGTAACCGAATACAGATTTTTTTCTTCCTTTTTGCTTAAGAAATTAAGATTTTGCTATTTATTCTCGCAACGAATTCATAAAATATATTTATAAGATTTTAATCGTCAGTTATTGTTTATTTTTAAATACATATTCTTTATTAGTTTTTTAACTTCATGAATTGAATTGGCTGTGAAGGTTTTCAGAGTCAGTGACAAATTACAAATAATCATCACATTTTTGTTACTTTAAGACACTACGTTAATGAAAATTGATTAAGTGCCATGTAGTTTGCTGAGTAATTCTTTTTCAGACGCTGAACATTCATTTTAAATACAATAAGCTTAAAATACTCAGATTTCCTTTTGAACTCAATTTTTAAAATTGAATAAATTCAATATTTATTTAATCATTTGAATGACATAAAAATATTTTTGCCTCAAAATCTCAGATACTTTTCTATTATCATATTTTGCTTAGATCCTCCAGTCGTAGCTCCATTTATATTTCCACCTGGACTCAAAGATGGCGAAAGAGGAAGTGCCACTTGTACTATGCGTTCAGGAGACAGACCAATCGAATTCCAGTGGATGAAAGATGGCAAAGAAATAAAAGAAACGAACACTGTTAGAATACAATCAGTGCAGGATTATTCTGTCTTACTCATTGAATCAGTGACATCTGAAAGTTCTGGAAATTATACATGCATTGTGAAGAACGCATTCGGTAGCGATCTCTACACTGCAAGCCTTACAGTGACAGGTATCATTACGTGTTACATAAATAAACCAAGATTTGTATACTTTGAGACAACTACTGGATTTCTTACTTTTTGTCGATAGAACTTCTCTCGCTGCCTGAGCACTTTATTTTATCATGAAGCAGTATTAAGTTTATAATATCATTGTTTATGGAAATAATGCAATTATATTTGTGAAATGAACATGCTTTAATGTATTTTCATTTTTCTCAGCTCCTCCAACTTGGATTAAAGAGCCGAAAGACGTTATTACACAAGAAGGTGAAAGCTTAACTGTAGAATGCTCAGCAGAAGGGGTCCCTACACCAAAAATCACATGGACTTCAGTTAAGTTGTGTTTTAAAACAATCTGTTAATGTGTTATTAATTAATTAGATTAATTAAATTAGATTTCCGATTTTAAGATAACCCGAAACTTCACCCTTTATATTTTATTCTATATTTTGGCATAATTACATTTACGGTATAAAGATACATCATCATCTTTCCCAAAATATCATCTTTTCGACCAAATCAAGAATTGAACAGTTAAACCCTGTAATAAAGATAAATTTCTACACATTTCGGGCTTTGGCTGCATCATCTGGCCAATCCTAGAAATGAACAGACTTCCGACTTTAAATTTTTGCATATGTATGCACATACTTATTTAGGCAAAACTAAAGGCATTTCGTTGCATTTTGAACTTTTTGGAAGAACAGATGTAATTTTTATGTGGTATAAATTTTACTAAGTTATGCTTTACAATTATATCCATTGCAATGTTCTGAAACAGGAGACGAAGGAAGTTTGGCCATTCCTGCAGAGCCTTTGTCAACAATGCGGATTTCTTCTTTAGGCTCTTTGGTAATTAGTAAAGTGGAAGCAGACATGAAAGGATCTTACACTTGTACAGCGGAGAATGGGTCCGGACAATCACTTACAAAAACAATTATATTATCTGTACGTGGTAAGTGATGAATGGTAAGGTTTTGCTTTAACATTTATTGAAGCATCATGTCAAATATCAAAATAGAGGAAAATCATAATATGCGTGTTTGAAATATTCGGACTAATTTACGTTTGTTAACTGTACTTTGTTAGATGTCAATGTTATCAAACATATACTTATTCGAGTGATATTTGTTAATACCATTTCTGTTTTAAGCGACTAATAAAGTTTTGAAAGCATAGAAATTCTAATTTTGATTTCTTCTATAGAAGCAAAAATTGATATGTTCTGTAATACGTTTTAAATGGTATTTATAAACATCGCATTATTTTTAAAATTTCAGAAATGAAATTTGCATAAATTTATACAAAACACACAGTCACATATTATTTGAAGGCACTTATATTTGTGTTATAGTAAATAATATTAAAATTTTCACCATACATTAAGCTGTATTCGCGTATCATAATACGTATTTGTGTGTCATAATTCGTAATTCGCGTATCTTTGTGACTCGATAAACAGAAAAACGTTGTATATTATTTTATGTTTATTGATATTTTCAAAAAATATTGTGCAGTAGACTGCGGGACGTGATTCTTACAAACTGAAATTCACAATGATATTAAAATAATATTTTTCTGTCTCCTTAAAATTTCAATTTTCGTATATTTTATCACACACACACACACGTATATATATATAAATAGATGTTATGATAGTCTGGTCTTGACTATGTCCCATTACTTCACAACTGTAAATGTGCAATTGGAAGCGCATATTATAGAGTGAATAAGGTTAGGCGTTTTGTATAATAAAATGCCTCATAGCGTAAATTCAAAACTCTATAGATGTTTTGATATTAACACATATCAGCGTAATCTATACTATTAAAATATGGGCGTGTGTGTCTATTTGTTTGTTTGTTTGTGGCATTAGCTCCAAAGCGGCGGGGAGATGAGTTTCAAGAGAGTCTCTCTGGATTCTAAAAATTCGTGAAAAGCCATTTCGACCATTCTCATCTTCGCACGACTTTAATCAGCCGAGATAAAAATTAAAAACTTTGAAAACGCTAATTTTCGCCCTCATTATTCCGAGTGGCAACAGTCTCGCACGCTGGAGATTGGCTTATTATAATATATGCTTTATTTCGAAAAGTGTTTCCACTGCTCGCTTTCAAATCGTTGAGTTTGTTAATAAAAAATTTGTAAGTTTTACAAAATCTGAAATAAAAATATCATTGCCAAACATTAAATATATTATTATATAAGGTCATGTTCTGCCTTGGAAGAAAGTATGCGATTGCTTGATTGCTTGTGACTTCACTGTATGTCAAAAATGTTTCGCTAATGCCAGCATTTTAAATAAATAGTTGCTGTTGGCAACTTTTACATTTTCATGTTAGGATAATTGACGTGATATGGTATTGTCACATTAATTTTTTTATTGATATCGAAGAAAAGTTGTTATATTATAAGGTATTTCTCCCACTTCCCTAGCGTGCCTTCGTGGTGTAACGGTAGCACGCTGGGCCGGTATTCCAGAGGTCCGTGGTTCGATTCCCGGCGAAGGCGGTTGCATATATTTCATCTTTTCTGCTTCCAATTAATTTAATGACTCTAGAAGTGGCGCCCGAACTAAAAGGGTTGTGGATGATGATTCTCCGCACCCAGGATTTGGTGACTAGGTCCCCTAAAACCTTAGTCGCCCTTTAAAAAGGGGACTTTATAAGGTATTTCTCCCACTTCCCTAGCGTGCCTTCGTGGTGTAACGGTAGCACGCTGGGCCGGTATTTCAGAGATCCGTGGTTCGATTCCCGGCGAAGGCGGTTGCCTATTTTTCATCTTTTCTGCTTCCAATTAACCTAAATGACTCTACAATATTACATTAAATTTAAATCATGACGCCATACGTATTAATCTGAAGCGTCAAAAGTTTCTGTTTCCTCGTTTGGAAATAAAAAATATTAAAGAATTGGTTATTGCTTGGAAAGAATGAACTGATTTTATTCATAGTGAAATGTTTTTATGCATTTTCATTTCAGATGTACATAGAATTTATAAATTTTGCTCGTCCCGCAGCCGCTAATTTAACATTAAATTACGTTGATCTTACAGACTAAGATTAAAGACATGTGCTCAGTATGAGCAAACGATTTGGAAATTACATTTCATAAAGTGGCTAAAGTATCTATATTTAGCTAAACTTCTTTTGAAGGCGTTTCGAAGTTTTTTTCGCGTATTAAGGCATCTTACTGCAAAATCTGAAAGAAAGAATATGTGCAGGCATATTCATATTGCAAACACTTATTTTTCTAGTTGATCTTGCATCTTTAAAAATTCCTCATATTTTTTTAATTTCTTCAATTGAACCGGAGAATTTAAAACAAAATGGTGCTATTTAACATTCATTCAAATAAATATACTTATGAAATGTGAAGTACTGAAGTTCGAAAGACATAGAGATTATTTCACACTCTCTGGTATGGCCTTAATCTTATACTGGGATAACCGACGTTCAAATCCCTGTTGTCATTTTGACTCACGAATGGTGAATTGTTGCTGACTGATTCTACAGAAACAGAATATTTCTTTTTTGGGGTCATTTTAAGATAATGCTTGTGGTAAAAGCGAAGTATGAATTAAGAAGAAATGAAGGTTGTGAAACATACTTCGAACATCAAACTTATTTGATAAAATAATGGATCAAGGAAACTGTGAATATATATTAAATCGATATTACTTAAATACCTCAAGACCCCATACGCTCTTGAGGATCTAGGAGTTCATAGTCAAGGTCTATGAATTAAAACTAAATTTTGATATGTTATTTAATTTGAGAATGAAAAATATAATAAAAATTTAAGCAAATTAATGGGTAACTATCTGATAAAATGATCAATATATTGATAGAATTCTTAAGAATCTCTGCTTTAAATAATAAGCTGCTTCATTTTATTTGATAACAGCTCTTTTAATGAATAGAATTTTCAATAAGGAATTACCATCTACATATTTATTCAAAATGTTTTACATGATAATGTCAGCTTAAAAAATTTGTTGGATGTCTTTAATTCTTGCAAAAAGTGTTTCATATCAAGCCTAATTTTCGATAGACGCAAAGGAAGTAAAGTATTATTTTTATTATAGTGGCAATTTTAATACATATAATAATGTTTAGTCTATGCTCATCAAAGCTCCCGCATTCATCTGAAAATCTGAAGTAAATAATCTGGAAAGATTTCACTTGCAGAGTAGGTCATTAATAAAGCTAATTTTTACATTCTGCATTGATAATGTTATTTTTTAAAAAAATGCATTGTTGTCTAAATATGGTAGGTTTTGAAACGAAGAAAGTATCCGTATGAAAAATCACTTTCTTTAAGAAACGCAATTTATTGAAGACATTTGTGAATTTTATGTGCAACTTATAGAAATTTTGTATTTATTATTAATGGCATTGTATTGTTTTATATTGCTTTATCTTGTTTGTATTTTTTTAATAAAATGTGCGTATTTTTCCCTATATGTGGCGCTGTGATACTGTACCATCTCAAATTGAGTCTGTTTGCCTGTTCGCCATGTTTTGCACTTTCCCTCTTAAATGCACCTGATCTATATGCTTTTTGTAAATTTGAAAATTGTTGTTCAGACAGACGACATAAAAACAAAAACTACCGACTTCATTGATCAGTGTCATAGTCTACTAGAACATCATGATGTTACTCATGTGGCGGTTCAGCACACTCTTGTTCGAAGCACTGTGTGACGCTATAGCTGGAGGTAAGGAACTTATTTCAGTTTGATGCCATAAGCTACGAGATGCCATAAGCTCGTATTATCTAAGCGTGTGTTTCCTTTTAACACTATATTGAACTATTATTTGATATGAAATATGTTTTCACTTAAAGCAAAGATAGTAGCTACAAGCAATCAATATCTCTAATGTTGTCATAAACATTATTATAAATAATTGTAAATAAATTATGAATTTGAAATTCTTCCAGAGGTGCAGTATTAATGGTGTGTATTAAATTAAAATTAAATAAGAATGCAAATAAAAAAGAAATATATTTCGAAAACACTTTGCTAAAATGACACAATATCTGTATGGGTGTATATATATGTACATATACTCGTATATAAGGCTCATGTAATAGGCATATATGCACATGTAAAGCATTCATTTAAATATGTCCAAATCTAGTGATTTCATTTTAAATCTGAAGAAAGGATGATATCTTGCATCTGCAAGCAGCAGAAAAGTTATTTTTTATCATATTTTCTTGTTTCATAACCGTTCTGGTCAGTGGACGCAATTTATCAAGAATCGCAAAATATTTTAATTAGCTCTCTTGTTTAGAATTAGGCTATATTTGTAATTTTTCAAATTTTTTTAAAGTCTTATTTATTCAGAAGGATTTCAGCGCACATATTATAGTAAAGGAAATGCCATTTAGCGTTAAAATAATGCTAGAAAGCCATAATCGTTTACATGAGACACGTTGCAAACATACAGGAGTTTATTTTGCAAATTTCGTGCTGCAATTAAAGCAATTTCCAATGATGATGTCTGTGGAATAGGCAGGTAATGCTTCAATACAGAAGTTGAAATCATTAAATTATGTCAGTTCACACACATGTGCACTGAATGTTTTCCCCTTAATGTATTCAACTTTGATAGTATGTACATATGTTATGTTTCAAGGAAATTTGTTTAACGATGATACTTTAAAACAGAACTTTTTAATGAAATTCACATTCATAGCACTTAAAATTTCCATTTAAGGAGTTTAATTAATTATTTAAAACACCTGCAATGCTCATGAACTCATTGTTTTTAAAAAGCATCTTTTCTGTGATGGTCACTGAAGTAGGAGAAAACCGCAAAATATTTTATAGCCTTTAAATAAGTTTGTGCTTCATCAGCACAGATATACAAATATTTGTTAAGAAAAAGTACAAAACTATCTCTTCATTTAATATACTTCTATGCAAAATTGTAGTGTTTTGCGACACCTCCTCCCCAAAATGTGCTTATAATAGTTATTTTAACTTCTTTTGCATTTATTCATTAAAAAAAATATTTTACATCAATGTACTGATTCGTTTTCCTTCAAACTAATGTACAAATCTGAAAATGAATATTATTAAAATATTCGTTATATTTTAAAACTTAAGTTTATCAGGACTTGTGTTCCTCTTAACTTGCTTTGGAAACATGAACTGTCCTGATTCGGAACAGGGAGCTTACTCAAGCTATGTTCAATAAATTGTGAAGTAGACAATACACACAGGAAGGGTATACGAAACCCTTTATTTTTCTATCTTTACAGAGACCAACCACTTGTGGTCTGAACGTAAGAATATAAAACTACTAACTAAAACTCTAACTAAAACTAACTTTGGATTAAATATACAAGTGCCTAGCTTTAAGATTGGCCGTTATATAACAAAATCCGTATGTAGTACAGAGAGCTGCTAAAACTACGATACGTTTGAAATTATCAAGAGGACTAAACCTCTGGCCTTGAAGGCAACCAGCAACCGAGTGAAAACTAGTAACACTAAAATGGCAAGCGGCTTGCTTCCAATAACTCTTTCCTCTCTCTTGTTTGGCAAAAAGCCGCAACTTAAGTACTTGGCGTTAGCAAGACAAATTTGCATAAATAAGTTAAAGCTTTTAATTTGGCCGGAAGTAGAAAATAAGAAGTGATAGTAAAGATTTAAAAAAAATAAACGTTAGTAAAACTTAGGATCCTTACATACTTACTCCGCCAGAGTTAATTAGTTTGAAACTGAGGTCTAAAACGACCTTGTTGAAAACTTTTAGCTCTAGAATCTAACGCGAGGCCAATCTTTTACAAACATTTCTCTCTAGAAATTAAACTAGAAATTAAAAAAAGTCGTTTTTACATTATCAACTCCATGGACAAATATTTTCATCTGTACTGCATCTATAAACAGGAGTTTCTTAGTTGAAATCTGGTTCCTTCCAGAGATCTGGAAGGAAAACTAGTTTAATGAAATGTTACACAATCAAATGGCAAGTAACATGAATATTTATATTTCTCTTTAAAATTCTTATTTCATTCATGACGTTATTTAATTATCTCCCCGTGCTCTCTGACATGTGTTGTAAGAAAAACACCAAACACGTACGTGTCTATGTACAAGTGTTCAACACTACCGTCTGCAATCAAAACACTAACGTGTTAAAATTCAACATAACAAGACCTCAGAACACACCTTATATTCATCTCTAAACCCTGAGGTACTATTCTGAAAAGTGGCTAACTCTGAAGTGTAGCGTCAGAGAGCCTAACTACATTCATTCAACCTTTAACACATATTCACAATAATTTGCTCTTTTTACAGTCACACGAATAAGTTAAAATTTTGGCATTACTCTAATATTTTCACTTTTAACATATCACAGTATTACTTTAATATTTTCACTTTTACTTACTCTAATATTTTCACTTTTAACATATCACAGTATTTTTTAACTTTTAACAGTATTTCTAACTTAAGATACCAATTCACCTTGTATATAAGGACATATTAACATGCCGTTAATTTTACGCATTTTAAAACATACATTAGTAGTACATTTTTTTTAACTTCTTTTCTTTTCCAAGCAAGTGCCAATTTTTTCTACATTGAAATACTACATTTCAAAAGTCTTTCAGACTAAAACTTCTTTCTTGCCAGAATCTTTTAAATAAAATTTTATATACATAATTTTTACAATTTTCTTAAGGTACCTTTCTCAAAGATTATCAATGCTTTTTACAATATTCAAGTATTTACACATTCCTATTATACATTAATTTTAGTTTTACTCGCGAGTAATTGAAAAACATAATACCAAAATAGGTAACAACTCCATTTCTCGCCTTTTGGCGATAAAGGTAGGCCTCACATGAGGTAAAACTTCTTGAATTCTGCCACTTGCAGTAAGAATGAAAAAATTAACGTAAAAGTTTCAAAGTAACATAAAGTTTTACTTATCTTTGTGATATTCAGACATCCTTTTTTTCTACCAGTCCTGGAAAGTGGCGAAGACTACCGTCTGGTTTGATCTTCCCGTCTTGTGCGGGTTCGCCCCTTCGGTTCCTTTCTCCCATGAGCTTTCTTTTTCTTCCAGTTCGGTCACCTTTTGAAGACCTTCTTTTTAGCATCTGCTTGTTTCTTCAAACGGTGTCGGCCGTTTGATGGCAGCTGGTCTTGGCGGAACCGGGACAACTATCTCTCGTTGTTGGCCTGGATCTCGTTGCTGGCTATTCAAACTTTTCTTGCTTCTTTGCATCTGCAGCTGGTTTTCCTTCATCAATTCGTCGACATTTGCTGCGTAGACTACTATCCGATGGGTAGATCTTCCGTTTTGGAGCCGTGTTATAGTTGCTGCCATTTATCCTGGCTCTCTTTGCATTAGTCGAACTTCTCCCTTCTTCATTCTGGGGGTAGTCGCGCCCTCTCTTTTCTGGTCGGTGGAACGGCTTCTTTTTCTTGTTACATTCAGTTTTCCAACGGGGAAACTTTCTTTTCAATTGCTCCTTTCTACTCATGGCTTGCCCTTGTGATTGTCGTTGTTCCACCTCTGGAGATTGTGCCTGCCGTGCCGGATCCTGAAAAAGATCTTTAAATATTTGCAGTTTATTACGATTATAAAATGGTTTGATATTGGATCAATACGTTTGCCGTGCACATGGTTCACCATTCTTGGCTTTTAACAATACTACAGCCTGAGTTACTTTTCTCTATTGAACGTAAGGTCCTTCAAAGTCATGGATAGAACTTCGCAATTTTATCTTCTGGTGCTGAAGAAAGTGGATGCTTAATTTTTAACACTTCGTCCCCCTACCTTATAAGTTACTCCCCATCGTTTCATGTCATAATACAACTTTCTGTTTTCTTTGTACTACTTCAGTGTTCTTTTGCTTCTGTTAATTATTTTTTCTATATCGCCCATTTTGAAATTCAGGGGCTCTCTTTGTTGAACATAAAATAATTTATCTAACGGCGTTATAATCTTTCTGCCTAAAAATAACTCAGCAGGAGTTTTGCCCGTCGTATCATGTTTTGCGGTCCTAAGGGCGAAAGCTAATACGTAATTAGTTATCCCAGCTTTTATGAAAATTTTTAACATAACTACGGATAATTTTCACTATATTTCTATTAACACGTTCCGCTATATTTGATTGCGGCCGATACGGGACCATTTTTAAATGACGTATGCCCAGTTTTTGGCACATGTCTTCAAATATATTACTTACAAATTGAGGACCATTATCCGATATCACTTTTAGGAGCGCCCCGTATTTTAAAATATATTTATTTAAAATAGAATCAGTAAGTAATTTCGCGGAGGCTCGTTTTAATGGAACAATTTCGGTCCACTTACTAAAATGATCAACCATAACAAGGAGATACCGACTTTAATTTAACTGACTTTATGGGAAAGGGCCCAATAAATCGATGCCAATTATTTCATTTGGAAATTCCGATTTGATGCTATTTAGAAAACCGGCCGGGCGGAAATTAACATAATTAACTGCTTGACATGTTGGGCAGGACTGGACATACGCCCTTGTTAACTTTTGAAGCTCAGGAAAATAAATTGCTTCGCGTACGCGTTGGATGGTTTTTCGAATACCAGCATGAGAAGCTAAAGGGGAGTCGTACAACTCCTGCAGTATATTTAATCTAAGACTAGCTGGGATAAACAGGTCGAAATTCGTTGTTTGGAATTCGTAGTTTTTTTGTATAAAATAATAGACCATCTATTAGTTCGTAACGGGCCGCCCTATTTCTTATCGCCACCGCCACAATATCTTGGTGGCTAAAATTTTCAGGATCTTTTAAATAATCATATATATTTTTTAAATTCCGGATCCTTACGCCCAGTTCGGTTATTACAGTTTCTCGGGAATGTATCGTATATGCTGTGAGCATTGCCACCTTTAACAGTATTACCTTCTTCATCTGTTTTTATTCTTGGATAGGGCATCTGCTACGATATTTTCCTTTCCGGGGGTGTGCTTGATTACCAAATTATACTCTTGTAACTTGAGTGCCCATCTTATTAACCTTGGGATTAAGTTTTTCCCTGAGTATAATCTAGTTACCGCCGCATGATCAGAATACACTGTTATTGGCGCCCTTCCAAAATAGACTCGGAATTTTGCACTGCTAACAGAACTGCAAGTGCCTCTCTCTCAGTCGCGGAATAATTTCTTTGTGTTTGATTTAAAGTTCTACTAAAAATGCCACGGGCTGCTGATTTTGCGAAAGTACCGCTCCTACCGCATAATCCGAAGCATCCGCTGAAATTTCTAAATTCTCATCGTTCTCAGGAAATTTCAAAACAGGGGCTTTGCGCATTAATGCTTGCTTTAATTTTTCAAAAAGCACTATTGGCTTCGGCCGTCCACGAGAATCTTGCCTTTTTCCTTTTTAATTTTAACAATGGCTTCAGCAATAGCTGCAAAATCTTTTATAAAGGACCTATAATATGAACAAAGTCCTAGAAAGAAGAGAGCTTCTTCGCCGTATTTGGCGGCGGATAATTTTGCACAGCGATTATTTTTGATTCGTCCGTCTCGATTCCTTTCTGAGATATTTTGTAACCTAAGTATTTTAATTCAGGGGCTGCAAATTTGCACTTTTCGACATTAACTTTTAGACCGGCCTCATTTAATGAAAACACCTGTCTTAAATCCTGTACATGTTTTGTCCAGATTATCACTAGTAATAATGATATCGTCTAAATAGATAAATGTGGTCTTTCCTAGAACAGGCCTTAGCACAATGTCCATACATCGCTGAAATGTTGCCGGTGCCCCTGAAATGCCAAATGGCATACGCAAGAATGCATAAGTGCCAGACTTGGTTTTAAAAGCAGTCTTAGGGACATCTTCTGGTTTAACACCTATTTGAAAATAACCAGTCGTTAAGTCTAACGTAGTCATGTATTTCGTAGAAGTTATGTTCCTTAAAATTTCTTCAATAATAGGTAACGGATATACCGGATATTTAGTCATGGAGTTTAATTTACGATAGTCAATTGCGAAACGCCACCTTTTCGGATGTGTTTACTGGATAGTCATTATTTTTCTTACATAACACAACCGGGCTAGCATAACTACTTGAGATGGGCGTTATGATCTTTTTACGTAACATATCTCGAATGTGCGCCACTCTATAATTTTTTCTTTATATTCTTATCGTATCGATACGGCTTGTGGCGAACTGGCAGTGAATCTCCTGTGTCGATACTATGGTTAGTAAGCTTGAGTAAATCCGGGAATATCACTAAATAACGAAGCAAATTCACTTACCACTTGGTCGAATTTTTTGTTGCTCTCCCGTAGGCAGGTGGTTGAGATTTTAATGGTGTGGTTCTCTTTTTTCTTCCAGAACTGGTTTCATGGTCAGCTTAAAGGACGCTTGGTTAAAATCCAGCGTTGCTTCTGCCTCTGAAAGAAAATCTATCCCTAGAATCACATGTACTTGTAGATTTTTTACCATAAAAAACATGATCTTTACTTGCTCGTCCTTAATGCGAATATATAATGGTATTTTACCTATGCATTTGCATCTTTCTCCCTGCGCAGCTAACACTGTCGTATTATCCGAATTATATATTCGGTATCTACGGAAATACTTCCTAAAAAAATCTTCTGCCACACAGGAACACTGCGCGCCTGGTATCCAGGAGTGCGGTGGCTGGGATATTGTTCACCAAAATTTCAATCTTTGGAAGAGTCAATTTTTCACAATAACTGTATTTAACTTGAAGGAAGAGGGATTTTCTTGGCCTTCGGATTTCCGCACCCTCCCGTCAGCAGAAATCCGTTTTAGTTTAAATTTTCTTTCTTCCTTTCCATGCCTTCCTTCTTTTTTTTCCGCTGGCCTTCAGAAACTTTTTTTTTCTGGCTTACTATTGAACTGTCGACGTTCGCCGGTTTGTTTTTGGATACTCGGGTTTCCTTGCCCACTGATTCGATTTGCTTCCGTAGCCGTGTTCTTGCCTTTGCTGTGGTCTTGGCGCACCAAATTGGCTTCGTTGCTCATACTGGCGTCTTCTTTCAATGTCCGCCGTTCTTCTACTTTCAAACTGGATTGCTAGCTCAAATAACTTTTCCAGTGTAGTCGGATTCCTTAATTCAATAAAGTCTTGTACTTGGGGAAGTAACCTAGGCAAAATTCACTTGGATTATTCTCAGGATCCGGCCGGCTTCCATACAAAGAGTTTAAAGACGTGAATTTTTCTTAAAATAAAGCTTGAGAGATTTTCAATTCGTTGCTGGTATATGCTGAAGAGTTCCGCTTCTAATTTGCACGATTTCTTACGACAGGGAAGGCTTTTACTAAGGCAGTCTTGAAATTTTCGTAAGTATAGGTGGGGGACTTTCCCGCTTGACCCAAGAGGTTTTCTGCCTATACATTTGAACCAATTAAGCGCTTGGCCCCTCAAAGCGCTGGTAGCTAAGGTGACTTTCTGGAACTCATGGACTGGATACAGCATGAAGTGGTCATCCAATTTTTCCAAAAATCTGGTTACCGGTGAGTTTCCATTGAATGTTGCTTCTGGTTTCATCGATGCGCGCATGGTCTGGACGATGTAACCAAATCCTTCCAGGGCGGCAGCTGGCATTTCTGGATTCTGAGCCGCTTCTGCAGGCATCACAGGTTCTTCTTGAAACTCGGCCATGGTTATTCTTCGTCGGGGGCCACTATCAGGACTTGTGTTCCTCTTAACTTGCTTTGGAAACATGAACTGTCCTGACTCGGAACAGGGAGCTTACTCAAGCTATGTTCAATAAATTGTGAAGTAGACAATACACACGGGAAAGGTATAAGAAACCCTTTATTTTTCTATCTTTACAGAGATTTCCGGAACTTCGGAATACAGAGACCAACCAACCACTTGTGGTCTGAACGTAAGAATATAAAACTACTAATATAAAACTCTAACTAAAACTAACTTTGGATTAATATACAAGTGCCTAGCTTTAAGATTGGCCGTTATTTAACAAAATCCGTATGTAGTACAGAGAGCTGCTAAAACTACGATACGTTTGAAATTATAATAGCAGATATTGTCATGATAGTTAAAAATACAAGAATTTGAAACAATATGTAATGGTATTCATATAACTGAAGAAAAAGATTCAAAGGAAGATTGGCATAACTGTTTAAACATTAAGATAAGCTGTAACTTTAAAACAAATGTCATAGCAATAATTTAGTCAGGCTACATCAAATAATAATTTCTCTTTTTGGTTCTGATTTAAAACATTTAAAAATAATTGTACTCAAATATTTATTATTAATATTTGAAATAAAAAAGCATAAAATTTCCAAGAAAGCAAATTTATAGAATCTTTTAGTAACATTAAAAATTTTTATTTCTGATCAAAAGGCTGTAATTTTGCAAAATTACTCCAGCGAAAACCTACAGTAACTCTTTAAAGATACCATAATTTTTAAATATTCATGCATTCATCTTCTGCCATAAAATAAATTTTATGTAATTGCTAAACAAAGATGTGTTACCAAATAAACATATGTATACATATTCACCTCCTTCAAAATTCTTAAAAAATTGAAAGGAGTTACATTATAGGTTTCCTATATCTTTGTTTAAATGAAAAAAACGATAACGATGTTTTTTAACCAGATGCTCCAGTTGTTGCTCCTTTCATGTTTCCACCTGCCCTCAAGGAAGGAGAAAGAGGAAGTGCTGTTTGTAATATCAGATCTGGAGACAGACCTGTAGACTTTCAGTGGACGAAAGATGGCCAAGATATAACGAAATCGTCCAGTGTAGATATACAGTCTCTTAGAGATTCTTCATATTTAGTCATAGAAACCGTTACAGCAAAAAGCTCCGGAAATTATGCTTGTATAGCAACTAATGCGTATGGCAATGATCAGTTCACTGCAAGCCTAACAGTAACAGGTAAAAGGCTTTGAGTTTTCATTTGTTTATCAAACATTAAAACCCTCTTACCTTAATGTTATAAGTCACAAATTTTTAAAAAATGTCATAAAATATTTTTCGTATACAGAAACTATAATTATAAACTAAATAAAAATCTAAACTTCTATGATTGCCGTATAGTTATTTTGTTCTGCAGGGTGAGTAGGGTTTCTTTACACGTAGCATATAAATTAACAAAATTACTGCTAATCTATAAATTAATGAAAATATGAGAAGTCAATATAATTTATCAGGCTATTCTAAAATGTTATTTCTGTATCCCGGATAAAGAAAAATGTTGTATTAAAATTGCGTGTGTCCAACATGCGTTACAAGAGGGAAAATAAAGATATAAATCTTTTTGATGAAAAATTATTGATATTTAAGATAAAAACTTTTTTATTACTGATTTTAATTTGAATACGCTGAGTAAACGCTGAACATTCTCATCGGTTTTACATAACCGCAAAATGGCAAATTTAATGAAAATATGCAAATCTTATTGCTACTACAAATTTAATAACGTGTACTGTTATTAAATTGTAGCATGCTCATGTGCCTATATTTAAATTCCTAATCCTTCAACGATGAACGTATTCATAACGCATATACATATATATATAATTTACAAAATATCTCGTCGATATGTTATTTTGATAAAATAACATATTATTTTGATAAAAACATAATAATAGATTTTTTTAAAGACTAACAATTGTGTTGTTATCTGGTTTTTAGAATATTCATTAACTACAACTCATTTCTTATATCTAATAATTTTCACGGCTTCGAGAAAACTAATTTTTATATGCAAGGGAGCCAGTCAGAAAATTTTAACTTCACCTATAACGAAGCTAATTGATGCATAGTATCGACTGTGTTAGCTCAGGCCAATGTGAAAGGCTCTGTCTGAAGAGAGCCAAATTATGACACCGGGGCAAAACAAAACTGTAAAGCGCTAAATGCAAAGTCCGATTACTTGAACGTTGACTTAAGAAGGTATATTCATAATTTGCGAATAACTGAGATTTCCCCATATTGTGCAGATTTCAATTAATTAATAATTTTACCTCGTAAGCCATTTCTTTCGAGCCTCTACTCATTTCATCTGAGAAAAGTAAATACTTAATATAAACGAAATACATAAATTCATGGAAATAATTCAAATTAAGATTCTGTTTAGCCAATTGAAAATTTCAGATCTAGAAGTGATTTGCAACTGGGATTTAAAAATTGATAAATGCTCTACAATATTATTTATTTATTATCTTTTTAAGTATTTATGCTTTTGAATGTCGAAATGTAGAAATCTACTTTAGATAACGAAAGTAGTGCACATTAATTTAGAAAATTTTACTAGTGAAATATATTCGAGAATGGTGAAAACTCTGAATAAAATCCGAAACATTGGCAAGGCTACTTCTAGAGTAATGACAATGCGTTTTTAGTTTTTATTTATAATTTGAGCGTGTTTATAGACATATAAAAATGGTGATACTTTTTCTAGCTCCTCCCGAATGGCTAAATGAACCCAAGGATGTATTCATACAAGAAGGTGAAAGTTTAACAATTGAATGCGCAGCATCTGGAGTTCCAGTACCTGTGATAAAGTGGATCATAGTTAAGTTGCTTAAATAGTTTTTGAAAAGTAATTAAATAGAGTACATAGATTTCTGTTTACTTTAATTAAAATACTTAATAAGGAAATTTAGACTTATTTATAATTATCATCTATAAACCATTATGATATAACTCATAATTTCTGAAATGATTTATATTATTAGAAATATCAGACAGAAACACAAATGATATGACACAGTTAAGAAATTTTAAAGCAATCATAGCACTTTAACTCATGAAAGGTAATATAATATAACGAATTGCTGCTATAGGATAGAATTGTGTAGACTTGGCCCACCAACGGTGGAGCGGTCAAGTCGCTGAACGCTGGTAGTTCGGTCCGAGGTTCGAATCCCGTGAACGGGCTGGCTGCATAGGTGTTTTCGTGATTTTCCCCATGTGTAGCGTGTATACGAGCCAGTTTCCCTTAGAAAGTTCTCCACGAAGACATCCCTTCCCTTAGGCAAATAGCCTTCGAGGCTTTGCCGTAATTAAATAGCCTAACCTAACCTAACCTAATTGTGTAGACTTCTAGAATAGTCAAAAGTTTGCAAGAATAATAGTAAAGCTATTATTCTGATTTAGATACAGTATAAAACCTCGATAATCCGGGGTAATTAGGCCTCAGTTACCTCGGATAATCGTAATTTGACTAATAGAGATTAAATTTTAAATCACTTGGATTAAAGCGACCACGAGGCTAATGTTCCTGATTAAAATGACAATTATATGTGTTCTTTATATTTACTGTGTTTCCACGTTCATATTTTACATTCCATTAACTGTATTATGAAAATGTTTACTTTTTGCTATGTTCTATCACCCCATAAGCTGTTACATCTTATACACATATATACGAATTATTTAATTAATTTGTTTATTTAAATTTATTTATTTACATGTTTATTTGTGCTTAGCTATGAATATCTGCTCGTATGCAATTGTACACCATAAACAGAAGCATTTTACAAATTCTGTATATGTTAATACAACTGCAGTGCGTTTATTGAAGTTTCGGTATCATGAAGAAGTGCAAGGCGTTATTCTACTGAAAAGGACACACATTTTACCCGGCTCTAAAATTTACAGAAAGCTTAGGAATGAAGTGATTATCAATACAAAATGTGTAGAATTATGGTGCTGAGTTGCTGCTATGAGGTTCCCCAAATACCAAATGGGTTTTGTTTAGCATTTCATTTCCTAGATCTTGTCGGCATACTAATATTCTAAGTTCCTTTTCAATGTGTTTCGGAAAGTTGAAAATATATGGAGAAATGCCTTAATTTTGTTGGAGATTAATTTGAGAAAAAGTATGATTTAATGCTATATACTGTTTTCATTCAGCAGTCAAGTTGTCAAAATATTACAAATCAACCTAATATTGCTAACTGATTTAATATTTCCATTAGCAGCAATTAAAAGCTCAAACATCTATGGAACCTTTTTCTCATTCTTAGCGGTTAGTAACTTATGAATTGTTAGAAGCAATTAAGGGTCGAAAATAATGTAATTGTTGAACATAATCTTAAAACGCATTGTATTTACTTAGACTCATTCCTGGTAACTTTCTACTGAATCGTCAATTATCTGTTTAGACGGATAGTGAGTATTATAAATATGTGAAAGACCATAGAATGGTGTAGAATCTGACGTCAGATGACAAAGATCTAAAGAAAATTTCTGTCATCAGTATTTCTAAAATTTTAAACTTCACATCATCTTTGATTATACACTGACTACCAATAAGTATTTAGACACCTATGCAAATGACGATATCTGCGGTCCTAAGGTACGTCACGTACTCCGACGGTATATATCGTGTAGGAAACCGCATCAGCTTTAGTCGCATGCAAGATACCTCGCAGTTCGGAGCTCTCTGATTTCGAGAAAGGTATAATTATCGGGTATCACAAATGTGGCCGATCTTTAAGGGACATATCTAGCGATTTGAAGCGCCCAAAATCGACAGTGGCCTATGTCCTTAAGAAGTGGAAGGTGAGCGGTGATTGTCGGGATGTGCCCCGAGTCGGCAGACCAACGAAACTGGGAGATAGAGACCGACGAGTGCTGTCCAGAGAAATTAGGAAAAACCGCACCCAACCGATGGCCCTCATCCGCGAGGAGTTTCAACAGGCATCCGGGAGTATTGTTTCAATGAATATCATCAGTAAGGAAGCACATCTGCTTGGTTTTCATGGTCGTGCTGCTGCTCATAAGCTTTTGATCACAAAGTCCAACCGCGCTGCTCGGTTAATGGGGTGCAAAGCACATCGAAATTGGTCCGTAGATCAGTGTCAGTGGAAGCGGGTTCTTTGGAGTGACGAATCAAGGTTCACCCTTTACCGTTCGGATGGCAGGGTCTGGGTCTGGCGTCTACCTGGAGAACGTCTCCTGCCAGAATGCATTGTGCCAACAGTCAAGTTCGGCGGAGGTGGAATTATGGTCTGGGGGTGTTTCTCCTAGTATGGGCTGGGACCCTTGGACCCCATTCATGGTAAGCTCAACTCCGATGCCTACTGCACTATTTTGGATGACATTGTGCTGCCTACGTTGTGGCAGTTTTACGGGTTGGACCCCTGTTACTTTCAGGACGACAATGCCAGTTGTCATGTTTCGACGTTAACCAAGGCTTGGTATGGTGCCGATGGAATTCATCGAATGGACTGGCCTGCCCAGAGTCCAGACCTGAACCCTATCGAGAACCTCTGGGACGAGTTGCATTGCCGAATTCAGGGGTGCGCTACCCGTGCAAAATCGGTGAAGGAACTTCTATGTCTTCTCCAAGCCGAGTGGAAGAAAATACCACTAGCTGTCATACAAAGACTTGTGGAAAGTATGCCCCGGAGGGTCCACGCTGTAAGTACCTCTCGTGGAGGCTCTACCAACTATTGATTTTGAATAAAGTTAGTTTTTCTTTTCTAACACAGGTGTCCAAATACTTGTTGGTAGTCAGTGTAGATTTCATGCTTAAAGTGAAGATATTAAATATTAAAAGCATCTTGTCTGGCATAAACGTAAAACTGAAGTATGTTTTAGCTAGAAGGTTTGGTTAATTCGATTATGGCAAAGCACTCTGTATGAGGGTTATCTGCCTTAAGGAAGGAATGCCTTCATGGGGGACTTTCTAGGAGAAACAGACTCGTATACACGTTACACATAGGGAAAAACACGAAAACGCCCGTGCAGCAGCCCGTTCACAGGATTCGAAACTCAGACCGAGCTACTAGTGTTCAGCAACTTTACCCCTCGATCGCTGGGATTTAGTTATACAGAAAGTTCTCTGTAAAATATAAAACTATTATTTGTTATTCCCTTTTATAGGTGATAAAAGTACCGATTTTATATCCAATGATCTTTCGGCGGCTTTTCGGGTCTCACCATCAGGATCTCTCATCATTAACAAGGCAGAAGCATCCATGAAAGGATCTTACATCTGTGAAGCAGACAATGGATTTGGACAGACACTCAAAAAATTAATTGCTATATCAGTACGCGGTGAGTAAAAGAAATGCAGTTATCGGTATATTTATTTATATGTGTAATTTATGAGCCATGTGCTAAGGAAGATTCATGTTATGTAGTATACTTGAATGCCTATTAAGGGTTTTTCTATTTGTTAAGTATTTGTTATGATTTTATATTATCTGCCACGTTTGTGATATATATTTTGGAATAAACGAGTTATTTAATCTTAGTGAGAATTCTTATACCGTATCTAAGTTTTTATTTTCTTTAATTTTTATTCGCTGCATTTATGGCTTGTCTTTTTAAATAAAAATTCGTTATATTTGTTATCGTGAGCTTTTCAAATAAGCTCAATAATACCTTTCCTGCTATAGCAGATCTTTGACAAACTATTGATTTGAGCTTTCTAAATAAAATACTTCGTAAATGTATCGTTTTGAATGAATTGTAAAAATAATTACATTAGTTTTGTACAGATATGTTAAAGTTTGGAATCAGAAAATATTAGAAATCCTTGGTAAAATATGTATGTGTGAGTTGCGACTATTGTGTATTTAGGTGTTTTGCGTTCCCCAATGGCTTTCTTTTTTCATGTGTAAAATATCGGATAATCATATGGAAAGCTATGTAACTAATAACGTATAAGGAAATAATGGGCACATATATAATATTGATAGTAAGCATACTTGATTGAAAACATTCTGAGTTCGTAACATAAATTCGTTTATTTAAAATTTCCGTAAAACGTCAATGATGTACTAATATGAAGATGAATGATGCACTTGGCTATGCTTATGCTGGAAATTTTAAAATGAATTTCACAATTACATAAGAATCAGATGTACTCAAACAGGACTAGTTCACGAAATATGAGAACAGATTTCGTGTGTGAGTCTGGAGCCACTCTTTCCGGAGCTTTCGTGCCTGGAGCATACGTGTATGAGTCTACGCTTCCCTTTTGATACTTTAATAAAAGACAGAAAAATTTAAATTAATATTTAAAAAGATTCAATATTACAAAAAATGTTTTACTAATAAATTAAATTTAACAAACTGAAAAATTAACTGTTTCATTCACCCAAACTCTTTTCATCATTTTACACTTGCTTCGTGTTAAAATACATCTAGTTATTTTTATACGAAAAATAATAGCTTCATTGTAATCCAAGAAAGGTTTCATTATTCGATGTTTTTTCTAGATTTGTATAGTGGTAGGCTGAAGAAGGCACCTCAATTTACCGTATTTAAATGATCAATTGATCGTTTTAAGTTTTATACTAAATCTTACTTAATTATTATTAAAAAAAGTGTGTACATACTGCGTATACGAATAAATATGCTAGAAAAGATTACATATCTTTTATGTGTACTATTATATTCATCAGACATTCTAATATATGTAATGTTTTACTTCAGTACAAGTTAGTTTGTCATTGATCACATGTGTTAAAAATATTCAATGCATAATGCATGAATGATTCAAGGTGAAAATAAATCTTTGCATGAGTGACACTGGAATCTTTTTAGCCATTATTTCTAGATTGGCATAAGGGAATTTTACATAGTAAGAAGTATCTGAAAACTAATAGTCACAACAATTAATCACGTACTGAATTCTTCCGCGATTCGCTTTTCGTAACTACATTACATAATGTTCACCTACCAATACACTATAAACCAAAACTTTTCCTTGTTTACTATCATTCCGCTTCAAAGCAGCACCATATACCTTCTCTATTGTCAAAACTATGATTTAACTTTGAGATGAACGTTCTGTAGTATTAATGTGATGTGAGTGTATCAGTACTTATGAAAATTTGTAGGAAAAGTATTTACTAAAACATTCAGATGATCACTCTGAGTCAATAAATTCCACTCACTATTATATCGTTTTATAATTATTTCAATCTCTTTCACTGTTTTTTTTTTGTTTTATTAATTTTATAACCCAAAATATTTATATAATAGTGTTTATTCAATTTAAAGGGACAATATGTTTTTCCTTTTAAATTGCAAATAATGTCCGTACGTATCTATTGTCATTTGTAATATTTTGGTTATGCCTAATATATTGTATCCAGTAGTTTAATTTTGCAATAGTACAAATCAAAGTTATTTATGATAAACAATTTATTGATGTTCAAAATAAATATTTGCGAATAGTTACAAATGCCCAGTATCTTGCCAGTAAAACAACGCCTTCACGAAAATTGAAGAATCGATAACTTAAACAGTTTTCTAAATAAAATTAATATAAACTTCTACAGAAAAGCTCTTAACAGTGGATATTTAAATACCTCTAACTCTTACAGTTACAAAATACTCAACGAAGGCAAACATCTTCTGCTTTTTGGGGTCCACTCATTCAACACTAATTTCCCAACTTCAATATGATCTTCTCTCTGCATTGTTATTGTACATATTGTATATATATCCCAATTTTTCCTTATATGTATGCGTGAAATTTCTTTGTACATAGTTTTTTCTCGCATTTCCTTTCATTTTATTTCATTGTTGAACTGTTTTGCATATTTTCACCCTCCCATGTTATGAGTTTCTTCTCAACATTCTGATATATCTTCTATACAAATTTCGATATTTCTATTTCCCTCTTCTGATATTCCTTACAGTATTCATGACCCAAGGGTATAAGGCACCCCACTGATTTACAATTGGGAATGCATTTACAGAAATATGCGTTTGAAGTGCTATTAATAACATTATATTATTGAGCCGAAGACGCAGCGCACCGAGCGATAGATGGTAACAGACTTGTTTCTTAAAATGTTTTCTCTTGTAGATATGAAGCGATGCACACATAATTAAATATTACTTCGTTTTTACCGAAGATGTAAAAGTCAGATTGAGAATCGAATTCAGAGTTTTTCGATCTGCATGCGAAGTTGGTTTATAACTATGAAGTTTCTGAAACCACCGACTAAAGTTACCAAATATCCAGGGTTGTGCAGAGCAGTCGCGGGCCCGTTGTGCACCCCATGGAGATGTGTGTCCTGGATTCTGCAAACATTATTTCTCATTTTAAAATGAGTCAAGAAAATTTTTATTAGTAACTTTCCATGCCATCATAGAGCTTCTTTTTGTGGTATCAGAAATGTATATAGTAGGAAAATAATCGAGCGTTTTCATTTGCGTTTTATCTATAGAACATTTAAAAAGAATGGTTTGAGAAGAAGCCATTTATCGGAAGAATTGTTTGTGAAAGGAAATTTAGGCTTCTAATTCTTGCTTTTAGAAGAAAGCACAGTAAAAGCAATTATTTACAGAATTTCAAACGCAGCATTTTTAGAAAATGCTCTATGGAAAACGACGTAGAAAGCTGAACTTTTGAAAGAAATAATTTTGGCGAGAAAACAGCTATTCGAAAATAAATTCTTGTCAAATGAAATGTTGCATTTAGAAAGCAGAGATTCGTTATTAAATTAAATGATTGTCTGAACTGAAAACTGAAATTAAGAGAAACAGACATGTATTTTATCCATTTTTAGAGCGTTATATTTTTCTTTGAGTTTTATTAAATTAATAATTAAACTTTGTTTACTGATAAAAAGTACAGTTTTATAATAAATGCAATGAAATCTCTGATGGCTGCTGTTTCCTACAGATGAACATTTTTGAAAGTGACCAGTATTTCTGAGAACATAAATAAAACATGATAATATGGATAAACATCAGTAACACCATTGAGAGTTATAGCCTGTAAAGTCAACACCTCGGAACTGTGGGTAGTTATCGTTGGAAAGTTTCAGTACAATATGTGAGCAATTGAATAATAATAATAATAAAGGTACAGTAATTTTAATTTTTAAATACCAAAATTTCCATGCCCTGGATCGGCTTCAAAAAAATCTTGGTATATTACCCTTGATTCTCCTTTGCTTAAAATTATTTAAATTTTAATATAGCGGTTGCACTAACAAAGCTGAATTATTATCTTGATTAACTATGTCATAACGCCCTAGGAATATGCTGCTTTTAAAAGGTAAAAGCTTTGAAAGGAAAATGCTTAAATAATTATAAATATCTGTGCTTACATTTTAATTAATATTGCCTTTCTGATTTTACTTTTCTTGAAAGCGTATTTTTATTACTTTATTAAAGATATAAATCAGTTATGTAATTAACTTATAATTAGTGAATACATGGTTTGATAAAAATATATTTTCGGTTATAGCGGAATTGTTTCATTATCTCTGCGTATTAACGCCTTTTTATGAATCTACGTACTTCGATAATTTAGGGGCTACTTTCAGCCTCTTTATGTATGTGCTTATGATGTGAATTTAAAGATTATGTTTAATATAAACTTGAATATATTTTAATCTGAACACTATATATTAGTGAAAAATTTGTTAAAGGTTAAGCCTTAAAAATTTTACATTTGCCGAGTAAAAAATACATTAAGAATGTTTTCATCTTTATAGACATTTAAGCATAATTATTTTTGTATAAATTCGTGTACGCTAGAAATTATTATACATTTCATTTATTACTTTTATAGCATAAGAAAAATTTGCATTTTGAAACCTTATATAATCATTTTTTGGTATTATTTAGGTTAATAAAGCTTTATTTCAAGCAGTCTGTTACTAAATATATATTTTATGTTGTATCAGAACACGCTCTGAGTATGTTTGCAAGAAATGAATGCCTTAATGTTAATTTTTATTCCTATACTAAGTGGTATAATTGATTACTTTTTATATATTTATTGCGTATTAAACGTTATTATTTCTGTTATTTAGGTATATAGGTATAAAACTGGTTTGAAAATTCGATTTTATTTCGGAATATAAAAATTATACTTTTCTCCGATATGTGGCGCTACGTGATCGTTCTATGTGGGCTCTTGCTATTTGTATGTGTTGAAAGCCTTTTAATGAGAAGCTGACGCCATTGCTTTTAGCTGCTTTGCTGCTGACTTTATATTATATATTTTCATGATATATGCAAAATGTATGAATTTGAAAGCAGTTATTCCAGATTTTGAGAAAAAAGTTGTGTATTTTCACATTAAGTAGGCACTTAGGTAGTCAAAGAAAACTTCACTGAAAGTATGGGAATCGTTTTATCGGAGTCCTTCATTATTTTGATATGCTGCTTTGTGATCTCAAGTTCAGGAGGTAAGTTATATTTCATAGTTATTTCCTTTCCAATATTATGTCTAGAACATAAGTTACATTCATTATTTCAAATTAGTTTGAATTTTATTTGTTTCTATAATTAATTACAACTATTTATATGAAAAACGTGTGATAAAGAAAAATTAAATTATGTTCTGAAGAGGATAATACATTTGAATACTTCTATTATAGATTTCTCTTCAACCTACGTGTAAGAAGCACTGAGCTAATTATACGTTTTATTGAATGTCCCAGAAATTACTGTTTTGCATTACTATATTATCATTAATTTTAAACGATAATTTAGTTGAAATTATGGTTTAAAAGGGAAATTGCTATTGTTTAAGAATGTAACTATTATTTAAGAATAAATGAAAATTTATTAATAAGTACCTACTTTGAATTATTGCGTGATGTGAAGGAAGTTGTCGGCGTTGAGATATAGAAAATCGTACGCTTTCTTACTTCTTCTTTTACGAATTTTTAAAAATCTTAATATTTATGCATATCATATACATATGTGTATTCTTCAAAAGTCATGGACTGTTACGCAATTTTAAAATTTTCATAATGTATATTTGGTATCTTTCATAATGATTCATAAGTTTTTCACTTGAAAGAAGTATATTTAATAGATTAACATAACTATTGTGCGCAGTTTAAAAATAGAAGAAGCAGTAGTTTTTCACAGATTGTGACACATTTGAAATTTAATACGGAAAATTGTACCTTATATCATATATAAATTCCAAACGGTACATCACCCATTATGTTGTAGAATGCAGTAGTCAAAAATGAATACTCAAGTATAGTATTATTTTATGTAAACATAGATAAAATGGAGCTCTGAAATATATTTTAAAATCTTTCCTTTTTATTCACATCGACTTTTACGATTGCAATGATAAAACATTAAAAGAAGAGGATGTTTATGATGGTGAATTTTGAACAAATATAACTAGTTTGTTTCATAAATATAGTTATAAATTTCATAAACTTCGTGAATGACTGTAAGTTTTATAAACTTTCTTACCTTAGTAGCTTTATTTTAATTTTATTATCATCCAGGTAATCTTGAATTGCAGCAACGAGATACAAAAGTATATTATTAAAATAAACTTATAATTGTTACGTTATAGATGCACCAGTTGTAGCATCGTTTGCGTTCCCTTCAGCTCTAAGAGAAGGAGAACGAGGAAGTGCCACATGCACGATACGCTCTGGAGACAGACCTTTGGAATTTCAATGGCTAAAAAACGGCGAAGAATTGAAAGAAACTTCTAATGTTGAAATACAGTCAATTAAAGATACTTCTATTTTGTTGATAGAATCTGTGACGTCAGAGAGCTCAGGAAACTACACATGCATAGTTAAGAATGCTTACGGAACTGATAGGTTTACAGCAAGTTTATATGTGTCAGGTAAGTATACACTTTTTTTACTATATTTCTGAACTACGAATTATATTTCTTGCTATGCATTTATAAGAATGAAGGTCTTCAAATATGTTTTAAAATCTTATGAATCTGGCAAATTTAATAAATTCATCTTAAACAAATTTGAAAACTTAGCTAACTAAACAAACAAGCTAAACAAAGATTTCTGATGTGTTTAAATAGATTATGGCAAGCTGCCTTTTATAATGTTATGTACTAATTGTGCTGAGTGATATATCAGTTTAATTGTCAAATTTTAATTCATAAGATAATATTAAAAAAACTGTCATTTTGATGAACGGCCTTCTGAAAAGAATAAAATCTTAAAATAAACTTAAAAATCTGAGAAATTTTAAATGTTATTTCTCATAAGTTTTTCAGAATTTCTGTTAAGGAAAGCCAAAAAATTTAGCTCCGCCATGGACTATGTTTGGAACAATACAAAGGTATCTGTTAACTTAATACAGTGGTGTTAAATGAATTTTGTGCAGAACAATGTTTTATCCAATTGTAGAACACTTTTTTTGGAAGCAATTAATCAGAAATGACCGCGCTTGTTAGAGTTTTAGCCTCTCATCACTGAGAGCTTTGTGCATCACATGGGTTAGAATGATACTGCCCTTGCTAGAAAAAGAGAAAATCTCCAACAAGCAACTAAGCCTTCAGCAGGAGTTGAATCCGTGTCATGCAGATCTGATTAGCAGGCAGCCTCCATTAACCATTATATCGTCTAAGGCAACTTGTGCAGCTTATTCAGTTAAGAGTTTTAATATTTGAGCACTCAAAAGTTGCATTAAGAATAAGAGGATGTTTTCGATGTCCATTCAGGTTTGGAGTATTTTTACTGTCCTGCAAGTTAAATTCTTCATAAACGTGATTTTCATTTCGAAGAGAGGGAAGGGAAAGATATTCAGAGTTAACATACATTAACTATTTTAATACTTTTGAAATTATGAAATGTGTAGGATGTTTTCAAAGTTCTAGAAATTAAGTTCTAATTCTATTTCTGGAACTTATAGGCAACTATATCGGCCAGAGGCAAGTCATAATATGCTTATGAGGCTACTCTCTGCAGTACTGCTTAGTTCGGTTCAGCTGTTTGACTGATTAAGGCGTATTTTTTAACCATGCAAGATGTAAAGAGTAGTCAGTTTTGTTTTGGGGAAAGAGGATGTGAAAACTTCATAAACTCTTCGGAGCAGTATTCCGTTCCCGCATTGTAAAAAACTTTTACGAGATGTTTGATTTGAGAGTTTAACTATCCCATAAATAGGTGAACTGAGGAGATACTTTCAAGAAAATTTCTTTCAAGGCCGCTTAGAAATTATTTTTCACCATCATAGGTGTATTTAATTAAATGGGAATTATGCTAAAATATTGCATTGTATTATTGATGAAGATAGACGATATAAAAAATTTATACTTAAATTCCTGGAACTTTTCCCAAAACATCTCGGGTATATAAAAGTATAGTTTAATAATTTTGAATTCCTTCTACGATTTTCTTATGCAAAATAATTTAAACGACTTAAAAAGTAATATTACACGTTGATCATGATTTCATCGCGTTCAACAATTTATCCAATGCCGCCTTTTGGATATGGTGGTAAGAGAACCGGCTGATCCATCCTTGATACAACTTTCTAGTCATGAAGAAGGAATAAATATCCATAAGTGTATAGTGTCTTTGTGGCATGAGACACTTAAAATAATGTCGAATGTAAAATTTTTCGATAGGTTATTTGTAGCGGAAGAGATGGAATAGCAAATTTTAGATCTTTCCTCCAGCATATTCTGCATTGAAACTGGGACTGACTTTCCCTTTCTGTAAGAATTGTACCCATCACTTTTGTGATGTACACTGAGAAACAGTCTCAAAGCGAGACGGCTAAATTACCGAAGGCTTTTGGCTATTCCTTACGAATGCATTAAGATACGAGTATCGGCCATATGGAACAACAACAATATAATCTATGAAATATGAGTTTATAAAAGTAAGCATAATCTAATTAATTTTTACAAATATAATTTTTTATTAAAATTCATCAATATAAATAATTATACTAATTTAATATATTACTGGGAAGATTTCTTGTAAGTAAAAGTGTCTATAATATATTTATGTTTAAAAACATGACTGTTTGTTACTTTGAGCTGTCATAATTCTGCGTTGATCAGATACTTTTCGAATGTCAAATTCTTAATTTTCATTGAGAATTAATTTTTTTAAAGAAATCCAGAAATTTAATGACTAACTTAATTTATTAATTTCACATATTTATTCTCGAAAACTTACTTTATATTGACATATATATATTCGTAAATCAAGATATTGTTTTCTTGCTAGCTCCTCCAACATGGATTAAAGAACCAATGGATGTGCTTGTACAAGAAGGTGAGAGTCTCACAGTAGAATGTGTAGCCACAGGTGTTCCACAGCCTACTATAACGTGGACAACAGTTAAGTTACTTATTTATCTTCACATTCAGAACTATACAGTATTTAAAATGTTTCCTTTTATAATATAAATGAAGTCATCTATAGCGTTTCTTAGGCTAGTGTGTAGAGACATAGGTATTTTTGGAAGCAGGCAAGAGAGATTGAAAATTTAGCAACACCTTCGCCAGGAATCGAACCATGGACATCTCAATAACGCGCTGAGTATGCTGACCAGTACACCACGAAGGCTCGCTAAGAAGGCGGGAGAAATACCTTATAAGTGTTTTTTGTTACATGTGTTAAAGTTACGTGAACATATGTATCAAGATAAAAGTAATAAGACTTTAAGACCAGCGCAATAGTCGAATAACAAAAATAATGTTCTTTATTCATATCTCACGTGAAGGCATTACTATTACATCAGTTTAAAACAATTACATCCGACAACAATTTTAAAATAAACTGCGAGGGAAGTTTATTATACAACAGTGTTTTTACATAACAGTATTTTTGTAGAAATTTATTACTTTCACTACTAGCATAACTTGAATAAAAATGATTACCAAATTCTGATTAATTTGGACAATTCTTTGACGAAACGGATTCAAAATTTTATAGATACTGCCCACAACATCTTGAATATACGTGTTTGTAAATTTCACGCTCGTTTACTAAGGTCTAATTAGATTTAAGAGAGAAGCAACGAATTCACAGTATTTGGGGCCGTTGTATCAACCAAGAAAAAATAAAAAAGTAGTAATATTTCCTCTTCGTAGAAAAGAGTGGTTAAAATGCATATCAAAATAAAGAAGAAATAATGTTGTCTTTTTGGAGATCTAAATAAACAGTGATAATCCTTTTTCTATCCCAGGTTTTTACTGATATAAATGTACATTTCATTAAATTTTATTCCATACAGATTTCTATAAGTTTTTGGTACTTCAACACATAAAAATTAGTAAATGAAAGTTAAATGTTATTTTCAGACAAAGAAGTAGGATCACAAATTTCTTCAGATCCATTGTCTGTTATCAGAACTTCACCTTCAGGTTCTCTCATTATAAGTAAGGTGGACGCTTCCATGCAAGGTTCTTATAACTGCAAGGCTGGCAACGGGTTTGGAAAAGCCCTTAAAAAGTCCATTAAAGTTTCTGTGCAAGGTAAGAAGACAATGAGAATATATAAACGTGTGCTGAGCTGGAATCATATTATTTGCCACATATTTCGATATGATGATGTATTTTTATTAAGAATCGCAAAGTCAATATTCGTATTAGCTTGATTTTGATTCCCTTCTACGAGTTTCTTGTGTAAATTTAGATTTTATGTGCATCTGCTATAACAATATTGTTATAAATAATACTGTTTTTAACTACTCAGGTGCAATTTCAAAATTAATTTAATTATTTTTAGTACTATTTATTTACCTCTAAATAAGCTTTTTTAAAAAATTTTGTAGTCGTTTGCAAGAGTTGTTTAAAATCCTGTAAAATGTACTCATACTTCTATATGGTATGCACCCGAAACAGAAGGATCTTTCCTATTCTATTTCGGGATTTTGTAATTTTACTTTTTCTGAATTTATTATTTCTTATGATATTTAATAATCGGATAATTTATTAATAAAATAATTTTATAATCGGATAATTTAATAAAGGCTTCCAAATACTGTAGTTTAATGTTTGCATCTTGACCCTTATGAAATAGTTTGGGAGATGTTCACTAATATCTTATTATAACATTAAAACTATTATGAAATGTATTGTTTCTTTTTATATTTGTAAATAATGTGAATATAATGCTCGACATAATACTATATTATATTAAAAGAACCTGAAGTAAATAAACTAATCGAAACTTTTGACCTAGTTTTGCAGCTTAATATGATTCAAAGGAATTGAGAACTTACTAAGTGTAACTTTGCGTAGTCATTTACTCTAATAATAATTTATAAGTGTGTCGGGAAGTACGTCCGGCTCGCAAACGAGATATTAGGGAGATGTTTCGTTTTACACAGATAAAACTGTATCACCTCTAATTTTGTTACATATGTTTGTAATGTTATTTTCTGCAATCGGACTGTATTTGAAATAAAGTGTAAATCAACTGAAAAGTGCATTCTGATTTTTTGTGCCTCTTATTTTCCAAGTTTTGATTTTAATTTCAGAGTTAATGCATCTGTTTCAAAATACAGTGCTTTTAGAGTCAGCATAAAAATGTAAGTGCAATATGTATACGACGCTGCTAACATGGATTCCGAAACTCTATGATAAAGCTAGTACTGAAATTGTGAAATAAAATTATTTTATTTAACAAGTTCGTTATATTTTTTTTTAATTCAAAGAGTATTTAAAATATTTTAATGAGGTATATAACGTCGCTGTGATGTTAATGAACTGCTGCAAAATGTATGAACATTTTTAATTCAAAATGCTTCCGTTGTGTGGCGCTACGTTTCCGTTTCCTCACGTTTAGTTCAAAATGCTATGGACGCTCTGAAATGTTCTCTGATTCTTACTATAGTCTTTTTAATTTTGCGTAACGTCTTGTGATTTTTAGGTAGTTGATGAGGGTTAGTTAATAGTGATCATGCATATCTGAGTAATGAGCAAATGGCAAAAAAGATTTGTTAACATTGAAAGCATAATGTGGAAAAAAACTGCTCTCACTTCTCATTTTATGGTGCTTGTGACGTTATTACAAAGCTCTGATGCTAATGGTGAGTACTGACTCCTAATTATCAGAATTTACTTTTTTTTGTAATGTTTAGCTTCTGTTTGTTGTATCTATGTATGTAAGTACTATTTTTAAAATTTAATTCAATGATTTTTACAAATCCGGTATGCGGTTTTTGTTTCTTACTTATTTCTGACTAGAATGAAACTTCGATTGCAATGTGTTATATTATACTTACTGTTATTCGTGTATTATTTGACTGTTATTAGCTAATCTTAAGCTCTGTATTTTATTTACAGTTTTTGAATTCTATTTTGAAAATAATTAGATTTATTCCAAAATTGGCATATATTTATCAGAAGAGGCTAATGTTTTAATTATTATTTTATTGATCAGAGAAGAGTAAATATAATTAATTAAAATTTGCATACTTTTATGTATACTCAATTGTTAATTAATGTATTTTATATTGCTTTTACAATAACTCAAATTTATTGCTTATTATATAAAGTTATGTATTTCGTTATGAAGTGATTTATTGAAGCAATAACAGTTTTAACTCTCACATGTGATCGAGTTTCAAAATGTCTATATTATTGCACATCTATGGATATGGCTCTATATGCAAACATGAAACTGCAACAAAATGTTAATAAATAAAGTTGATAAATTTTTTTGTACATTTAAAAATGACTCAATACATAATTAGGAGTCTGGAAATTGCAGGCAAATATGTGATACTTATGGTTATTATAATAATACATCCTTATATAAATGATATTTTCTTACGCAGCTAATAAAATTCTTTCTTCATGATTCTTTCTTCATTCTTAGTGATGGAAAGTAAAAGAAGTCCTATGAAATTTCATTTAATGCAAATGCAAGTTAACAATAAATTGTTTAAGAAATTCACACGTAGTTTCGTAAATAAAGAAGTTATGTTTAAAAAAAAAGCACTGACATTTTGATATAAGTAAATATTAGACATTTTTGCTCTCTTGAAGTATTTCATGTTTTTTTCCTTTGAAGAAGAAAATCCTGGGTTTGATCGCCCTCGATTTTGATACAGTTTTATTCAAAAACTAAGCAAATCTAAAAATAAATAAATAAATAAAACCTGAAAGCTTTCAGATTTTATATTGGGCCAAACGAGCCTTTTTTGAATTTACAGACATATACACCTTTCGAGAGAATTTTGGCTAGCGCCATTTTGGGCTAAATATATTTAAGAACAGCATATCTTTAGAATTCAAGATTGACAGTCTCGTACGCCGAGAATAAAAATATTTTATTCCCTACAATAAGCTCGCTTTGAAATCGTTTTTTAAGTAAAAATTCGTTAAAGTTTTACAAAATATGAAACAGACAATAAAACAAGTTCGAAATTCCAAATTCGGGCTTCCAGGTGTTCGTGTTCGGTGGAGGACTATGCTATTCAAAATTTGACGACCCTAGGTTCCGTTGTTTTTTCACAATGCGAGAAACATACATATATTCATGCAGATTATTCATTATTTAATTTATTTAAACATAATACAGAGCGATAATATTTGCAGATTATTCATTATTTAGTTTCCTTAAATATAATACAGGGCGGTAATATTTGGTGGCAACAATTTGAAAACGATACACCGCATTTAAGTGATTCAACTCAAATGCCGTTTCGAGACTAATGGCCCTTCTGTGCTATAAAAATGCGAAAACTGATGAAAAAATGGTTAATTGAAAAATCTGCAGAAATTTAAAGATATTCAACAGTACTTAAAAGAGACATGAATTGTAATGTAGCTTTTGATATAATTCAGATCATCAGTGAAATATTGTTTTTTTTAAGCTCCTCCAAAAGTGCAGCCAATCTTACTACCAGAAATGGTCTCCATCGGTGAAAATGTGATGGCTACTTGTGCGATTAGGAGTGGCTCGAAACCTATGAGTTTTAAATGGATGAAAGATGGAAAAGAAATACAGAATGTGCCTCATGCTTCTGTTGAAACGTCTAATGAGTATTCCGTGTTGGCAATTACACCAGCAACGCAAGAAAATATGGGCAATTACACTTGCATTGTAGAAAACACGTTCGGAAAAGATGAATCGTCTTTTCCCTTAATAATAAAAGGTAAGAATAATTACAACATAAATACACTACAGAGTTTGAAAAGCTTTGCTTAGTCCCTCATATTACTTTACAGGCCTTGAAATATTACTGAAGTTAAATTTTTGTAATTTGCTTTAACTTTTGCTTCCGTAGAGTCACTAAGTTTCATGGTACAGGAAATATTAAAAAATCAACTGTATCTTCGTTCGAATCTTCTAGTTGCTATTTTGATGTAATAACCAATAACCACAAGAATGTGCGGGAGAAATATTTGAAGTCTTTAGACAAAAACTTTGTTATGCACTTCAAAAAGATTTCTTTCTTATAATGAATCCAGTTACTTGTTTCAGTAAATAAATTTTTAATACTGTTTTGCTTTCATTTAATGTGTTAGAAAGTTTCCTTCTTTAAATTAATGGAGTAGGTAATGAAATGTTGTACGGGAGATTTTTCTTATGGGAATTTTCAGTTACATTAAATAGACATACACAAGTTCAAAAGTTTTATTTATTTGTTCTTCTTATTTTATAGAAAATATAAATGCAATTACTGGCAGATAAAAAAATTACAACGTGAATGACAACAAATGACAACAAAAATAGTCAAAAAAGAGGATTAAGTTTACTAAATTGCATGCGATGGAATTTAAAATGTTTATGGAACAAAGACTGTAGAAATAATTGGTTGTAATCTGACTGTCCGTATGTTCTAAGAGCTAATAAAAGTTTAACTTAATATCACTTTCTATTCACATTACATATTTTTTCAGCACCTCCATCATGGGTTCTAAAACCTCAAAATGTCAAAGCATCCGAAGGTCAAGCTGTAATTATATCATGTTCGGCAGATGGTTTGCCAAAGCCAGAAATTAAATGGATGAAGGATGGAGAAAAGAGTAAGTTTCTTTTTATTTGTATATCTTATAAATACTTAAGACGTTTCTGACTGCTTTTAATAAATTATTAGAAAATATATTTTTAGGAAGAATTCTTACAAAACTGGTTATTTTAGGTTAAAAATTAACAAGAAAATTAATGGGATATAAAAACATCCAAAAATACTGCGGTTCTATGGCATTAAAATGTAACTATGACATTTTTTAGAACGTACAACGTATTTACAGGAAACGTTGTTTGACCTTAAATATCATATATCAATACTATTAAAATCGGTGCGCGTCTGATTGTTTGTTTGTTTGTTTGTGACATTACCTCCTTTGAAAAGCAGGGGAGTTGAGTTTTGAGAGAGGTACCTCCCGGATTCCATAAATTTGTGAGAAGCCATTTCGACTATTCTCGTCCTCGAACGTGTTTAATCAGCCGAGATATTAATTAAAAACGCTAATTTTAGCACTCATTTTTCCGAGTGGCAACAGTCTCGCTCCCTGGAGATAAAAATCTGCTTTATTTCGAAAAGTGTTGCTACTGCTCGCTTTCAAATCATAGAGTTTGTCAATAAAAAATTTGTAAGTTTTACAAAATATGAAATAAAAATAGCTTTGCCAAACATTAAGCTTATTATTATTATATAAGGTCGTATTTTGACATTTAAGAAAGTACGCGATTGCATGTGACGTCATTGTATGTCGAAAATGTTTTGATAATGTCAGCATTTAAATAAGTAGCTTCTCTTTCCGGCCTTTAATAGCTTTACACCGACGAGAGATATTTTTAGTATTTTCTGTTTCTCGAAATTACTGGAAAGCAATAAGAGGACGGAATTACGTTTACAACTAACAATAGTGGTAAATTTCATTTGTTCAATTTCAATAAATATTACCGAGACATCAATTTACACAATGTTAAATGCACGTGCCCTGTTTTATGACTTCTCTGGCACAGCTTTGTCTTAAGGGAGCTCATACACCTTAAAACCCATAAGATCTTCGAATATATAACTGTCGCAAGAATTGGGATAACTTATTTATTTTAAAAGCAACTCCTTCCAACTTTTTACAGCTGACTACATGATATAGCTGTGTTCTGAAATAGTAATCAGGAAGTTTGTGTTGCCACAAATATTTCCAAAAAATGTTGCGTGCGTACGGGTTGGTAATAGATTGAATGAGAAAATACGATAATAGGCTGATAAAATTTATTCTTATCAAAAGAAATCTATGAGAACGCTGGAATTTTTCTCAGAGATATTCGTCAAGTGTTCACAACATCACGCAGTGTAATCAGTAGTTCGTCTTCAAACTACTAAAAGCGCTAAAATACAACGCAATGTAAAGCATATCTAAAGAGAAAGGTAATTCAGATATCTGAGTTCACACGGAACTAGACAATTCGAAATAACAGTAACTAAGCAACTGAACTCAGACGCTCTCTCCAGCCTATTATAGTTTTCAATCGGCTCGAGATATTTCTAGTACTTTTTGTTTCTCGAAATTACTAGTAAACAAAAAGAGAATTGCGGTTATTACGGTTACAGTTAAGATAGTGGTAAACTGCATTTATTCAGTTTCAATGCAAATTACTGAGATATCCATTTACTCAATGCTAAATGCACGTGTCCCTGTATTCTTACTTTTATGGCATAGCTTTCTCTTAAAATTTGTCTCGCGCTTCATTGCACGGGGATATGCAACAATTTTAATTATAAGTCTGCTAAAATTAGCTATCTAAATACAGAATTCGTAAAACAATACATTTTCTTTACAGGTGTACACAGAACTTATAAATTTTGCTTTGGCCGCAGCCCGCCCATCTGGAGAGTTTACTTGCTTGTATATGTATAATATGTATATAATTATGACATGCTCATAAAATTGCTGTTTTGAAGATATATTCGAATATTTTTCATACTGTCTTAACGTCTTAGGAAATATTCGGGTGCTACTTTGGTAGACGGTTGCACAGATTTTGGCGAGATTTTTTTTGGAGAGCGATACGACTTATGGTAAACCCATTGCTGGACATGTTATTTATGGTAACCGATGCTTTGTTGTCATTTTATTTAAAAAATAATGCATTTTATTATGCATAAATTCTGTGTTTTAAATATTATTTATGACTTCTAAATATTAAAAATCAATTTAATTTTGAATTTTTATTTTAAATAAAAATTTTATTTTTTTATGATATTTTATATAATCTTATGTTGTGGATGATGTAATCAATGACGTCATCTTGCTTTAAAAGTAATTGGTTTTAATATCTATAAATGTAATCTAATGTTTTAAACATTATTTATGGCTCTTAAATATTAAAATATAATTTTGCATTTTTTTGAAAAATGATTTTATTATGTATGATAATTTAAATAATTTTAATTCTAAGCGTGATGTAATCAGCTCCCTGATTGGTTACAGAATATTTGTGCATTAACGAGCTGTAATCAGCTCGCTGATTGGTTACTGAATATTTGTATATTACCGCGCCATTTTAAAACTTTATTATTCATCTCTTCGAATTCCTTAGATTTCATAGCGAACGGATATGTCCCTTTCAAAGATTAATGTTGTTATTGGTAAGTACACAAGAATTATTGGTATCGGAATCAAAAAATTGTCCTTTGAGACCTTATTTAGGCCAAGCTGGCTTTCTTAATCAAAAATGTATTTATAAATTGTTACAAGGGCCAGAGGAAATTTACTTTAAACTTTTGGAGGAAACCTCACTAATTGCTTCTTCAATGAAGTGCGAGAAATGTGGATCACAGATGAAGATCATTACAGGAACCTATTCTGAGAACAGCCGTATATGGTATTGTGGTCACGGTGGAAGGAAGAACGCTGTAACGGTAAAAAAGTATTTGACATTCCTCCTTTTTTACCGGCAGTAAACTTCTAATTGCTGTCATTTTAGCTCTAGTGTACGAAACGTTCTTAGGTACTGTTCGATTTCGAGGGCCGTAAAAAATCGCCAAATTATTGTTGATGCCAATGCTGCCAAAAATTATTGCGGCAAGAAAGGAAGTATAATAATAAATAACTATCTAAGATTGATGTTTTAGTTTAGATGAAAGGTTAATTTCATATAATACTTTTTTATTGTTATAATTTATATGAAAAAGGCTAAACATCACTGAATGGAAGCATAAGAGTAAATAACTATTTCAGATTATTATTATAATTTATATAAAAATTGCTAAACACAACTGAATGGATGCCTGCATCGCTATTTCGCTAGCGATTTATCGCTAAAGCATAATTTTCATCTCGTTGGTTGCTCAAACATAAGTTTCTATAATGAATGATGAATGAATGAATTCTATAATGAATGATGCCTTTACTTTGAAAATATTCTCGGTGCAGAATCGCCCACTTATTTGTTTGCCGCTTTTTATAAGGGTAAAAAGAATTGGATTTTTGTCAATTTTCTTTTACTTTTTATGTGAAAATAGGTCGATGCGTACATAGATAAAGTCAAGGGTGTGCACAGTGCCATTTTTGTGCAATTCTGGGATTTTTTTTAAGTGAAAATAGGTCGATGTCTACATGGACACCGAGTATGTGCAATTCTTAAAAGCGCGTCAAACAGTGGGTGATTCTGCACTTTACCCAAAATTCTATTGCCGACTTTTTGTCATGGGCAGTTCCTAAATTGTTAAATCCATAGGATATTAAAAAAGGATTTAAAATCAAAAAAGGATTTAAAAACTAAATTAGCATTTCAATGGTGTCGTAAGAAATATAGAACTATATAAACTTACGCAATCTGAAATCAGCGCCTACGCTAGATATGGCGTGCTGTTAAATGGGCGCGTTTGCTAGATTTGGCGCTTTTGCGCATACATTTTCGCTGCAATTTTTTACGGTCCTCAAAACGGAATAGTACCCGTTCTTATTTACTTATTTTAAAGTATTCAAATTTAAGTAATATTGTAATTCTTTTAAACGTTGGTATGATGGTTTTAATTCGATATTCAACTTAAGTAATATTTTAATCCAACTGAACGTTGGCGCAATGTTTTATAGCGGTGTTTTTATTCTATTTCTTTGCTATATGAAAGTAATAATTTAACCTTTACTTTAGTATTTTATACTCTTAGTAAATGTACTTATTTACATTTTCCAGCCATCTTAAAAAACAACGTTTTCAACAAAACATTAATCCATTATTTTTAACGATATTTATTTTTTTAAAGTTTTGAATACTTTAATATGCGCAAAATACGTAAAAACAGCATTTTTCAATATGGCTTACGATTGTAAAAACCATGCCAACAATAGCGCCAAAGTAAATCGCCAAAAAGCCGTGCAACCGTCTACCAAAGTAGCGCCAATATTCGGAATGTTTTAAGCATTTATTTGAATGTTGCATATAAATTATTATTTAAAAATAATATGGAAAGATAATTGTGTTGTGATTTTATTTAAGATTTATCATGCCTCATGCTTGCAACCCTATGCAAAGAGAAGAAATTTTAAACTTGCAATCTAATGAATGATTTTAATTTTTCAGTTTCATCATCTAACTCTCTAACATCGCAAGAAAACAGCTTAACGGTATTTCTAAATGGTTCTCTTTACATTTCGCACGTTAGAAGGCATTATGGGGGAGTGTACGAATGCATAGCAAGTAATGAAGTTGAACCGGATCTAAGGTCGAGCGCTGTTCTCACAGTAAATGGTAAGAACTGAAGCATAGAGCTGATTAATGCAAATAATTAGTCCTTTGAGTATAAGCATTGTTTTTAACTTACAATGCTTTTTTAAAAATATTTGTAGGAACGTAATCCATTTATTTAAACTATTGAAAATGTTTCTTAAAAAGTAATTTTTCTTACTCCACTAAACAATGTGATATATTTGGTTTAAAGGAATTCATATTATATGCAATATAAATACTTCCTTTTGAAATTTACGATGAAACTATATTTGTAAATAATGTTTGTTAAAATTATTCTCATTTTTCTGTATTTCTGTTACATAATGAAACGAAAGAAAATTGAGAATCTGTATATTAAAGGAATAAAAATATGAAATTAAAATATTGGTTTGGCTTTATTTATTTCATGTCATGAATAATTAATAAAATATACCATATGCTTATATTCGCATGGTATTTTATTAAAATGCATAGGTACTTCATTGTTAACTGTAACTTTCGTACGTTTTATATCATGTTACGAATATTTTTGATTAAAAAATACATACATATATTTGTTTATTTACCGTATTTTATCTTTTTGCTTTGAGTTGGCAAGAAATTACATCCTCTTTAAAAAATGAGAATTTTTAACTTCCAGAAAGTCCTCCATGTGGCGCTAGTTGTTACATTAAGTAGACAAGTATATGCTAGTGAGTTCTCGGCATCATAAACGCCATAGTTTACGTACGAAGGAGTTCCTTTTTACAAGACTTCGCATATTATTATACCTAGTGCAAAACTGTATCTTAATGTTCATTATATCTGATTCCTGGAAATGAGGAATATGCCTCGCAATAGCCGTATTGTGATATATACGTTATGGTACTTTCTTAGCAGTGTCTTGGAAAAAGTGTCTGGAGACAGTTTCTCAAAAGGTATGTAAAATTTTAAGCATTTAAGATATAAACTATCTTTCTTTTATTGTAAATAACTGTTTTATAATATTCATAGCTTTAATATTTTTGAGAATCAACTCGTCACAATTTTTGTTTTTACAGTTCTTCACAATCCTACTGTCAAAAGCATAATAAAATAGAAATGAGATTGTAGAATATCCTGATTGTTGTAATCTCATTATTAATCTTAACATTGCTTGGCAACTGAATTTATACTAAACTTTTAATAAAATTTAATAGTATTAATAATTCTTTCCATATGATATGGATTTTATGTAATTCATTTTTAGATCCAATTTGTAAAATTTGCAAAATTTATTGCTTTTATTATCATTATAACTTAGGTTTAGTTTCCTGTATGTCATAATCATAATTTTTTTTAATGTGTCCTACCTCCAAAAAACCCATAGTTCAAACAATCCATTTAAATGAAATTTGTATATGAAATTTTTATTTCATGTCAACTATATGAGCATATACTGTTGACGAAATACATACAAGCAGATATATATGTGAGGAATACTGTTGTAAATGAACATGTTTTATTTCAAAATCTGAAAGTTACAAGATTAAATTCTACTTGCTTGTAGAACTAATAGTAATTGGTGTCCTTAACTTATTTAAAATGAGATTTTATGGTGTTAATTAACTTGATAATTTATTTATTACATTAATAAATTTAATGTAATATCGCTTGTAATAAAAATAATTAGGATGCTTTTGAATCTTCTTTTATGTTATTCGTATAAAAATGCTTGAATTGTATTAGAGGGGCAGCGTATTAAACTGATTATGTTTCTAAAGTGTAATCCGAAAGTAATTCAAGTTGAAATGCACAAAACGTTCGAAATGGACTGTGATTAAATTTGTCATTAACAGTGTATTTGGCCATGCATAAATTTATAAACTGCTACAAGCCTCGTTATTATAATGGTACTATTTTCTGTATTGAATACCTCTTGCTTTATTTAATAGTTCAGTTTTTAGTTTGATACATTTATTAACATATTTGCAATTGTTACAGCTGCACCAGTTATACAGCCCTTCACGTTTCCAGAGTCTGCATCTCTTGGTCAACGAATAACAGCTGCATGTGGTATTCTTCAGGGTTCAAAACCGTTAACATTCAAATGGCTGAAAGATGGCAAAGAAATTTCTGGGATCCCCAATACCTCAGTAGATAAGCAAGATGAATATTCAGTTCTCACCATTTCCTCAGCATCTAAGAGCAATGTAGGAAACTATTCGTGTACGGTAAAAAATGCTTTTGGAGAAGATACACACGTAGCAAGTTTTATCCTAATGGGTAAGTCTTAGAACAAAATATTCCATATTTCATGTTAAATATAAGCTATAAAACATAAGCATATATAATTTTAAGTCAAAAATTCATCACTGCAAAGTTAACTGTGAAAAAGGAGCTTTGGACTTGTTACATAACGTTTGCATTTAATGATCCGATAACTCTTTTAACAAGTTACGTTTGAGAAAGTTTCATTAATAGAGAAATTTTTCTCAATTTTTCTATTGTTATAGTATTGTCAAGCTTATAGTTTGTCAAACATTTCAAGGATTTAAGATAAGCAATAGCATGACTGGTATATATCGTACTCGTTTTTATATTCATTTCTTGCTTCTAATAATTTTTGCTAAATTCTTATTATTAATATTGCTAAATTTTATCTGCATTACTCTGTTAAAAATAAGAAAGGACTAGACATGGTTCATAGCATAATGACGCATGCAAAGAGAAAGATCGGAAACGAAAGAACTGTTGTAGCGTGAAATATTTTACATGGCATTGTTTAAACGCTAATCTCATTATAGGAATAAACTTATCAAAACTCTGCTGCAGCACAGCGTTATAATCCTTGGGGGCAAAATGCTTGTTAAATGAAAAAGATGTAAAATTTATTTTTTTATGAGGGTAATAAATATTTTTTGTGAACTAAGTAGGTTACGTAACTTTACTTCATTTCAAAATCATCATTTGTTTTAGAGGCTCCAACCTGGATTCAAGAGCCGGAAGATATTGTTGGTGTGGAAGGACAACGAATAGAGATAAGGTGTGTGGCAGACGGCTCACCGAAACCAGAAATAATATGGAAAAAAAGAAGTGGTAAGCGTGTTGTATTTTATATGTGCTTTTATATGTGTTGGGTACGTGCTTGTAGTGATGATTACAAGATGTACACAAACATTGTTTATTCTACATTACTCATCTAATATTCTATATTACAGTTATGATTAAAGATAATAGACACAGTTACAGTTACATATATAACATCTCCCTTTTTATAAAATATAATAATAGTAGTAAAATTAAACATATTCTTTTAAATAATAAGGTTTCTTAACAGTCCTACCAGATCGAGTGACGTAATTATGTCCATTTGAAAAATTTGATGATACTATACCTCTTTCACTATTTGGTGACACAACACTTCTGTTAGATTTTGAAGGACTTATAGGCACATCTAAATTTGTAGTGCTCCTACTATTTTCATGCAAACTCTTCCTGATTAGTTCCTTTAAGAAGGTCTCTTCTGTTCCTTTCTACAATTCTTCCATCTGTTCTTATAATCCTATGTGAACGTGGTCTTTCTGCTTCTTCTATAATTTTCCCTCTTTCATTTAGTTTTCCCCCTTTCTCTTTTATGTAAACATGATCTCCTGTTTTCAGTGGTTTTAATGGTCTTGCATTCCTATCATAATAATTTTTTTATAAGGTTTGTCTCTTCAGTAAATGTTGTTTATGGTCTTCATATGGTTTAGCTTGGACAAAATTCTCTTTTATAGGCATCAATCCATTTACATTTCTTCCAAACATCAATTCTGAAGGTGACTTAATTTCATCTGATATAGGAGAGTTATGATATTCCAGTAATACTAAATATGGATCCTTGTTGTCAACTACAGCTTTTTCTAACATTCGCTTGACAGTTTGAATATGTCTTTCAACCATTCCATTAAACTGTGGGTATTTTGGACTTGAAGTTCTGGTTTCAAAATTCCATCTTCTTGCAAAATCTTTATATTTCCTGCAATTATATTGTGGACCATTATCCGAATATACTATTTTCGGAATACCATGCCTTGCAAAAATTGATTTCAATTGCTTTATCACTGCTACACTTGACAAATTTCCCAAATGTCCAATTTCAACATATTTGCTAAAATAATCTTTTACTATTAGATAATCTCTTCCTTGAAAGTAAAAGAGATCTGTTCCCAATACTTCCCATGGACCGTTAGGTATTTCGTTAGATATCATCGGTTCTTTAGTATTAGCTTTTTGTAAACTTAAACATGTTTGACAATTCAGTATCAAATCTTCAATTTCTTTCGACATTCCTGGCCAATATAATATTTCTCTTGCTTTGATCTTGCATTTTACTACTCCTAAATAACCATAATGAATTCTGCTTAACATGTCTTTTCGAAAACTTTTCGTACAACAACACAGGAATTTTTAAATATTAATCCATTTGCTTCTGATAGTTCTTCTCTGAAGTTAAAATATGGTTTTGCCAGTTTTGGAACCATACATTTTTCATCTGGCCATCCAGTTTTAATTAATTTTTTTAAAACTTGTAGTTCTTCATCTTTTTCTGTTTTCAGTTGAAAAACTTCCATTTTACCATTAGACATTGGTATACATTCTACAACCAGTCCAACATGAGCTTCTATATCTCCTTCAAAGAAATCAGATCCTTCATCAGTGAATGATCTTGATAATGCATCCGCTATAAAAAGTTCTTTTCCTGGTTTATATTTTATCTCAAACTGATATGGCTGTAATCTTATACGCATTCTTTGTAGTCTTACAGGGCATTTATTTAATGGCTTTTTGAAAATTGATTCCAGTGGTTTATGATCACTTTCCACAGTAATATTTTTTCCAAATATATACTGGTGAAATTTCTCACACGCAAATAAAATAGCTAAAGTTTCCTTTTCAATTTGAGCATAATTCTTCTGTGTATCTGTTAATGCCTTAGATGCATATGCTACTGGTAAATTATTCTGCAGTAAGACTGCTCCTAGTCATTCTTGAGATGCATCTACAGATAAAACTACTGGCATGTTTATATCATAATACTGTAAAACTGGTTTATTTACTAAGACATCTTTTAGTCTTCTAAATGCTTTTTCATGTGTTGCATTCCAGTTCCAGATAACTTGTTTTTTCAACAAATCTCTTAAACATGATGTCAATTCTGATACATTAGGTATAAATCTAGAAACATATGTAATCATTCCTAAGAAAGTTTCTACTTCTTTCACATTTTTTGGTGGTTTTATATCTAGAATGGCCTTAATTTGTCTTCATCTGGTTTTTAAACCATCTTTAGAAAATATATGTCCCATATAGTTCACTTCATTCAGCCCCAAATTTACATTTATTTAAATTAAATTTAACATTCTTTTCTCTGGCTCTGTCCAACAACTTCTTTAATCTTAAATCATGTTCTTTTTTATCTTTACCCCAAACTAATAAGTCATCTATATATATTTGAACTCCTTCTAAATCACTAAAAATTTCAGAAAAACGTCTGTGGAAAACTTCTGGTGATGAACTCAGTCCATATGGCAACCTCAAAAAACAATATCTACCAAACGGAGTGTTAAATGTAGTAAATTCACAACTTGAATCTGACAGTTTAATTTGCCAACATGCTTTGTTTGCATTTAAATACTAAAGACCTTTGCATTTGTCCTTTGAGATGGTGGTGTATTCAATTATGGCAAAGCACACTAGGGCTATCTGCCTAAGGGGAGGGATGCCTTTCGTGGAGGACTTTCTAAGGGAAACTGGCTCGTATACACGTCACACATGGGGAAAACCACGAAAACGCCCATGCAGCCAGCCCGTTCGCGGGATTCGAACCTCGGACCGAACTACCAGTGTTCAGCGACTTTACCGCTCGGCCGCTGGTGGGCTGTCCTTTGAGATGAAATTTCTTCAAAGGTTGGTATGTGATAATGTTCTCTCAATATATTTTGGTTAAGGTGCTGAGGATCTAAACACACTCTTAAATTTCCATTCTTTTTCCTTACTACCACTAATGAATTCACGAATTCTGTTGGTGGATAACTTTCTTTATAATACCATCTTTTTCCATTCTTGCTAATTCCTTTTTTAATGGATTTAATAAGCTAAGTGCAATTTTCCTACAGGGTTCTATTTTACCAATAGCTCCTGGTTTTAATTTAATATGATATGTATATCCAGTTAAATTCCCAGTTCCTTTAAACAAATCTTGATATCCTTTTAAAGATTCTGGTAACATTTCATTGGAATCAGGATTTACTGTACAAATTCTTTGTATTAGGCTTAATTTTTGCAATGTAGGTAAACCTAAAGTAGGTGGAACAGTTTTATCACATGCTACGACCTGAAATTCTACTTCATCCTTGTGCCCTTTCACATAATAATTTACATTTTCCAACGACATCAATTGTAGTACCATTGTAATTATTTAAAGTGACTTTTGATTTAGTCAAACATTTCTCTCTTAAATTTAATTGTTTAAATTTAAGCAATGGTAGCACATTACACTGAGCTCCAGTATCCAACTTAACAAATAAATATTTAGATATGTTTACTTTTAGTTTTTCAAACCATTCTGTTTTATTTTTAGAAAATGGATTTGTATCTTCTACTGACCCTAAAATATATTCATTACTATTATTATGTAACTCATGCTCTAAATTATTCTGTACAACATTAATATTTTTATAAGTGCAGATTTTAGAAAAGTGATTTTTCTTTTTACAGTACAAGCAAATCTTATTATAAGCAGGACAGTTGTATAACTTATGAAAAGTTCCACATTTTCTACATGGTTTTGGATTATTGTACTTATTTCCTTGATAGTTTGAAGAAGATTTAGTACTTTGTTGCTTTTGTTTTACATGATAGTCTTTCTTACAGGGCTGATTTTTTTCCTCTGAAGGTGGAAATTTATTACGTTTGATAGCTTCTACTTTATTTTCTTCAGTTAAAGTTTTCAGCTGAAGTTCTGCTAATTCAGAAGCTTTACACATTTTAATACATTTCTCCAATGTTAACTGATCTTCCCTTAATAATCTATCTTTGAGATTTTTATTTAGAATTCCACTTACTATTCTATCCCTTATTAAACTATCTTGTAATTCTGCAAATCCACAGTTGCTACTTAATTTCTTTAAATCGGTTAAGAAATCATCAAACGATTCACCTACATGTTGTGTTTGACAGAAAAATATATGTCTATCAACACTTTCGTTTGCTTTCGGTATGCAAAAATTTTCGAAAGCTTCAATTACTTTGTCAACATCCTTCTTATCTTCTTCACTTAAATTAAAGGTATTAAATTTTTCAAGTGATTCTTCACCAATAATATGCAATAAAATAGCTACTTGAATTTCAGGTGATTTAGTAATACCACCAGACGCTAACATGTAAATTTGGAATTTTTGTTTTCATTTCTTCCAATTTTCGCTTAAATTTCCTTCGAAACTTAGATTACTTGGTGGCTTTAATCCATCCATATTTAATTTAGGACTTTAAATATTTTATACATATACGTATTTTTAGCCACTTCCAATAAAAATAAACAACGCACTTACCAGCGATATAAGTTTCGATTTCACTGTAAACAACTTCCCATCATGTTTTTGTTTAGAATATCTTTACCCACGCTGCATGGTTCTTAAAAAAAGATTTTCTTTTTTAATCAACGACGGGCTGCGCCATGTGTTGTATTTTATATGTGTTGGGTACGTGCTCAGTGATGATTACAAGATGTACACAAACATCGTTTATTTTACTTTATTCATCTACTATTCTATATTACAGTTATGATTAAAGATAAAAGATACAGTTACAGTTACATATATAGAAGTAAGCGTTTATAATTCTAAATAATTTCTGCCTAGCAGGCCATATTTTACAAAGGTTTTTTAAATCGTAGTAGCTGTAGAGAGTAAGTGCCTTTCCTGAATTTCACTTAATGTGCATTAAAATATATGCATCCAAATCATTAAACAGAATATCCTAGTAACATTAGTTTTTCTCGCATATTCTACTTAATATACAAGCATCTGGTAATAAGGCTAATAATTTGAATTGATATGCATCATTAACTGGCCAACTCTCTTTTTTTGTATTACAGCACTTCCATCTGAATTATTTCGTTGTATAAGATAAATTTGGAAACTTTATTGAAAGATAAAACACTACTTTCAAGACTGTGCGTATTTCCGAAATTAGTGAATAATTTATACAGTTTGCAGTGAAATAATTAAACATACTTCTATATTTTAAGAGCTTAAATTTTACCTTATGGGACATTAAGTACAAAATTTATTTTGTGTCATATTAATACCCATGAAATTTCATATCTTATACTTGAGATGTGCGTTTAAAGTAGCAGCAACAAGATTACTAACGCCATCTAGTGTGATTTTAAAAAAGTATTATTAGAAACAGCTACTAAGAACTGAAGGCATTGCATCTTCTAATATTTAACTTTAGTTACTAAAAAGTTTCTAATATAAGATTTTATGAAATTATCATTTTAAAACGATTCACTTGGATGAAGTGTTTTATAAATTATGAAAATAACTTATTCAATACTGTATAAGAATTTGGCATGCTATGAAGTGATGCATATAAAAAATTACTGTGACCATTGTAAATTGCTTCACGCTTTCTAATTATTCTAAGGCTATGAATTAATAACAGTGCAAGAATAATTTTGTTGTAACCGGAACTAAATTTATTTTTATCTGCTTTATGCCATTCTTTATTATAACTGTAGGTGCTGAAATAAATTAATAATAAAATTCCGTTATTTATAATATGTTGTTTATTTTTTGTGTCTAATAAAATATTTAGATTCGATTCCTATTTTTAGACGGTCAAGAGGCTGAAATTAATGGCTTAGCAGAACAATTCCGAAACGGGTCTTTGATAATTTCTTCATTGAAGTCTGAAAGTTCTGGTGCTTATATTTGTGAAGCTAAGAATGGTATTGGAAGCTCAATTAAAAAACTGGTTGCTGTCCATGTGAATGGTAAGAAAGTGGACATATTTTTATTGCAGGTTTTAAAGGTTATAAATTGCCACATCATTTAAAGTCTAGTTAAATACTGAATATTACTCGTACTTTAAACATTAAACATATTAAACACTAATTGATTTATGCAATCGTTACTGATTAAAAATACTGAAAAGGTTTCGTATAAATTCCTTTTGCATGCATTCATGTATGTGTACATGATTATTTCTCATCACTAAAAATATATTTTAAAACTTAAATTCCTTTTATTCAAGCATATTTATTAATTAAAATTGTTCAAAGGAATCCTGTAACGTTTAGTATGGAATTCTTGTTCTGATCTTCTGTGATTTTCAAATGTTTATGTTCAGTATTTAAGACCTGATATTTGATTTCATTAATTTGAATAATTAACTGAAAATAAATATATTTATTAAACACGTGAGTGTTTTGTTCGTTATTTCTCCGTTGTGTGGCGCTAAATGTTCATGTTTCGGTTTGCGTTTCAAAGGACGCTATTTCCCTCCTCTCATATATTTGTTTCAAGTATGCCATTATAAGAGTCTATATCATATTAGAATTATGAAATTTATACAAGGAACTAAGTTATTTTTAAATATAGATTGCTTTTCTTTGGTTTCAACTTCGGAATAGTATGAGCGATGAAAAGTTTTCTCGACATTGTCCTGTTTACCTTATACTCCACGGCGGCAATAGCAGTTACAGGATCTGAAGATGAAGGTACGTAAAAATGTTTAATGTCTTAATATTTTTTATAATTAATGTTCACAGTTACGCATATTTAAATTCATTTCCGAAAAGTCGTGTAGTTAATTATTTCTATTTAGAGGAAATCTAAATTTTATTTTAACTCGCAGATAATTTTTCTTTTCTTCAGACTGTTATAAGTAACGATTTAGCTGAGTGGCTGTACTACAGCATATTAAAACTTATGGTGTAAATGTCATCCTGCTCTCAGTTTTGAAAAAAAAAATGTTATGAATGTAGATTCAGTTTCAATTTTAAAATGATAATGGTGGTGTTCAAATATGTCTTTAATTTAAGTATTGTTTCTCGTAATGATGTTTTGTAATATTAAGGCTATTAAATGAAAGAAAACTTGTAGAGACTTTTATTATTTAGGTGAGTGGAGTATTTAGCCTCATTCTTCGAAATTACACTTTCACCATGATTATTCATGTATTCAAATGCATTTGCTTATTTTTGCTGCAATATATTTGAATATAAATAATTTTCATTTGGAGGTAAACAAAAAGATAGAACGTATTTTTATGACATGTTTACTATTATTTTATATTTAACCTTTAAATTTGTTAACTGTTACTGTTTTTCCTTCGTTTTATTATTACCTTACTGTGTTATTACTTGATATTGAACAAAGGTATGACACACAAGTTTGTAATAACAAATGTATGCTTAAATGGTAAATCCATTCTGATGTTTGTTACTTTGCAGGGCCACCGAAACTTCATCAGATTTTATTTCCTGAATATGTGCCGGTTGGGAAAAAGGTTACAGTTGTTTGTAACGCATTTAGCGGCTCAGTACCTCTGAACTTCATTTGGAAAAAAGATGGGAAGAGTATAAATGACGTCCCTAATACGATTGTAGATGTTCAAAGAGATTATTCCGCTCTTACTATAGGTCCTGCGCAATCAGAAAATGCAGGAAATTACACGTGTGTAGCAGAAAATACATATGGAAAAGATTCTAGTCATGGAACACTCATGCTTAGAGGTAAGCACTGATATTTGCACATTTAGAAATGCACAAATAATGCACAAATGTTTATTTGTGTGTATACTCTTTGAAAGTTTATTATTTTGCCCAGCAATTTGGGATCACACTTTGTTGCAAACAGGAACTTCGAATAACAGAGTTATTACTAACTCTCTATGCATCATTCAAAAGTTTAAAATCTGTTAATGAGTTAGATAAATTTAAATGTTTGAAATAAGCCAATATTATACATCAACCATAACGTACAATGTTTACGTTTCAAGTTTAATTTTCATAGGCGTAGTAATCTTTGCATTATGTGTTTCACGTGAGAAATATATTTTGTGGAAGCAATTTTTTTCGCGAAAGTTTTTTTAAGATATAAATAAAGTTTGTTGAGATATAAACAACACCATTTCTTTAAATATGTTAAATATTTGGTTGCAAATTTCTAAGTAATGCTGTAAAGTTTCTTGAATAATATGCTCTAAAAGTGTTTTTAATAATTTCCAAGCACCTTATATGTAATTTCCATTTTATATTTACGTATTTCAATACAAATAATATATTAAAACTAATTGACTCAAAGCATGTAACTTGTTCTCTGAATAACTTTCTAAATCGAAGTTTAAAATTTGACTTCTAGGTTGTCACAAAAACATTTGGGAACAGAAATAAAATATAATAAAATTACAGCCTACTTCTTCAGGTATCAATCTTAATACCGCAATTCGAAATAATAAAATTTAAGATTTATTAACTGTAATAAGGATAAAGGGTAAGAGCGAATTCTTTTTGTATTCGATGTGATTTTTTTATTTACTGTTGTCTCCTTTATATATTAATAAAACAGAATTTTGAATAAATAAAAGCTTAAAAAACTACTTTAGTTTATCAAGCCTAAAACAATGATGTTAAGCATTATTGAATTATTTCTCACATGGGATTACTAAAGCAGTATGATGTAAAAATACATTTTACCATCAAAGTAAAAATTTAAAGTAGTCATATTTTGAAGGTTTCTGTCATTCAAATTTAAATCTGAGATCAATCGTCCTTTTATATAATAATAACAATGCGATGAAAGAATACAGAGGAGTTGTTCAATTATAAAGGAGAACAGTTTCTCTTAAAGCACGCCTCAAAGATGGGGTTCTTTTGGGGAAGTTATCCTGTCCTCCTTTTACCACGTTAATTCATTTCAGTCCAGCCTGATATACTGTGTAAGTTCTTGATGTAATTGAGTTTATTAATTTAAATTATATTAAAAAATTAGTTAAATAGAAAATATAGCTTCAAAGAATAAAGCTAAGTTTCACCCATCTGGGATGGTAAGTTATTGTTCTCCTCTGAGGCACAAAACACCTTCGAGTGATAATTATGATTTGAAAGTTTAAATGGAGTTATTTATGTTTTTAAACTAAATGAAAAGGAAATTTTATAGTTAAATAAATATTAAAGACTCAATCCATCCAAAACGAGCAAAAGCAAGAATGCTCAGAATTTGTAGTAACATCAATGAAAACTATTCGTGCGTTATTGACTTTCTGTGAATAAATTAACAGTTAAGTAATGCATTCTTTACTTATATAACTCTCTTTTGCCTTAAACCTTTTATGTTTCAAGTTTCATATATAAAAGAATTTAGATAAATTTTGTAAGCTATGAGATTTTAAATAAAAACTTAATATTAGTTAACAATAACAAAAAAAAAAATTTTTTTTTATTCTTCAAATTCAAGTAATTAAGTGCAGAAATAACATATTATTAGCTATTATCTTAAATAAACATTCAACGAGACTACTAAATTAATCTTTCAAACATTCAAATAGTTTTTTACATATCCATATTCATTCAGTTCTGTTGAAATTACCTATGGAGTGGTGATAAACAAAGGAAATAAATGTAACATTACAAAACAAAGTATGATTATAAATGATGATATAATTAAGAGAAAACAAAAATTTGGTAGAACTGTGCAAACTCAGGACGTAAGAAAAGGCGTAATATGTATATTTACGATAAAGCGTAACGTTTTAAAGCACATTGAAACATTTGAATAATTAACTTCCCATTTAAAATAAATTTCGGAACAAAATACGTAAATTTCTTATCCGAGACTGTTTTGGTAAAACATTATAATGCAAACTTAAAAATATTCTGTTGACACAGAGGAAATATCCTAATACCCATTTCTGTGAGTCAGAATTCTACTTACGTTCAGGAATTGTAAAAATTCACTTTACGTAACGTCTTATCTGAAGAAAATGTGTAATAATAGCCTTTTCGATGATTGAATGCAGTCTGAAGAAAATTTTGGGTTTTAGGAGAAACTGCGGAATAATAATTGTTAATCAATGTTTACTTACGAAATGATTTTAGAAAATCATGTCTTGAAACGTAAAACAGTGTAATACTTAGGACAATTTCGGAGCTAGTTATGATTGCTTATTAAGAATTACACAACAATGTGTCACTGTAAGCAGTCTAGCCTGTTCGTTTTATTTCAAGCGTTTCATATATGTCAGAGAAGAAGAAAAACTTCAAATTTCGTCTCAGGTAGGCAGACATAGAAGTTGTAGAAGTTAAGATATCTGAAAAATCTAAAAGTCGGTAAAACGATAATACGTAAACCTTTTTTTTCTATTTGCTGTACCTTAGACTCCTGTACACTCATTTTACAGTTTCTAATCCTTCAACATTTTACACCATTGTCCTTGCTGCCACCTCAAGTCTCACAGTGTTATTTTGTAATTTTAGAAAGTGGAACTATACTGTATATATATGTAATTTAATACGTAGAATAGAAGAAGAATAGAAGAAAACACTGGAACTTTTAATAGCTTTCGATAGTGGCTGAGGGTGAAGGCTCGATGACGCAGTTAACACAACTGAATGGAAGAATCCCCATCTTTATATTTAGGCACATAAAAAATTATTTCTTAGGAAGACAAATTACTTTTCGATCATAGATGAATACAAATAATTTTTATATACACAGATAAAAAAAGATACGACGTCATTTTAAGCAAGTGGGCATAGCAGCGTGCAGATGTTGGAAGTCAGAATTTAGGGAAAGGAATGACGTAATTGATTTGTCAAGAGTATTTATACTAAGTATGATGCATAAGAACAGCTAATCTTTAATTGGTTAATCTCTTAGGTTGCTATTTAACATGGAAAGAACTCGAATTCGGGAGAAGAGTTGAACTTAGGGGGGAGAACACCAAATCTAGAATACTTAATTTTGAGGTCGCCAATCGTATGTTGTTATATCTTACACACACACATATTTTTATACATGCATATTTTTATTATACCATTCTTGATTTTAGTTTTATTTTGCAGCATTATTTAGCATGACTTGATAATGATTTTAGTTTAGGTAAAAACGTTTAACGATATAAATTAATATCGCACTGCATTTCTTTATTTGAATTAAAGAAATGTTCATGGGACAGTTTTACTTCTGCTAAATTTAGAAAACCCAAATTGCTGAAGTTTCGAATTCTTCTTTGCTATTAGCATTAAGTAGTACAACTTAAATGTAGTATAAAAATGATAATATTATTTTATTTTTTGTTTTGTAAATTTTAAGCTCCGCCAGTATGGCTTGTTCAACCAACTGACACTAGTGTGGCTGCTGGAGAGACTTTGTACCTACACTGTTCAGCGGAAGGTCATCCGAAACCAAACGTGGAATGGAAATTCAAAGGTTATTAATTACATCATTGCTTTCGCATTTTTCAAAATACCCAAATTAGTTTGATATTTCAGTTTTATTGAAATTTTCTAACAGTTTCCAGTAAAATATAATTTAGGTTATATTTATGAGAATGCTTAAATGTTAGCAGCAGCAAAAGTAATGCTTTTAGTTTGAACTGATAATGTCAAATAGAAATTTTTACGCTATAGCTAGAGCCCACAGTATAAAAAAGTTACATAAAATATTGCACTTGTCTCGCTGTATGATCACATTTTGTATGAAGCTTAATCCAAGTATCTTATTACGGGCGATTTATCTTAGATTAAAATGCATGTTTAATTAAAGTAAAGCTCTTAACTTAAATGTTTGGAATATGTTTAGAAGGGATTTTTTTTATATTATTATAACATCAGTATGCAATAATGCATTAGCATTAACGCCGGAAGCATACATATGCCGTATATAAGAATTATCTAATGATCTAATGTATACATGATACCTTTTGTGACCTGAAACTGCTCAGGGTATTATTTTTATTATACAAGTTAAAAATGCTTTCCTTCTTGATATTAGACACATCAAATGCAATAAATTTTGAGGTCATAGTTATCAGACTCTTGTGTATTGTGGGCTAAACGGAGGGTCAGAGGTCTAAAATAAGTAGGCAAAAGAGATAGAACTATTTTTAGGAACAGATAATCGTAATTATAAAATGTATTTTATTTATGGTTATTTTTTACGTTTAATGAAACGCTAATATTTATGGCAAATGGTCAAATATCTATATTTTTGAATAACATACTGGAGCAGACGGTTAGATAAATTACGAAGAAATCATTAAGACACAATTTGATCTCAACCCTAAAAAATCTGCTATTGAAAGTTTACGTTGTAGAAAAAAAATTCTGTATTCTTATATTAAACATGCTTAGGGGAAGGAAGGATGACTTACCTATATGACTAATATAAGAATATAAAAGTAGACGAAGCAAAGAAGATTCTGGAAAAATTTCAAAAATCATGTATTTATAGATAAATTACGAAATTAAACATAAAAATATCGTGGTATTAAAATCTGTACTGCTCGTGCTCACCCTTTTAATTTCAGTGCTGTTCGTTACACTCTGATGAAAGGATATTAAACATTGGTTAAAAGTAAACTCTAATCAGAATTATAGCGGGAAAAAAAAACTCAATCGATTTCGAAGGTGATTAGATACGGATTTTTCAGGAAAAAAAGAATTGTCTTTTGTTTGGCGTGTTTATCTTAGAGTTTGGCTTTTTAATGTTTCAATAAATACCATTATTTGAAAGAAAAGTTTTATTTTTGTTATCGCAACAAGCAGCCAGAAATATTTGTGTTAAACACTCTATGTTCATATTTCTGAAAAAAATATTTTCAAACCTTAGCTATTTTAGTACCTATAACTACCATATTATTACGTTAGTGCAGTACTAATTTAGGTGTAAAGTAGATATTATATAAAAAAATTTCTTGTAGATCTTAACTGAATGGCTTAATAAATAACAATTTTTTTTCTATGTATAGGTTCCCAGAATGATCCAATATTGCTAAAAGAGGACAATACTATACATAATTTGAATAATGGAAGTTTTTACATCACGAATATTAAAGAAGAAAATTCTGGGGAGTATACATGTATTGTTTCAAACGGCTTTGATGCAATGTTAACAAAATCTGTGAACGTAAGGGTAAACGGTAAGACGTTACATATTGATGCACACTATATATATGAAGAATATCTATTAAATTTTGCTGTTATTACTACGTTTTATGGTTATGCATAACAATACACATTAATAATTCCATTTACAGTCCATCATTATATTGCGATGAATATCAAAATTCTTCACCACAGTTTTTTAATTAAAAAAGTATTCTTTTGATAAAAGGAATTTTAGAAACTACCTCGAGTTTGTCTTGAAAGATGATAAAGAAATGAAATAAATCTCATAGAGTCTGTGAATAACTTATTAGTAATATTTCTTTTCATTTTTATGTATCATATCGTACTTGATTTCTGTGATGTATTTGAAAAATAAAGCGCAAAATTATATTTATTTTCTATGTTGTACTGTATTGGAGATAAAGAAAGTTATAATTTTTTCAAAGTCTTTGGCAATTGCAATACACATGATTAAGTAGATTTCGTGCCTATACATTGAAACTAATGGCCGAATCATTTATAACACATTTATTTTAATACAAGTGTAAATCATACTGTTCGTAATTATTACGATGCAAAATATCTTTAAACCGCTTGATTTTGGAAATTCTAGGCATTAAAATGAGATATTATGTGCATTTCATTGTATTTTACAAGTAACGCAAGCTTTTTCGGTTTACATCCTAGTTGTATATTTTAAAAATATATATGCTAATAAATGCTCTTTTACCGTATTTAGACATTTATTTGCAAATAAATAAACAAATTACATTTGAAATAATTATTACTTTTCTTTGAGTAAATATTCATCTCATATACGGTGCATAAAAAATTAGCCTTTCATTAAGATAATTATAACACTTATCTTTTATTTGTGATTCTTCGTGCTTTTATCTATAAATTAATTTTGATTATTATAAATTACTTTCAATGTTCTTATCACTTTTCTTTTTAAATAATTTGTTCCTGTATGTTAGTAAAATCGCGCTGGATTTTATTTCTCATGCTTTCCACCATATGGCGCTGCTCTACCATATTGTTATTTAGTCACATAAAACAAGAGTATAGTGCGTACCTCTTTAGTAAATACATACGCCATGTTATGTGCGAATATTAATTTACTGTGGCTGAGGGATACTTTATAAGATATATATTGAAACTGATCTAAATCGTCATGGAAGTCTTACATTATCAACTGTTCCTGGATTACCTCAGCATTATTACTTTCATGAGCATCTCTATAAAGGAAACGGGGACAACAATAACTGAAGGTAAGCGTTTTGCATCAGTCCTTCACTTTATAAACATAATAGCATGTTTAAATTTAAATTAGAGTTTTGTTTTATAATAAAACTATGCTTTGCGCATAAAATAAAAAAAGGATCATTTTACTTGCCAATCGTTCTTTTATATTTTATAAGCAAAATCTACTGAGTAAACATTTCTTTCTAGAAACACCAGTGATTCAACCTTTTAATTTTCCGGTATATTCTACCGTTGGCCAGAGAGCAGTGGTTACTTGTGCCATCTCTCAGGGAGCAAAACCATTACAGTTTAATTGGTTAAAAGATGGAAAAGATATTGAAAGCGTGCCAAATATTTCCCTCCTTAACCAGGCAGATTTTTCTGTCCTCACTGTAGGCCCTGCAAACAGAGAGAATGTTGGGAATTATACATGCATAGCAAGAAATTCGCATGGGAAAGATTCACATACATCAGCCTTTGTGCTTAACGGTAAGTTTATTTTTCATGCCTTCAAAAATATCTCAGTCAGTTCTTCTGAGTACTGGTATCTCCTTCTTACAGTTTTAAAATGCTTATTTTTAAATTCTATTACTTGAAAATTTATTATATCTTTATATCAAGAAATTCAGATATTATAATGTTATCATATATTTATTTTGACTTCTAATGTTTAAATGTTAATTTAATCTAATACTAACATAAGCACTTACGAAAAGGTAGTCAGAAATTAATTTAAAGTATTTTATCTAATCACTTATTATAAAACGTAACATAATACCGTAAACATAATTAAACAGAGAAGTCTTAGTGCTTTCTTTTAATGCTTGTTTCACTAATTTAATGGAATGATTTATTTTTAGTCTTTGTTCTGTATATATATTTATCAGAAAATGTGAGAAAGATATCTGTTTCTTTTACATTTATTTCAATATTATTCTTTTTTTAAGCTATTAGATTTAATGTCAAATCTGCTAATATTTAAAATTAATATTCAAAGAAGAGTGAAATATTGATTTTATGCTATTTTAAATTATCCAGTGTCATTATTTTCATTTCTCAGCATTTCCATATAACTTTTGAATGTTTTTATTGATGTGGTGTTTCTTTGCAAATCATTACAATTTAAATGAATGAATGAATGAAGAATTAATTTAAATGGTAAAATTTAGTGAGAAATTTAGCTAAAAGGATATCAAATGCAGACTTCAGTATTCTCGTTTAAACAGTTTAGGTAAGACCAAATTGATCTAAAGCAGTTCTTATGCTTCTGAGAGTTGCTGGAGAATAAAACTGTTATTGTATAATTATTACACTAAGTTATATACATGGTGATTATTCTTTCGTAAAATTGTTAAAATCATAATAGAAGTAGCGAAGCGTATTGTGTTGAAACATTTATTAAAACATTTTTCTTAATGTATGGCGTAAAACATAAAAAACTAGTAATTCGTTGAAATTTATCTCAAAGTTATGATATCAGAATAAAAGAGGCATTCCTTTGCAATTTCATTGGGAATATTTTTGTTTTCTTTTCTTTTCTGCAACATTTCAAGATATCGAATTACGAACCTTAATGAAAATGTTCCTCAATTTATTTGTGGCATATTGTAGATCTGAATATATATTCTAATGTATCCTCCTTTGAAGTATAGAAAGGCAAAGTTTAAAAACATATTTGCTTTTAATTTGAGAGGTAATGTTTTTAAATGAAGAATGTCGAAAAGAAAATAAATTTCTATAGAAAAATTTATTGAAGAAAACTCACTTTTCAAATGCATTTTTAACGTTTGCAACTTCCACATGATACATCTGAATGCATTACGTTTCTTTCATACATTTAGAGCCTCCAGTATGGATTTACGAGCCCCGAGACATACATGTTACAGAAAACGAATTTTTAGAATTAAAATGCTCAGCTTCTGGCCATCCTCCTCCTCAAATCACATGGAATAAAATTAAAGGTAAGATACAGGAATTTCATTTTTATTTTTTAGCTTTTTGTAATGATTTTTTTTTATAATTTTTCAATTAGTATCATATCAGATGGTTGTACATCTGTTTTTAATTATTATTTTGTCCAGCATGACAAAATTATATTATTTGAATAGTGTTCTTAAATGTTAATGATATATATGCATCAGAACTGAATAACGCGTTTTGAAACTGTAACTACATATTGCAGTAAGGAATAATGTTGAATTCTGAACCTTTTTCTTAAACATAATCGTGATCAATAAGCTTGTAATATCATTTCCTTTTAAAAGTGCATTTTAAATTTTTTATAATTAATCAATTAAGAGAAAAGGGAAAACGAAATCCAAAGTTGTAGAGCCATTAGGTTAATTGGAAGCAGACAAGAGGAAAAATAAGCAATCGCCTTTGCCGGGAATCGAACCACGGACCTCTGGAATACCGGCCCAGCGTGCTACCGTTACACCACGAAGGCACGCTAGGGAAGTGGGAGAAATACCTTATAAGGTCTGAAAAAAAGACGATTTCAATAAAACAATTTTTTTAAGAAGAATCTGAAATTACTGATCATAATTTGTTATTTACTGATTTTCGTAGATTCCGAGTCTATCGGAATGAGTATCCGCTTTATGTCATGTTATTTCAAAATTGAAATTGAGGAAAATATTTTGTTGTCTGAAAAATAATTTTTTAAAAAACACTTATTACTTATTTCCAAAGTTTGCTTGATTTACTGAAATTATTTGCTAAATCGATATTATTATGTAGCTACAGTCACCAGTATCATAATAAATCATTAAGTAGATTCGATTAAGAATAAATTATAGATGTGACAGCAGTTTAATATTCATAAATTTAATACTTAAATATGGGATATCACAATAATTTGATACTGCAAGAAACCTCCCATTCATATCAAACTACCACTTTGGTAAATATGATATAGTCATGCTTTTTTTAAGCATCCCAATTTCACATTGTTGTTCCATTGTACCAGACAATGCAGTAAATGAAATGGCTGTTATTTTACTGAATATGTGATGTCTGGTGTATTACTCTGCTCATTTAATTTCAGATGAGTTTTTCATTAATTATACTTTTTACTTTTATAGATGGCGTAACAACAGCTTTATCAAATTTTCAAAACCCATCTAATATACAAGCATTTGAAAATGGTTCTCTAATAATATACAGTGTACATAATGAAATCCGTGGGAAATACCGCTGTTTAGCTTCGAATGAAGTCGGAACATCTTTACAAAAAGTAGTTGAAGTTTCAGTATCTGGTAAGACTAAACATTCGAAAAACAAACCTTCTAGTTAATGGTTATCTTGATGGATTATGTTTAAATTTTAGTAATTTTTAAAATATTACTGAATATTTAATATGAAAAAAACACATTGTCTGTGATGCTAAATATTATAGATATCCCTTTAATATATTTTAAATTTAAGTTAAAAACACATTTGTTGATATGAATACTTACACTAACTAAATATTACTATTTGTATTTAAATGCAGTAATGTATAATATTGTGTTTAGTTGTTTCAAAGTGTATGTAACTGTATGGGCATGATGCAAAAGAAGGAATAAAATTTATCCGCTGTATTATCACTAGGTGGCGCTAATATATCTGTGTGAGATGTCTTGTATATGATGGATACATATCGTCTAACTATCATCTCTTCTATTTACAAATTGCTTGCATGGAAGCGTTATTTATATTCCACGATAGCATGGACGTTTATAACTCATATATTATCAGTGTATATTTGGTTTTAAGACATCATGATCTATATTTGAGCAAATACCATGTTTAGGCGTAAAAATATAGCTCTCTTTGCGGCGTCTGTTGTCTTTTGTGGCCTATTCATAAGCATTAAAGGTACGTAAAATGACTTTCCTACTTCTTTCTCAAACATTCTCGATCTTTTAAGACGTTTAGCTTTTCAGTTGATTCTGTTTTAGACTACTTAATTTTTATTAGTGCTTTAAAGTGTTTATTGATAAGATTGATTAAACTTTGGTAGTTACATGTTGTATGTTATAATAAAATAAGAAATTTAGTGTTATTAAGCTTTTTTCTTCGCTATTATTTAAAATTTCATATTCAACTAAGTTTCATAGCATTGCAAATGTAATTATTGGAATATGTAACTTCATATATTAGTATTGACAGGCAATCAGAAGCAATAACTTTACTCTCGTATTACAGATAAAGTAGTGCTAATTTTCATATTCGCATGCATATTAAAACGAGTTTTGATATACTATTTGGTTAGAGCAGAATTCACATATTTATTAATGAAAATTCCGTATCTTAATCTGTAGGCCAAGAACTTGGTGTACTACCTTTTTTCTTTCCGAATAACGTAGCAGAAGGACAAAAAGTACTTGTAACTTGTACTCCAAGTAGCGAAAGTCGTCCAGTAAAGTCAAAGTGGTTGCGGAATGGGTCAGAGGTTAAGGAAAATGAGCGCATAAAAATAACTGATTACGCAGACTTTTCCACTCTCATGATTAGTCCTGTTGCAAGTGACGATAGTGGTAACTATACTTGCGTTGTTAGCGAAGATTACAAGACTGCAAGCTATACAGCTGAGCTTATCATACAAGGTATGTTTAAGATTTACAAAAGCTTTATATTTTAGTCCCAATGAGCATTAATATAATTCTAAAATTAATTTTATGATTCATAAATAAGGGAAAAAATATGCAGTATGTATGACAAACTATACATCTGAGCTTGTCATATAAGGTATGTTTAAGATTTACAAAAGTTTTATCTTTTAGTCCCAATGAAAAGCATTAATATGATTATAAAATTAATTTTATGTTTCAGAAATAAGAAAAAAGTTATGCAATATATTACAGTTTTTAGTTTAGCAGCATTTATAAATTAGAATGTTACAGAGTTTTAACTCCAAATCGTTGTTTAAAACCAACATGCGAAATGCCTGAATGTATGTTTTCCTGCTTACTTCATGTACATGCGAAAAAAACGGTTATACAGGTTTAAGTGCAAAGTTAAAAATAGCTTACAAATTACACTATAACGTTACAAATTACATTACATTAGAATACAAATTAGCAATTTCTAGAATACAGATTTAGCAATTAAATTTCATGTGAAATTATTATTCAGATTTTTAAAGTAAACATCAATTAATGCTAAAAATTTACTTACAATATAATACCTTAAAACTCACAAGAAATGCAAAATGAATTCTTAACCTACTTATATGCGTCACACATTTAAACTGAAAAAAGCCTTGCTTTGTATCTAACCGAATTATAAAGGAAAGTTTAACCATTCATCTATAATTCAAAAAGATATTTGCTTTTAATATGCAAAAGTTCTGTATGCGAAATATAATTTCTACTTGATAAGGCAGAAAATATTTCTTTAAATTTACTATCTATGTTAAAAAATGAAAAGTATTGCTCAATAAGCCACTCTAAAATGCATTTCTGCTAGTATAAAACGTACTGCGAGACACACTTATACATACATGCATAAATATATATAGGATTAATTCGCAAGCTTAAACCACAATTTCTGTTCATTTTAAATTTTTTATAATTTTTCTATTGATGTGAGGCCATTTATTAAGTTGAATTCAATTATCGTCAAATATTTTTCATCTCTTAAGTATTTAATGTTATTTTCACGTATACCTTTTAAGTTCATAAAAGTTAACATAAAAGTTATATATTTCGAAATCAAACTAAATTGTATTCAGCACTAAATTATTTGTATGCTGTACTGAGAAACTGCACGCACACAGTTTCCTCAACACACGGGTTTTCAAACATCAACCATATTTAGAGTAAAAATGAAATTTTGCTTATATTTTTAATATTCATACATTAAAATTTGATAGTAAACAGGTCTCTCTTTTAATATGTAAAGTAACGAGTAACATTATACATTTCTATTGATTGTATTTATCATATAATTGATGATATAGTAGTCTGTATATCCTTATAATATAAAAATACTTAAGTTTTATTTAACTTGATTCAAACTGGTATGTATAATTAGTGTTACAATCTTAGTTTTATCATTCTAGTCAAATTAATTGCATGGATAGAAATATATAGTGCTTGAAATAAAGAAGATTATCACATAGTTACACCACTTTGTTTATTTGAATAAGGCCCACCCTCTTGGATAAAAAAGCCTTCAAGCAAAGAAACAGTAGTTGGAAAAAATATTACATTCGAATGTATGGCTAACGGAAGACCATCACCTATAATTACATGGAAGAAAAATTTTGGTAAGTTATTTAATGCATTCAAATATTATTCATAACGCGGCAGTTTAAATTACTTATTTTCACCGACCAAAAATAATAACTTAATTTACTTTGTTTAATTGCCTTAAATGTTAAGGCTATAGATATATTGTATTATGATCTAGTAGTTGAAAATTGCATTTACGAGCATTGAACGTCTAGAAACGTTTGAGTGAATTAATAACTTTCCTTGTATAAAACAATAAATGAGAAAACATGACACCAACACAAAGGTTTCATAATTTAATCACTGGATAACAAAATTAAATTGAAACGTAATTTTGTGAAGCAGCGGGAAATAATTTATATTGATATAACATTTAGTTTAAGGAATTTCGTTTGTTTTAACGTTTGGAAAGGGCAACAAGGAGCTTGTTTGTTTACAGACGAAATACTTCATTCATTGAAATATAAATGTGCATTTTCTGATTATGAGAAATGAAATCCCCATAATTCCGACATGAATTTAATAAACCTTCAACAACGGAACAATCAATTAAAAGATGGTTAAAACAGTTTCGAGGCATCGGATATGTTTTACATGAAGGACGCCAAGCGTCAGTGATAAAGTCTAGTGAATCCATTCGCCGCGCCAGCCTGCAAGCAGGAATTCCCAGGTCGGCTATTCATAAAGTTGTTCATGAACTCTTGAGACTGACTGAGTGTGAATTGCAGAATTGACTATAAATGAAATCTAATGCTCCAGTTGTTCGTAAGGAATTATCTGTAGACATTCTTGACCGTATCAGTAATTATGATCAAGTCCTTCAGAAAATCGTATTTAGTGATAAAGCAACATTTCATGCTTGAGTTTAATCGGCATGAAAGCAGGATTTGGGTATCAGGAAACCCACATTTTGTATGGGAAATTGAGCAAGGCTGGTCTTAAGTTAATGCTTGATCTATATTAACTCATAACAAAGTGATTAGTACCTTCTTTTCTCGGAGTCATCAATTAATTCGGATGATTACTTCGATACACCCAGATTGTTTTCGGTTCCACACTTAAAAGAAATTTAGCCAAACGTTTTTTCTCCCAACAGGATCGAATTCCCTGTCATTGTCATGTGTACATGTTCCTTGATGAAATATTCTCAGCTCGTTGGACTGATAGTGGTCTACCAATTTTATGGCTGCCTCATTTTCCGGACAACACACCACTCGAGTTCTTTTTCTGGGGATACCCGAAGAACCGAGTTTATCCTGCAGAGATTGGCAGCATCGAAGATTTAAAAAATCGAATCGCCTCAGAAACAGATACTGTGACTCCTCAAATATTTAATAACTTTTGGGGAAGAATCGATAACAGACATTATATTCTCTAAGAAATAAATGGTGCTGGTTTATTATCATAAAATTCTTTGATGTGTTAAATAAAATTCAGTCAGTCATCATATCCATATCTCTTATTCTGTATTTTTTATAACGTCTCTTTATCTGATAATTAAATTATGGACATCCTATATGATGTAATTATTTTAATGGGATTACATTGGTAAGATAAATGATTAATGAAGAGCTTAGGATTTGTATCAAAGGAAGCTCCATTTTACATAAGGTTAGAAACTGTTCTTAAACTAGAATTATATTTTAAAAAGGATTATACTGTTCAAATATAAAGAAGAAAGATTTATTTCACAAATTATCATTATAAGTATTAAAAGTTTTGCAGAAATTTGCTTATGTTAATCAATTCTGAATTTCATATATTTTATTATTTTTTTCAAATTATGTAGTTAAATTGTAGGACTTTCAGCAATTTTCGAGCCCATGATTCAGGATTTTAGTTGAGAAACTTTAATAAAGTCCTTAAACGTGAAAACTAAAAGCGTAAACACGTTAAAAATGTCCGCCATAATAAGTAATTATTGCTAGGATTAATAATTATAATGATAAAAATAAATATAAATAATACTAAGATTTGATATGATGATGAAATTTAAGGTTAAAGAAATAGTTCTGATGGACTATGTGATTCTTCTCATGATATATTGTTATTTGCGAAAATATTTATTATTGGGAAGAGTAGTTTGGTTAGTTACTCGGAAAAAAAAATAAATGTTTTCTAACTGAAATTAGTAAGTTCAATTATGCAGTTCTTTTTTCCCAATATAAGAAACACCCAATATAAAAACTGTCTTTTTACTAAATCACCTGTAGAGACATTAGGATTTTTTGAAGCAGGCAAGATGAACAATTAGCAACCGCCTTCGCCGGGAGTCGAACCACGGACCTCTGGAATACCGGCCCAGCGTGCAGAACCACTACACCACGAAGGCACCCTAGGAAGGCGGGAGAAGTACCTTATATACTCCCAATTTTAAAGAGTGACGTGGGTTTTTAGGGGACCCATTCGCCAAATCCTGGGTGCGGAGAATCATCATCCAACACCCTTTTAGTTCGGGCGCCACTGTAGAGACATTAGGATTTTTGGAAGCAGGCAAGATGAAAAATTAGCAACTGCCTTTGCCGGGAATTGAGCCACAGAGTTCTGGAATACCGGCGCAGCGTGCAGAACCACTACACCACGAAGGCACGCTAGAGAAATACCTTATACATCTTTTATTAACTGTAACATTAGTTATCATTAATCTGACTAGAATTTTCTTATGACTTTATTTTAACGGATTGCAGTGCACAGTTTAAAAAATATATATCCATACAATAAATAAACAGAAAAATAAGTTTCGGGATCTTAGTGCTTAGAAAACTAAAAAGCTGTTGCAAATTCAAAAATTCGAAAATTTTTGCAGAAGAACTTTGAAAGGGATAACTAATGCATTCGCAGTTTCTGTCTTTGTTTAAGAATGAGACTAAATATTTTCTTTTAAAGTTTTTAACTACTAGTTTATATTATCTCTTTCAAGGTAATTAAGTGTATCTATAAAGTACATAAATCTAAATCGCAAGTTATTTTTATAAAATGTAAATAAGTATGTTGGAAAGAAAAGCATCACTCTTAATCATTTTATCTTTCAAAAAACTAAAAAGTTATTAAATTCTATCAAACTTGCTGACTGTTTAATCTCATAATTTTAAAATCCATTTACTATACTTCGTTTTAAGATAATTATGAAAATGTATTAATTACTTTTTAAAAATTTTTCAACAGGTAATGAAGCAAATTCAAATCAAGATTTAAACAATGGTGGAAAATACATCATTGACAAAGGTTTATTAATGATACTCAATGTACAAAAAGAAGATCAAGGTATATATCATTGTTTGATCTCAAATGGCGTAGGAAATAGTTTGCAAGAGACTGCCACTTTGTCTGTACTTAGTAAGTAACAAAAATTGCAAGAGAGAAATCCTAACTCTTAACGTTTATCTTCCTAAAAGTAATTTCAAGAAATATAAATCCAGTTTTTTTAATACAGTGCTAAAATTTTATTTATATAATTTAAGCCAAATAAAGATTTTATCTATTTAACTACGTTCATTTAGTCCATTTTTATGCAAACATATGTTTCATTCAAAATCTCATGTAGTCGTACGAAATTTAGAAAACGTATTTTTCTTAAATACGAAAATATAGAAATAATATGAGTTTACGATTTTTAACGAATCGTAACACGGGGCGGCGCCACATGACAGTATTGAATGGTATTTTTCTGTATGTACGTATTTTGTCACGTCTTGATTCCCTATTTTCAGTGATAATACGATGCAAACTGATCTGATCATTCTAACATTAAGCTTATAACTTTAATACTAACGCCTTTGCTATCTTTGTTTCTGATACGCTATTATGCACATGATCTGGAGACTATGCAGCGAGTAATACTTCGTTTATGCTATCTGATGTTTCTCATAGGACAATATGTCAAATTTGTACTGACAAATGATGGTAAGTAAGAATTTTATTTATCTCTTTAAAAATTATTACTATATACAGATTATTACTATATACAGATATTGTGAGACTTAAGCTTAAGAAATAAATTTCAATGCTTAATTTTAAGTTATTGAAATCAATGGTGATTGAAAATTTGAGTTGATGTTGCAGAAACCTTTAATTCTTATTTTTAAGCAAATTTCATATGTATTGAAACTAAGTTGGATTTCTTATTATTTTAGGTTTGCCACAAATACAGCCTTTTTTCTTTCCTGAAGCGTTAAGCTCCGGACAAAAGACAAGCATCAGTTGTGCTCTGAATAAAGGCAGTCAACCTCTACAATTTCGTTGGATGAAAGACAACAAGGAACTGATGAATGGTGAAAATATAGAAATTGTGGCCATAAAAGATGTGTCTTTGATTACTATTAATCCAGTCAAACAAGATAGCAGTGGAAATTATACCTGTATTGTCAGCAATAAATTGGGGAAAGATGAATATACTGCTTCACTTGTAGTGAAAGGTAAGCAGAGTTACTTTATGTGCGCCTCTCCTCAGGGCAAAATGGCAATAATAATAATGGCAGTATAATTCATGAAATAAAAAAAATATATAATTATTTAAATAAAGTATTTGATCAGTTAAAATTAGATGACAAAAATAAGTTAAGTAATATATTAAATATGAAAGGATATATTGATATTTAACTTTATTATTATGTACAGTCGTATTTATATTTTAGCTGTGTTATTCAAATTTAGTTTAAATACAATAATCGTTATTCGCCCGAGATTATTTCCACCAAAAAGTTTACTTATGCATATTCTGAACATGAAAATAAATCCTACAATGTATTTTAAATGAAAATATATACGGTTTTTAAAATTCAATTATATATGCAATAGAGATGGTACAAATATTGTTACATTTCTTCAAATTTAGCATTTATATATGTTCAAAGATGTAAAATATAAATATTAATTGGGCTTTAATTTACTGAATATCGCAGTGTGTAAATGACCTCTTTTAAATTAATTGCAAGTAACAAATCAGTTTGTAAGCATTCGTGAATTCTAAAATTGATTTCTTTATCAAAAATAATAAAGTTTATGATTTTTAACCAACCATTTAAAATATTTTGCAGTATTATAGTGCAATAGTTTGGAGCTGAATAAGGTTCAATTAATGTGTTTTCACACTATTATTTTATTACTTCAACATTACTTTTTGTAGCGAGTTAAATGATGCAATGTTAATGTAAAAAGAATAGCATATAAGAATAGAAGTTAAACTGTCAAAATTAAGATTTACTTTACAGATGCTGTAACCTGCATTATAAAACTGTCGTGAAAGTGGTAAACGATTTTTTTGTTCTGTAAAAAATTATGAGTCTCTTTTTTCAAATATATTTGTAAAATCTTTTAATTAAATTTATTTCAGTTTTGCTGTTATAGGTTAGGTTTGGATTGCAGTGTAATGAACATATCTATTTTATTAGAGCAATTGAATCTGAAGACATGGGCATGAAATAAAGCAGGTTTACTCATATATAATAGTGAAAACGTTTCATGCGTATGGAGAAAGGAAGCAGCTGAAATTTCAAAGCATGGTTTTAGACCAAAGGGGCATTAGCCCAGACGGAGTGTTAGTCTCGAAACGGCATTTTCGGCGTATCACTTTTCAAATTGTTGCCACCAAATATTATTGTCCTGGATCATTTTTAAAGCAATTAAATAATGAGAAATCTACATGAATATATATATGTTTCTCGCATTGTGAAAAATCAACGGTAACTAGAACCATCAAATTTTAAATAACGTTGTCCTCCACCCGAATATGAGAACCTGCAAGCCTGAAATTTGAATTTCGAACTTATTTTATTATCTCTTTAATATTTCTTAAAACTTTAACACTTTTTTTATTAACAAACTGAAGGATTTCAAAGCGAGCAATAGCAACACTGTATGGAATCAAACATTTTTCTCGGCAGCGCGCGAGATTGTCGATAGGAAATTCTAAAGATATGTTGTTTTTAAATAGGTTTAGCCCAAACGGGCGTTAGCCCAGATGCTCTTGAAACGTATATGTGTGTGTAACTGAATAAAACAATCCTTTGGGCGTAATATGAAATGATATGAAATCTGCCTTTCAGATTTTTATTCATTTATTTAGTTGTTATTTATTTTTGATGCCTCAAGCATTTTAAATGAATTCACGTTTAATGCATTAAATCTACTACTTGTATTACTTAAAATTTTATTGGGTATCAATCAGATTAGCGATATATAAATTTTAATTAATTTAAATTCAATATTGTATTGTAAAATACACTTCGTTTTCGGCAATACTCATGAAGCGATGTTAATTGTAACTTATTAACTGGAAATTTGATTCTAAACTGTTCTCATAATTTGCGTCTCAATTTACGCTTGTTGATAATTTATTAGTAAATTATATAATTTTTTCTTATTATTTATTAAACTATGAATTATGTTTCTTAAATCAGTTGGCATTCTTTAAGTTCTCAGAAGCAGATAAAGCTAACTATATTGAGGAAATAGTAGTATTAGAGTAGTATTAGTCAAAATAGGTTTCCTTAAACTTTTAAAAATATTATAATTTGAATAGCTGCTCTAATGCATATTAATGCAATAATAGGCTACCAACATGCTATTAATGTTTATAATATTTTGCATTGTTACTTCTGATATTTTCGAGATTTCTCTAAGGGGAAAATATTGATTATAGCCCCTCCAAAATGGATTAAGAAGCCAAACGATCACAGTGCATTTCTGGGATTAAAATTTGAAGCTGAATGTAAAGTGTCTGGACAACCTTCACCTATAATTACATGGTACAAAGAAGGTAAATATATTACTACATATATTTCCCGAATCGGTAATTTAATTAAATTGTTTATCTATTGTTATGTATATTTTCTTCTGCAGATGTAAAGTTATATTTTAGTCTGGAACCTTTAATTGCAAACAGTGATAGAATATAACTAAAATTTCAAAGTTAGGAGTAGTTAGTAAAATTAAATAAAGATTTAGCAGCAACGGTTTACAGAGATTTATTTGAATGATGTGTGTGTCTAAATTCATGTGATCGATACTTCGAATGATCCCTAAAGCAGTATAAGAAATCTGTATAAATCTGTATCGTCTTATCTGGTGACTGATATAATGCAAAATGACAGAAAAATTTGAAAGACGGCTTAGTATGTGGAAAAAATATGCATTGCAATAGCATTTAATTGTTTTGGGGACAGTAAGTTAATATAACTTTCCTCTATGTTATTAATTTCTTTAAAAATAAATTAAAATATCCCTGTTTCCTCATTTTGAGTTAATACTTATTTTTCAATAATTAATTTTATGCATTAACATTCATTGATTCAAGGGTTTCTGAAATATGAATACGTGTATGTCTACTTTTTTAAGTCTGCTTCCCATATTTATTAGATGATCGGTGAGTAGATTTCTAAATATGAGAAATCAATGAGGAAACATTCAAAGAAGCTCCTTATATTGCTTTTAAGGTTTATTTCAAAGTGTCAAGAATAGTATCATTAAATGATCAAGTATCATTAAATGGTACTTTTTAATAAATTCTTCCCTGTGAGGTCATTTTCTTATCAATCTTTTTAAACTAAAGAATGGGCTAAAAGCAGGGCAGAAAATTAGAAAATTATTTGCATAGCTTTATAACACTATAATTTCATAAGATATAATAGTAATAACGTAATTTACAAAAATATTTCAAAGTATTTTAATGTGGGGTTGGGAAAAAATTTCACTAGGAGGCAAAATTTACAGGAAATCCAGACGGCCATATATTTTGCAATGCTAATTTCGAAGGAGTGTGAAAAATAAACCAGCTATTATTAGTTGACATCCATTTGGTCTGAGATATTCACATCTTGAATATAAAGGAGCCTCTTTCAGGCTCAGGTATTAGATTTTTCATGCCATATTTAATTTTCTTTGAAGTTACTATACACACTCAAAATCAACCCGCATTCAAGGCTCCTCGTTAACAGTTTTATTGTATTAAATTATACTGCCATGAATTATAAAGGTTAATGCACATTTCGTTTGAATTTTGTAGATATTATAATTAAAAACATTTAATACTTTTGGAATATGTAATTTATTGTTCGTCTTTTTAAAAATTATTTATAAAATCGCAGTTATAGTGTAGAAAAGGGTACCTTTTGATTTGGCGCCAAATACCGACGCTGCTAGGTTTTCGGGTAATCGATTCTTTTCCCCCAATGTTATAGCAATTATTTTCTTGTTACTTGACAAAGTGTAAGTTTCATCTGATTGGAACGTCTTAGTTTAATGATCCAGGGCTACGTGATTTGTGGTACGTGTATCACGTATTACAAATCGCATATTTTGAATTTTGACAATATTTTGAAATATTGGAATTTTAATTTCCCTTAATTGACCTTTGGTTTTCATTAGCTTGTAAAGTATTTCTCCCGCCTTCTTAGCATGCCTTCGTAGTGTAGTATTTAGCACGCTGGGCGTATTCCAGAGGTCCGTGGTTCGATTCCCGGCGAGGGCGTTGCTCATTTTTCATCTCTCCTGCTTCCAAAAATACCTAAAGTCTCTACAAGCTTGATGGCTCTAACTAATCAATTGCCCCGTCAGTTCCACAGAGAAGGTTTTTGGTAAAATAACTGCTCGTTTGCTTCATAATTTAGAGCAAAAGGGTAAGAAAGTTGTAACTCATTGTTGTAGGAATGTAGATTTAATTATGATTTAATTGCTTGTCATGAACGCCAAGTTTGTACGAAGGATATGCATATGCATCTGGTCGAGATTAAGGATCAAATGGATGGCTATGAGTGGGTTTGTCGCGAGATAGGTGCTCGAAACTAGTGCTCATACCATCAGTATTGAGAGCATGTGAAGCCAGATTTAGAGCGAATTTCGAAAGCGGGGTTTTCGACAGTCATTCAGATGACATTTTGTATTTTTACATTGAGAAGATTATGTGACGATGCCAACTGACGGAGGGTCAATTCTGGGACTACATGATTTGCATAATGTGTGTGCAGCAATCATCCGACGTTGATGATGAGACGTTCACTAGAACACACGAGATGAATACATTTGTTGTTTTCGTAACATACGTTTTAGGCGTTGTTTGTGAAAGCCATCTCGGAAACATTGTTTTTGGCGCCGTTCTTGGAGTCATTAAAAATCGGCAGAAAGATCAAAGAGCTCCCTCTTATAAACATTTACCGAAATTGCATTTTGATTTCCATTACTACCTATACTAATTAATTACTAAGTTACATCAATAAGTAATTTAAGAATAAAATAAAGTTGCATTGTAACGTATGTAAATAAATCAAAAAATATATTTTCCGAATTCATTTTTCAGGAAAAGCAGGACGTTTTGAAAATAGTAAAGCCAATCAGAGATGGAATATTTCCAATGATGGTACTTTAACGATTTCTAACGTAAATGAAGATGACGAAGGTAAATACATCTGTGAAGCAAGTAATGGAGTGGAGACTAATCTAAAAGCAGAAATGGTTTTAACTGTATTTGGTAAGAAAAAAATGAAATACGAAGATTTGATAAATTTAAAGCTTCATTAGGTACCAAATGGATGCCACACAAAAATCTGTACAAAGGAATGTCTAATTTCCGACAAAGGAAGAGCATTGTTTAATATGATTCATAACCTGAAAAGCAGATTTTGGTTTAAATACACACAAGGTATATTCTTTCTGATAATAACAAGCACTTAAAATAATTGTTACTGGAATTTCTACCATTATAAAATAAAAATAAATATCCTGTTTAATAAAAATGTTTTGAGGTTCTCAAAAATGTTCTCTTAACCTTTCTTGTGTGCATTTTTATTTTATAATACTATGCGTTTCATATGAAAACTGCTCGAGCATTTCACGATGGTTAAGGTAAGTAAAAATTATTTTAAATTTAAATGTTAAGAGCTACCTAAAAATAGTAAAACATATATTTTTGATAGGAGTATTATTAATGTGATATGGATTTTTCCAATAAAAAATGACTAATTTTATCTATTTATTTTTCAGGTAGCTCAAGAGAATACTGGATTAAGCATAACATAAAAATTTCTTTTTAATTTATTCCATTGGTCTAAGAAGGGATTTATCGCGTTACAGAACGAATCTGTTTCTGTTATAACTATAAATGGAATATTACGAATTGGTTTTATGTGTAGGGAATATTTGACATGACGCTTGCTTAGCACACATTATTATGTAATGTTATTCTGATGAAATGCACTTTTAGACTATTTTGAGTGTTTGCTTTCTTTGTTAGTCAGTGTTATTCTATTTAAAGTGTTCTTAACTACTGCACGCAAATGCTATTTTTCAGCTCCTAATATGTAATGAGCATGCTGAAAGATTGCCATAACTCGTTTAGAATTAATTCTTTAGGGAAAGACTAATAAATATAATATTTTTTCAAGTTTAAAGAATTCTTTAGATAGCTTCCATTCCTTCTCAAAAAAAGTTCTATCAGCGATCGAACAGTAAAAATCGCGGAACACTGGTAGTTCGACCAGGGATTGAATCCCGGTGAATGCGGTGGCTGCATGGTTAGGTTTCGTGGTTTTTCCCATGTGAAACGTATATACGAGCCAGTTTCTCTTAATACGTCCTCTACGAAGGCATCCCTTCTCATAGGCAGAATGCTCTTGAGTTGATTTGCCTTAATCAATTAACATAAACTTCTCAAAACTGAAATACATATGCGTGCAGTATTTTAAAAAACTGCAATGATGTATAACATTTGATGTGAATATTGGTGATTTAGTGTCTAATAGAAAAGAAAAATAGAAATTCATTTGTTATTCTCTAAATAGTCAATGCTGCTCAGCCCTGTTGACAAGTGATTGAATAAATTATTTTTTATGCCTTTCTTTATTACATGCTGATTTCTATTTTTCTGTGTAAAACAAACAAATGCATATTTTGAAATTATATGCTGTTACATTCTCTTCATAATTGAATCAATATACAAGTAATATAAAAATGATATTCTATTTAAATTTGAAATTATTCTTCTTATAGTGCCTGCGAGATTTGAAGAACATTTCACGGCTGAAACAGTACGACAAGGTGATAGTGCTGTTTTGAGATGCGATGTAACGGGAGACCAACCGATCAATATTGTTTGGTACAAGGACAAAAAGGAGTTAGAGATAACCGAACTATCCAGGTTTTCAAACATAATTTACTTACTTTTTCAAATTATTTTTTTTATACTAACGTTTGAAAGTCTGTTAACTACTAGGTGTATTTTTCGAGTTATGCTATTAATCCGTGTCGTACTCGTAACATCTGCACGAATTCGAATTAGCAAATTGCCAGTTCTGAGAGGTGTTATCATTCTACGCAACATATTGTAATTTCTTTATGATTTTAATTCTTTACATTTTTCTTTATTTTTTCTTCAAGTTTTTTCATTATGACATGATCTTGCTTGTAACGAACTGAATTATTTAGCAGAGGCATTAGTACTTTTTAATGATAATATGTAAATTTATTCTCTAATTATTTTGATTAAAAACGCTTCATATGTATATAGTACGCACCTCAGCTATAGGATTTAGTGATTACAATAGTTCAATTCAGTTTACTTTGTCATTTTCACTTATAGAATGATAGGTTAATAAAAAGCTGTAACGACGATAACAATATAGTATGCTCTGAGGGTAAAAATACGCACCAAGAAGGAGTATTTGGCTTCAAGAGGGCTTGCTAATCAAATCCAAAACGCACTCTACTAGGTAGAGATTTGGAGGTTTAATAGGCCAGGGAAGTGTTTAGCAAGTTATACCTGAGATATGGCGCTAGAATACAATCGAGATGCTCAGTTAGAATGATCTGTAGCTCTAGCTATTCATTCACTGGCACCGCTATCTTATCATTTCCATACTACATCCCAAGGTATTTAATTTCTTTGCAATCAAGTAACTTCTTTCTGATTGTTTTCCTTTGATTGTTTTGTCTCTGGTTGTTCATTCGCTATCGTACATTAGAAAAACAGAAATGTGTTTCACAGACGAATTTACATTATCGAAAATTTTGTTTGTCTTCATTTTTAATGAGATGTTATAATTTAGCATGCTTAAGCTAGTGTTTCTAACTCAATACATCGCCTGAAATTTTATAAATATTTCTCGTTTTTATAACATTTTGTAAGTAGCATGAGTCACAGAAGTTGAGATTAAAGAAACAAATTTTTTAAAATTATGAGTCAAATTTAATATAAGGTTTTATTTAAATTATAAAAAAATAAATGCTGTGTATTTAAAAACGGTTTTAGTTAAAAAAGTTATTTAATTTTAGGTATGAAAAGTTCGAAACTTTTACAAAGAATGGGGTGAATTCTGAACTGTTCATAAGGAACATTGACCGACGAGATGGCGCACTGTATTCTTGTACGGCTTCGAACAGTTATGGGAGCGATGAGCGTAATATTAAAGTTTTATTAGAAGGTATGAAATTAATAGTATAATTTTGATGTACTGTATAATGAGTTTTTACAAAAATATGATCTCGTTTATTTCGAATAATTTACAGTTGTTTGGTATTTTGCTGTTTACACTGAGAGCAACGAGCAAATTTTTAAAATGGTTAATGTTTCTTTGTTTCAGTGTTCACGTACAGAAACACAATTTAGTATTTATGACGCAAAAATATTATTAATATCGTATTTAAATACATTTGTCTCTTCAATATTCCGTGGGTTTTTAAATTTTTAGTTGTTATCCAAATTTAGAGTTTTCGTGGTAGAAAACATTCTGAATTTACCTATAAATTTAAAATGAACTTTAAGTTATTATAAGCACAAAATACCAAGTATCTATTGCCATAGTTTTAGACTGCTTTCAAAATAAATGTACTTAAAAAGAATTAAATGCAACATTTCAAAAATATGGACTAACTAATATCACAGCCATTAGGAATTAACTGATCTTCTTTTTTTCTTCATTAAGTACTCTAATGAAAGTGAGGCAATTTTTTTTCATTTGTAGTACTTCCATTTTTCAGAGATTATATTGTTAATAAGAGCACAAATGTTTAATTTTTAGAAACTAAAATGCAAAACATGCTTTTTCGAAAAATCTAAGCAATGAAATTTTGTTTTATTTTCTTAAACATACCATTTTTTTCCCAATTCTAATAGAAAATTTAAATAATTTTTATTTACGCAGGTTTTCCAAATAAATACAGGTTTTTTTTTCTGTGTTTCGTTTATAGGGACATATTGGATGTAGTGTAAGCAAATCTAGTTAACATATGAGAGACTTCAATTCAGTTTTTGGCACAGTACATTTTTTAAAATTTCCTGTTTCATGAAAAAATACTAATTATAAAACGCAGCTATAAATATCGGGAGGATTTACTTGCCTAAAGTAAGAAACCTCAACAATTTCCATTCAGTTAAAATTAAAACACGACTCTTTATTATTGGCGTAAAGTAATAAATCCCCCGAAACAATGGTTTATGGAGTAAACAAAGAATAGTAGGCCACTATGAATGTTTATAAGTTTCCTATTTTGTATTATTTAATTAACATATCGTGCGCATTTAAATTAATTAAACTAGAGTTTTGAAAAGAATTTATTGTACTGTTTTATCTTACAATGTATTTTAAACAACGAAAAATTAAAACACAGTTAAATAAAGTACTAATAATTCTAATAGCTAACTCAGAATAAAGAGAAGGATGCATTATTTAGATAAATTTGTAAGGTATTTCTCCCTCCTTCTTAGCATGCCTTCGTGGTGTAGTGGTCAGGCACGCTCGATGCGTATTCTAGAGGTCCGTGGTTAGAGTCCCGGTGAGAGCACTGGTCATTTTTCATCTCTTCTGCTTCCAAATAACCTAATGTCTCTATGAAGTCATTTTCAGATATCTAGCATCCGAATAGATGGATTTATTGCACATACATTATTGGCCAAATTTATTTAATATTATTTAAACATTATGTACTTTATAAAAGATGTGGAAAAATGAAATCAAGAATTCAGAGTTAACAAGATTTTGTTTGAGTTTTGCAGAGAGTTTGAGCTCTGCAGGCGTTCATTTAAAGAAATCTGTATTGTGCAGAATACTGCTCTCTTGAAGAAGAGATACCACATTCAGGTTGTCTAGTAAAGTGAACTGTGGCACTGCATAATTTAATGTAAAAATTACCCATTCACTGACATTTTAACAAAATGGATGTATTGATGTACAAAACCCCAGAAAAATGTAACATAGCAGAAAGGTTATTTTAATCAGTTCAAGTTACAACACGATCTCACAAAGGTTAGTTTTACTTGTTATCTCATAATACCTAGCTATAGCTCATAATACTATTATATTTATTACATTTTACAGTGCTCATGTTAAGAATGGGCATGCCAATAAATAATATAAATATTGAATAAATATGATTGTGTGAAACGGCAAAAGAAGCTTGAGTTGAAATAACTTTTCAGACATTTTTTATATATTTTACTCCTGACTGAGAGTCAATAGCTAACAAAAAAAAAATATAGTTAATTCTATTCAGGAATCATCTTTCAAAGTATTGTGTTAGTATCATTTTAACACTTTCATATTTTTTAACATTCTTTACTTTATTTTTATAACACTTTTCACTTTAATCAGGTATTCTTGAGATTTTTTTCTGCTGTATTTTTTAATAACAAAATTGAAAAACTGGCCGATGAAAAGGCTGAAGTTGAAAAATATGAATTTATCTTAATATTGAATGATCTAAAATTCATTGAATTCGAAAACAAGTTTTTTTTAATACTTGCGCAATAGCTGCAAAGTAAGATAATAATAATTTATTCACTAAAGAAATATTGATTATATTATCTTCTAATATAAATTTAGTAGAATATATCAAAAAGAGGGATCCCACATGTAGGAAGTAAAGTTTGAAAAAGAAAGTAAAGTTTTTTTTCATGATTTACATTCAAGTTCCTTTAAAGCACAATTTTCGGAATTAAACTTTCTACGTGTGGGTTCCCTCTTTTTGATACATTCTACTACATTTATATTAGGAGATAATATAATCAATATTTCTTTAGTGAATAATTTATCTTAATATATACATACATATATAATATCTTAATATATATTTTATGGTTTTTAAAACTCATATCTTCATATTGCAAAAGATATGAAGATCCACGCCACACTAAAAACACCAATAAAGCCATGTCTTTCTCTTTTTCTACTTCAAATATCTTATTATAATAGTTATGATTTTAATTAAATAAATTTATTATTGGTGCCAAATATTACAATTGAAGAATATTTTTCTTTCGTTATTTATTTTATGGAAGTATATTGTGGAATTTGAGAATTAATTAACAGTAATTACAAATGTATAATGCAAAAAGTGTATATTTAATGAAATATTAAAGTTGCATATTTATTGAAACTATTTATTGGTTATTCATTTTCTTTTATTTCAAGCATATTTAATACGATATTACATTAATTCTGCAGAAGTTCCTGCTAAACCTTTAGATGTTAAAGTCCTTGATGTCTGGGCTCGAAGTGCAAGCGTCGTTTGGTCTGCTCCATATGCCGGGAATAATGCTATCACAAAATATAAAGTACAATACTGGAGGGATAAACGTAAGTTTTCTTGGACTGCGTGACTCATGGTAAATCTCTGAAAATATTTTTCAGTAAAATATTCTGTGATCCTCCTAGAAGCATTCAATCCAGCCTCTGTTAAAATACTTCAATTAATTTAAAATGAAGATATAATTAGTTTCAAATAGCTTTTAGTGATTAACGAATGTTGTTTTAGCAACAAGATTTCAGTTACGTTAATTTTCTAACGTTTCGACAGATGGCCCTCAAACGTTGAATGAAGAAGAAATCAGTGCAGGTCAGACAACAGCAGTTATTCAAGGTCTTAATCCAGGCACGTCTTATGCACTGGCTGTTGTTGCTGAAAATACAATAGGTCATGGTGAGCCATCAGAAACCATAAGATTTATAACGAGCGAAGAAGGTAAAAATTTATCAAGCAATTTTATCATTGTATATCTTACTTAAAAAATTGAAACTTAAAATTATTCTCAGATTTTTGCTTTAGTTTTGCATATAGAGATACTGCACAGGGGATAAAATGTTTTCACTTTAAAAATTTAATAATTCTTTTAAAAGGCAGTTATGGCCTACTGACTCAGTTTACTGTTTACATTAAGACAAGTTTTAAATAGCTGATAATTTCCAATTTTTTAATATTATACGGCTAAATTATCCAAAACAGTTTTGGATACTGTCCGTATTAGAACAATATTAGTTTGCTTATTTTAGAAATTCAGTGTAAAAGATATTGCACAGAGAAATAATTTAGTAAATATTTTAATAACACTCCACATATTTCCTTTTTTTGTTTTTGGACCATTAGTTATTACAGTAGAATTTATATAAAAGTTATCGAAAACTTAACTTTAGCCACTCATTGTCATTTCGTTTTCTCATTAGCAAATTTATGTTTAATGTTGAGTATGCTTTTTTACCTAAACTATACTAGTTTCCAGTACTATAATAGCAGAAAAATGTTAGAAATATTTTTTATTATTAGTAGACTATTTTTTTCTAATCGTAAATGTAATAATTTACTTTGTTTTATAGTTTATCTTTTAAACAATAACGTAATATATTTTCAAATTATTTGTAATTCTAAGATTAGAGTTCAAAGAAATTAAAAATCTGTATGCCGCTTAGAGTTATAAATTTAGCTTTTTCATTATTAAATTTTACTTCATAAGTAGATGATAAAAATTAAAATGAGACTAGAATTATTTCGTTCTGTGTTACATGTATGCAGTGTATCTTGCAAATATTTGGAATTGTGAAAATTTATCACCCAAATTTGATTAAATCATGCTTTGTAATCTGACTTCAGGTTATATGAAAGCATGCTCTTCACATGCTAATGCTATAATTCGAAACAGGTTAAAATAAAGCTGCGTGTTTATACATACTTACTTTTTGTGCCCTTAGGAATACTAATTTGTTATTGGTAAACATGCGTGTTGCATTTATTTAAAAGTAAACTAGAGGAATCCTGTTAATAATATTAGTAATTCTTACACAAGCCACATATTTGCGCAGAATCTTTCATTATGATTTATAAAAGTTTAGCTTCAATATCATTAATTAGCTGTACATATTTTATTTAGAGAAATAAATTCGCATTTTACATTTAAAATTTAGAATATCAGTAAGCAGATCTACCATCTCCATATCATCTCAGCTTTTTTCGCAATAAAAGAAAATCTGAAATTGATTGCATTAATTTTTTAAATTATTTCTTAGAGCCGAGTGGGCCTCCAACAGACTTAAATGTTGAAGCGAGAGGACCAACTTCTATTCTTGTGAGGTGGAAGGTAGAAATATTCTTATTTAAATTATTTTACTTGACAAATTTAGCTTAATGAATACAAAATAGTTACTTAAATCTGATTTATAAACTCTTATTTATTATTTATATAATCTTTTTTCATAGCCTCCACCTAAAGAATGCTGGAATGGTGACTTGAAAGGTTATTATGTAGGATACAGAGCTGAGAATACTAACCAACCTTATACATTTAAAAGCATTGAAGCTAGTACAAACGAAACTAATGAATACCTAATTGCTGGATTAACAAAGTCTGCTCGGTACAGCGTGCTGGTCAAAGCCTACAACAAAGCAGGGACGGGTCCTCCTTCTCAGGAACTGGTTATCAGGACACTAGATGGCGGTAAGATTTCGTAGCTATTTAAAAGGTATTCATGCTTAAGTATTACACGGGAAATCGTATTTTCGTGCATGAACGTATACATTATTATATTTAGTAAAAAAAGGAAATTTTATTTTTACAAAATATTTATTGCAAACACTGAATATCAATTTATTAAAATATCAGAGTTCGAAATAATCGCTAACTAGTTGAAAGCAGTTAAGACAGCACGTGAGAAACGAAAAATATGTTGGAAGGATACGCAGCCGTTCATGAACAGTAAGGGGAATTTCATCGTCGTTTTGGAATTCTATTTCACTCAGGGATGTAACCTAATTCTTATTTTTAGTGATAATACGTTGCCAAAATGCTTCATTATCATCTTCATAACGATGCAGAAGACCTTAATAAACATTCGTACGTCTATCGGCCATGTCGTGTGCTAAGTGCTTTCGTTGCTCATCGTGCACATTCTATCTGGAACTTAATTCAGCCTGAATGATGTGGTGTGTTGATCCAACGCAGTAGTTAAGCAGCCTTTTCTGTCATAATTTAATGGTTTTCATGTATCCCCCTTATTATAGCTGCAATGATATCTTCCATGACTTCTAAACCTGGTGTGGAGATTACTCTCCACAATACTGGTACTTATCTTCATTTTATCAGTCCACTTGCATAACGATTGAGTCCATTCATATACTTACATTCATCACATCCAAAGACGAATCTACTTAAGTTTCACTTCTTCGTTAAGCAGAAATCTTTCATCACTTCATTGCTGATACTTTGTGAACTATTGCAAAAGTCCATATCAATTTATCGTGCAATTTCCCATATCCGTAGGCTTGAAGCAAGTGTGTTAACACTGTCTATTAATAACCTTGCTTATTCTATTAATAGTGATATTGTTCAGTGGTATCGTTCATGCACCCTATTTTGAATACAACTTTTCCGGTTTCTTTCTGGATAATATGCGTGTACGTGTATGATATATGTATATATATGTGTGTGTGTGTATATATGTGTAGTGTAATTCATAATTTAAATTAAAATTTCAAAACTTATTCTGAAGTTTCTAAGTTTATAGGACACTCAGCCCTAGCGCAAAATTGCTAATCATATCTATATCTTATTTATTGTTTTCATATTTGTATTGAAATGAAGAAGATGTCTTTGCCAAAATATTCTATAAATTTTTATCTCTAAAAGCGTTCTTTTATGTTTAATGTCGTACACTAGTGAAGAACTGTTGTTACTAATTTGCCAGAAGATTGTCTATTTATAGTATCAGAAGTCAATAAACCTTATCTGTTTATTTCGTGACTACGTTTAACATGAAAAGTGTTCCGAACGCTGGAACACACAATGATGATGTAACTTATTATAACCCTAAATTATGGACTACATCAAAATTTTTTCCCTGAGTTAAAGCTGCCATAAAATTATGTCATTATTGTTAATATTATAATTAGTTATACGACTTCAAATTATTTTCGAAGAAAACTGGAAGCTTGTAAAAATGTATCTAATTTTGTTAAAATTTTATTAGCAAAATGTTTGGAATTGGAATTTTTACAGATTTACCCAAGTCCCCTCCTATATCACTAGTGAGTACTTCTGACACAGCCATTACAGTGAAATGGAATCAAGTAGTTAACAGAGATGACCCACTTACAGGTATATAAAAGCATATTTAATGTTATAATGCTAAGTTAATTTACCCAGTTATTATGATTTATATTTTTACTGTCGCTTCTTCCTTCCGTTTCCCTACCAGAACGCAAAATTTGTCTAGGGCACCGGTTCTCAAACTGTGGTACATTACAATAATTTTAATGGTACAAATTTTACAGAAAAAAATATTAAATGAATGCTCAAAATGAATGTAAAATTGCGCCTCTTTTAACATTTTGTTTCATTCTTTATTATTCAGAAAGACATATACTTTTTAAGTTTTTGACTTTTACGACTCCAGCTTTAATGTTGAAATGACGACTTTTCCAAAAGCTTCGAAGAATTTCCCGACGTTACGATTTCCAAGAAATCGTAGCGGCACAGTATACTCAGTATAGTATAACTTATTTATATTTTATTATAATTTAAAAGTTTCATTTACGAATATAATTAAATAATATAAATTAAAATTTTTTTATTCTTTGATTACATACACTCCATTTAGGATGCATTGATTTTTAATGGCGAAATGCTTTTATAGTGGTACATATACTTTTATTTTATATTTATGTGGTGCAAAATTTGAAAATTTGAGAACCCCTGTTCTAGGGTATTTAAGCCGAGTCTGTTGGATTGTAAGACAGAACATATTCTGCCTCTCAAAGCCACGTTTCTAGGTTTTAGCTAGCTCAGCTATGATTTCATACTTTGACTCAGCATTGCAATGCATTTAAATACTTACACCCTCTGGATTTGCGAGCCAACTTTGCGTGAAATTGAATTGTGTAGTCTTTGACTACTAGCTTAATTTTACATTTGAACTTGCTTTTACTTAAAGTTGCATCGCTGCAAGTGATTGGCTGAATTGTAAGCACGTGTCGTACATTTATGTTCCAGTTCTGATTTAATACAAGAGTTTGTTTTAAAACCTTCTTATGACTTTGCAGTTCTATCCAGACGTAGCGATAATTCGTTTATTTTGTATTCGCTTAAGGAGTTTGATACTAGTTTTTGCCACGGAAACAAGTCAAAATTTATAATGTTCTAAATTTAAATGTGGAAAAGCGAAGTATACAATATTCTTTTATTGCATAAACTGAGGTTTTTTTATTTATATCATTGATCTTTTTTTTATTTATATCATTGATCTCCTTTTATTTATATCGTTGGATTCATTCTTTTTTTAATTAAGTCATTGTGTTATGCCACTTTCTCTATTCCTATTTTTAGTTACTCAAAGATATCTTATTGTATGATAAATGTAATTTCTTTAGTGTGGTCCGGAAAATTAAAATATTTCTATCTGCATTTTTAAATTTTTTCTGGGCGATAGGAATATTAAAAATGGTTACGTTTTCAAGGAATTAAATGAAAAACATTGCTATATTTTAAACAGTAATTAAAAAGTTCAGATTTATTTGTAATCTAATAATGACGGTTTTAATGAAAAAAGGTTCATAAATTAAATCTAATACAAATGAAAATAATAATATGTTTTGCTTGTAATCTTCATGGCTATGAATAGTAAATTGACCGAATGTTTGATATTGAAAACTACAAAATGCTTTGATAGGTAAAAGGTGTCTTGCACTCCTTTGGATTATCAAGTTTTAGCCATAGGCTTAGTATAGATAAACTTTATTATATAGATTCTCCATACCTTGTGTACGTATTTGTATATAATATGATGAAAAATTAACATATTACTTAAATTTAGTTTTATTTCTATAGATTAAAGCTTCACAGAAATCAGTTAATTCTGTTGAACTGTGGACTTCTGTGGAAGTCGACTTAAAGCAATTCGGTTTGTGTTTGCAAAACTGATGCACGAAGAATATTGATCCTTTCATTTAAAAATTTCTTACAAAGAAGCAACATTCTTTTATAATAAACTTTAAAAGCTCTCGATTGAATGAGGAATTTATGTTTTGAAATTCATTTAGTGCTTACTTTATTAATTAATATAAATAATGCCTGAAAGGAAAAAAATAACTTGGAGATATATCCTATTGTAAATAGTAAATCAAAAGTATTTATTAAAATACTTGAAACTCCTTTATCTCAGTAAATTACTGTAAATATGATACGTGATTCAGTTAGACTTTAAAATAACTATGGGTACCTCAAAAGCTAATTCGTACTTCTTCAGTAAAAACCAGTCATGTAAAATTCAGTAAAGACTTGTTTATCAGATAAGATAAATCTTTTACATATCATTCAATTGCGTAAAATTTTTTAATTTAATCCAGCTGAACTTTTATTGATTTTTTAATTTTAATCTCAATTTACCGAATTTATGATAATGCTCTAAGTTCAGTGAATCCCGGATAATCTCTCTTCACGATACTCTTCATCGAAAATAAAAATTAAAAATTTTCTTAAAACAACTTTTTTGCAGGTTATACTTTGCACTATCAGAGAGGCTCGGGGCACTGGCTGCACGTTCCTCTTGTCGCCGCTGACCAGTCTAGTTATACTTTGACATCACTTCAAGCAGACACTTTGTATCATCTATACTTGACTGCAAACAACAAGCATGGTAGAGGCCAAGCTAGCGATATTCTAACAGTCAAGACAAAAGAGAAAGGTATCTATATTAGACTCGAGACTTTCAGTATAGTATTGAACGAAGTATCAAGATTGAAGGAATGATTACAAATTAAATTGTAAACTTCAGGATTTCGATTAAACTGGTAATTAACTACTCACCTAAATAGCAATCAGCATGTTTGAGAGAAATGGTATTTTAAGAAACCCATAATTTTTGCTTGAATTATTCAAAGATGCAAATGTTAAAGAATAGGAATGCAACATGAAGCGATAATCCCGCTTTTATTTATATTTTATTTCTGTATAAATGTCTTAGTAAAATTTTATTTTAATACGAATCAAATTTCTTACGGATTTGCCTTTCAATACAATTAAAATAACTGCATAATGCATAATTTTTAACTGTAATATTACAGTATAACGCGAAGATGACACTCATCCTAGAATAAGCACTGTGGAATTGAATGTCATCTCAGTGATAAATTTTGTTGGAAAAATAAGTTATAAATATATAAAGAAAGAATAAAATATTAGTTGCATAAAAGAACATAAAATCTGCATGTGTAGATTTTGCAATGTTTCACAGCAACGGGGTTTCAAATCAAACGTAATCATCATTATTCATATCATTAATTTCAGTTGTCTACGTGTACAATATTGGTGTACATCATAAGCATGTTTTTAAGTAGAGCACTATCATCTTCCTATAGATATTTACATAACATCAAGATGTCCAAAACGCATTAGAAACTAACATAAAAGCAAAAAGCATGCTGAACAAATAACGTACTTTAAGAACAAATGTGTTTTTACAGACGAGTTATGATACAATCTAGAAGATGATAACTAAAGGAGAAAAAGTGGTAGTACAAAATATATAATATTAGATTAATGGTGCATGAAGATATACGTATGTTAAAGAGCCCTATTTTTATTGACAATGAGAAATTCTGAGACATGCGGGAGCATAGTATTTAACCGCTCTTTCAATGTACTAAACTGTACAACTTTTATTTGAAAGCGTATTCTCTGCCCAAGCCATCTAGTGTTCAGGAGTCGGTAATATCATATGGCAGTTCCAAATAAAGGGACATTCAAATATGCTTTTATGTCTGTCCCGTTCAGAGATAACTGCATCAAGGAACCCAAATCGGTTTAGATAGTACCTACCTGTTAAAAACTGAGTAAAACTTGTTTATCAATTTGCAATTCTCTCTTAAGTTTCGGCATGAGCTGATGGATACGCCTGCCTATCGCAGTTGAATCCCAGCGTTTCCGGCTACTGCGCTACAAAATAAAGTGCAAAATCCAAGATTCAGACTCTTCGAGACTTTGCCGAATCCGGATTTAGGAGTTTTCCGGATATTATATCATCGGTTTAAATCTAGAAAGATGGCATACAGAAATTATAAAATTAAAAATATGAATTCGTGATTTATGAAATATTGGCATTTATGATGTAAAGGGTATCAAAATTTACAAGAAAAAAAGAGACTAATATTTATTTGTTTATTTTATTAAACATTTCTTTCAGTGTAAGTTGTTTAAGTTGTTTCGAATTTTATGCTACTACGTTTTCTTTATTTCTATGGACATATTTGTTGTTCAGTTACAAAGTTACATTGTTCAAGTCCTGTAATGCTGTGTTAAAAATTCCGACTAACTTGTCATTTGAAATGTTTTCGTCTCCAGTAACCTCTCTGTAACTTCCTTCACCATCGGTAGCAGTATTGTTTGGATCTGGAACCATACTACAGATTTTGGCGTCTTTTAATTGATTGAATATTGGTGCATTGTCGTCGTAATAAAAAACTTCTGTTATATAATCTTCATTTATACTGCTTCTCCACATTTCTTTACAAAATCCATTAATTCGAAAATATCACTTTTGGTTTGCGATATCCGAAAACCTTCAAATTCGCGGCTATCATCATCATCATCCTCACCATGAAATATGGTAGCTGGTCATAAATTATACGAAGCATTTTTTAAAGTATCTAGAGACACACTTTCCCACGATCTTGCGATGTTCCACACAGTAGAATAGTATTTCAATAATTCCTGAATAGTGTTGCCATTATTCGAGAAATTTAACTTGATATTAAAACTGCTACTTTACATTTGCATTTCCGCTCGCGCACTATTCCGATATCCGTAGGCTGAATGATAGGAGGAAAAAATAATATGGATACGTTATCTTTCACTAAAATATTAAGTGAAGTATGAGCCAAACCTTTGTCTACACTCAAGGCAATTTTTGCGTCATCAGGTAAACCAACCGAATTCAAATATTGCCGAGCCTAGGATATGAAATAATTTTTAAACCAATCATTCATTAACGCTTATGTCATCCATGCTCTTTTATTTGCACGATATATAAGGGAGAAATCGTTATTCCTTTAAATGATCGAGGTCGTGTATTTTTCTGATTACGAAAAGTTTACACTTGTGCGTTCCTGCAGCATTTGGCGCATGATAAAATTGTTAGTCTAGCTTTGGAATCTTTGACACCAGTTGGAGACTTTCCTGTAGAAGTTGGTTGCCAAGGTATTTCGCGGTACATATTGCCAAAAAAGATCAATTTCATCAAGGTAGTAAATTTGCTCTTTAGATAACTTTTCACTATTAATGAGTTCAATTAATTCATCTGCAAATAGTTCAGTATCAGCTGAAGCAGTATCACAATTTTAATTGCCTTATACCATGGTGATTTTTAAATTTGTCTAACCAACCTGTCGAATATGCGCACTCCGTTTTTAAGTTAATGTCTTCATGAAATATTTTGGCTTGAGCCATTAGCATTGGACCCGTGAATGGCGTGCCCTTGCCGCGACGCTGTCTGACTCATTCTATTACCACTTTGTCATGATCGTCCCTTTTAACATAACGAATAATTTTTCTGTTACTCATTGCGAGTGGGGTGTCGCAACCCACAAAAAATTCAAAAAGTCTTTTTTTTCTGTTTTCTTATGTCATATACAATTGACTTCCTCGCATAATTTTGAGACGGTTACGCCTAAATCCTTTTTTTGCAACAATTCCACTTTTTGCTTAATGGACATCAAAACATGCTTTCGCTTTGTAGATCCTGTTGCAGCTCCAGAATTAGAAAGTATTTTCGACATAATCGAAAGTTAATTTTCATAAAATTGTTGTAATAATAACAGTCTGCAAAAATAATAAGCTGGATCAAATCAGAAGGTTAAATAAGTGTACTAAATAAAATATGTAAATGTAAGCGCAATCTGCTATATTAATTGAAATTCCTTGGAATCAAAGTAAAGTACAATTTTAGCTTATCTTAATACCGTCCACTACGTTACTGGCTATGTATCATGAGATTGGCGACGAAAGACAAATTGTTCCTCTAATGTTTTTTGCTTCTATCGCGTACTAAGACAGTTAAGCCTGAAATGTAATTATTTATGACACTTACGTCTATTTCTTGCAAAAGCTTAAGGCTAATCTGAGTCCTGAATAAATAAGTATTCCCGCGCATACTTAAGGCTTATCAAGGGCCGGCGCTAAATACCTTACCACCTGATGCAGTCTCTGTTGGTCCTAAATTCTGCTACCAAGCGCTAAGTTCTAAATTTTTGCCGCCCCTAAAGAGTGGATCCCAATACTTAACTTGTATTCTAAAAATCTTGTCATCCTTTAATTTTGTCGCTCGATGCTTCTCTAAATTGCGAAAATTTTGTCTTCCCTAAATTCTGCCTCCCGGTGCAGTTATACGAGCTCTGGCGCAGGTTCCGGATTTATGTGAATAACAAATAAGTTATTCTTAATCCAAATAGAATTAGATGTAATTTTTTGGCCTATGAGTTTCATTAACAAATTCTATTTTTAGCATATGCAAAGAAATTCTTGTTAGATTTTTCCTCGTCAACATTTCTTAGGGCCATTTAACTTAAATCTGTAAGCATCGTCAAGCGTACTGTCAACATAAAAGGTTGCCATTCTCTTTGTTATTTAATTACTAATATAAAAATTGTTTAGGCATCTCTGCATGAGTTATTATTGAAGTTGTCATGCGTTAATAAACATGTGGTGATTGTAGCTGTAAAATCAATGATGTTTTTGTGTAATGTTTTGATTTGAGATATATGCCAAGCAGATAACGCAGCTACGGAGTCAAATTATTGATGTCACAAATTTATGCTAAAATGATTGTTTCTTCAATAACGAAGTATGTTTTTAGGGCCTAAGTGAAATTAAGAATCGGTACTGTCTACATATTTTACTATGGGGGTAATATCAAATGCGCATGCGTAAAGCATACCCACCCCCAAAAGGTTTTTGGTGGCTTTGAGGTCCAGATTTTAGATCATTCGAGATATTGGACGTCAGGATCTCGGACTTTGTACTGTATTTGCCGATGATATATCTAAAAAATGTGACTGGTTGTGAAACGGAATGCTCCAGAAAGCATGGATCATTGACAGCATTCTTTGCATTGGTATCTGCTTGCTCATTTCCCAGAATACCAGCGTGAGCCGACGAACAGTATCGAGTAGGCCTTTCACAGGCTGGACACTGAAGCAGCGCTTCACATATTTTGATATCTAAGAGACTGCGTCTTCGCTCTGCTGAGACTGCTGCAAGACTTAGAGCCAGAGTCACAGTATATCACTTTTCTATTCTGGGGATGATCTGAGTTTGGAATGGAGTTTGAAATCTGAATTTAGAATGAGATCTGAGTTTGGAATGAAATACGAACCAAAGACATCATCACTTGCGCACAAGAATGCCGATGTCCAGTCATTCCTAATTCGCTTCTTCTGATCAACTCTGTGATTCAAATATTGGCTGACTGACTGTGGTTCCACATATAGATAAAAAATAGTTGTGCAGTAAATTCCGGAGAAAAGTGGTGAAGGACTTTCATGAAAATGCTTGTACATAGTTTGCAAAACTAGGCATATCACTTTAAGAATTTACAGAAAGCAATATAATTATAATTAATTCGCATCTAATTAAACAGAATAGTAAGTTACCTAAGCATTCGGAATTTACTGAGGATAAGGTTTGAATGAAAAATTAAACTTTTATGGAACCCTATATTAGTCTTTTATCGAACAATGTCCATTAACCATATACAAGTATTTTTTTAATCAAAAATAGATGGAACGCTAAGAATATATGTGTGATTGATGTCCCAATCACATTTTACAAATCATTAAATAAAGTAATGTTAACAGTACAGAAATAATATACTTAGAATAATATTCCTTTCTTTAAATCAATAAGATGGTTTTCAAAACATTTCTTCTGATTCATGGAGTATTATGGCTAAAATTTTAGATATCTGAAAGAAGGAGAAAGGTTATTTTTGTCTGCTGACTTTATTAGTGATTGATCTGAAACGGAAGAGAAACGCCAATGGAAAATTTCAATCCAAGTGACCTCATTTTGCCGTAAATTGCGAATACAAGAATGCCCTTTCTTCTGATGATAAGAAAACTATGTAAGAGGATGAAGCATATTCCATTTTAGTCCTTTTCGAAAATATTCTGCTTTTTTATATGCTGGAGGATTGTGGCAAACTTATATCCAAGTGCTCGATCGGCGCAATTTTTGCAATCACATTTTCTTGCTACTCGCCTATTTATTATATTCTGGATATTAATGCAATATTTTAAATATTCTTGTTATTTCCACATTAAAATAAAGCCAAATAATAGTATTAACAATGGCTTTTAATTGTTCATAAATTACCAAAGGACCGCTACTCAATTTGCTCAATTGATAAAGTTTTAATCTCATGAAATTTATTTCGTAGTAATGCAATGCCTCCGTTTCATATATTTTTTACTCAGACTATTGATGTTAAGAATCGGTAAGATTTTTATCGATATCGTCATGAAATTAGAACTATAAATGAGTGTAAAATTGTCATTAAATATTATATTGAATGGAAGAATCGCACCTCTCTTGTTTAAGAAAAATGCAAAATAATTAACCTTGCAAGAGAAATATGCCAAACGTAAAAATGGGCTGAAAATTACATCTACTTCAAACTATTAGTCGACTTTTAAAAGGAAAAGAGGTCTTTTTTCTTGGAGGGAGAGGAGTGTTGGAGCAAAGAAATTAAAGATAATATTATTCAGTTTAATTAAGAAAACGAAAACGCCTTGGTATTTTACGGATTAAAGAGTGCAGAAGGTTAGCATAAATTTCATATATAACTGGAAATGAAACGTACACTACCATTTGAAAACTAAAGTCTACCTGTGACTTATTTTATTGTGATATTCACCAAATAGCTTACGGATGGAGTCGAATCTGTTCCATCCCAAAGGTGTATCTATATCCAAAAATTAAGCAGACAAATCTATCACCTTAATATTATCAATTTAATTTAGAGAAACGTTTCCTAATTATGTTTATTCACTTTTTCCCTAGCAGTATAATTTAATTTGTGAGAGAATTAATGTAAGTATATTAAACAGTCTTATAGCGCTTTTATTATGTTAAACATTTTAATACTTATTAATTTCCTACCTTAACTTTTCATTTTGTTACATAGTTTTAAACTTTAGAAAATTATATTTTTGTTTTTTACCTAGGTGCAAGAGATTTTCCTATGTACTTGGATCTCTCACTCTTAATACCTGTAGCAGCTACATTATTGGCCATCATCGTGGTCGTTGTCGTAGTAATTGTCTACGTAGTTAAATCTAGATCACGGAAAGATTTAGTTAAAGACCAGATCAAAGGTTAGATGTTCTTTCTGTCATTAGTATCATAAATTCATTTTTTTTATAAATAAAAAGGAGTGCGGCGAAAGAAGTATGCTCTCTTTATATATTGCATAAAATTTAAGATGGGCAAAGACTGAACACAAGAGTTATTTGTGTATTTAAATTTATCTGAATATCATATTATGAGAAATATTTTGAGAAATTAATAGCGCATGACATAAATTTGTTTTTATAACTGCTCATTTAAAAATATAATTTTTCCTATATACAAAATATCATACTAAATTGATTTTTTGTGCAAGACATTATAAGGTTGAAGGAAATATTGCAGTATTAAAATATTAATGTTGTAAGGATTATGTTAATTTTATTAAAATTTAAATTTTGAGTTAAACTTCTTTCCTGTCAAACTCTTAACTTCAGTTTACTACTTCCGGCCAGAACGTAGTTTTGGAAACCCGTCTGAAATTTTAGATATCTGAAAGAAGAGAGGTTTCTTGTTTGCTGACTTTACTAGTGATTGATCTGAAACGGAAGAGAAAAGCCAATGGAAAATTTCAATCCAAGTGACCTCATTTTGCCGTAAATTGCGAATACAAGAATGAGAAAGAGCATACGTAATGATAAAATAATGCGAAAGAGAATACATAATAAGAAAGAGCGGTATTTAACCGCGAAGTTTTATTTACTGAGTTAGGGAGAATCAGAGTTTCTGATTAGAGCGCGTCCGCCTTTCTGGCTACTCTCTCTCAAAGCTGTTATTACGCTCAGCCGTACTCAGGCCCTTAATAGCTTCGCAGTCATATCGTGTTTAAGGGGCCAACTACGTTAAAACTTTGATAGCTTTGGCTATATCTCTTTTTAGTTTAGATTAGTTTTAGGTTACTTCTTAGTCTCTTAAGTTCAAGCCCAAATGTCCTCTTTTACTGTACACTTCAAGACGGAGTTCTGTTAAATCTTATTTGAATAATAAAGGGTTGTTTACCCTTCCATCTTGTTGTTTCTTATCACACGAACTCAAGCGAATATTCGCTTATCAGTTCTTAGCAACGTTCAACAGCAACTTAGCCTTTACAATGTGAGGAACTCTATAATGTAAACTAAAAATTCTAATTTCATGGATCTCGAGCAAACATTTTTATTTCGAAGTACTAATATAACAGAAAAATTTACATACATTGGGTGTTTGTTTCATTAAGCTATTGATTCATTGAAACATGAAGTGAAAAAGGAATCAAATTTTAATAATTTTAAGAGAATTAAATGCAGCACTGAGAAGGTGGCAATAAACGAAAATTTCATACATACGTAACATACACACATGTACGCATGAAAACAATTCTGAGTCTGAGGCAATACTTCCTGCACCATGGTTAAATTTTTTTGTTTAAAACTTATAAATAGTGAGTAATTAGCATTTGCTTCAAAGAAAGAAATGGATTCCTTTTTTTGTCTATGTCTTATATTTAACTGGTCTCTTAAACTTGACTGCTGTTTGGACACTTAAACAAAGCGTTGATTATTAAACGCTTTTTTTAGGTGCTAGCATATATAAATTTGGAATCATTTTACTAGCAAACTGAGCGTAATAAAATATTTAATTTACTATTAAATACTATACACATCAGAGTTCTGATAATTTGACATGGGCTGAATATTTGAGCACATTTTTGGAGGTCTCTTATTAAACTAGATCTGCTTAACAAGAAATAAAACGTTCCTGTAAAACATGATGCAATGTAAAAATTCATGAGTATTACATAGTGAAATAAATAAATGATTTTACCTTGCCGTGTCTACTATAGAAAATAACTACAGGCCCATTTTCATACGAAATGTACTTTACAGAATTAAATAAAAAATTATACAGTGGTGAATAGCTGTTAATGGAAGTCATAAGGATTCTTCAGTGGTAAAGAAGTAAAACGTGATGGCTGATAATAATCATTTTTACTAATTTGTATGAACTAAAGGAAGTATTGTAATCGCAAAAAATTTCGGGTATCATATTTCAACGAAAATATCTGTTTTTACCTCCCTTGAATCCATTTGAAAGATCTTTTTGCCTGACATCTGCACGTACGAACAGAATAAAGGACTCATTTTCACAAAATGGACTATAAAAGGGATTTAAAATGAATTCAGAACAGCTTTTTTTCTTAACATCTGTACGTACGTTTTATATATATATATCTCATAACTCAAAACCGAGTAGCTCTAGAACGTTGAATTCAATTTTGTGCACCAGTAAATCTATCTTCCTGCCTGTTGGTCGATTGCTTGTTTTTCCATGAAAACTAATTTTAATTGTAAAACTTGTTTTTTTTTTTTTTTTTTTTTTTTTTTTTTTTTTTTTTTTTTTTAACTGTTCTTTATTGTATTTGGTGTTTTATGTTTTTCTGTATTTTTTAATTTTTAACGAAGATATATTAGTTTTTATGTATTTTTGCTTTTCACTGAATTAATTGAATAAGAAATATATTTGTATGGAAATTAGAGGAAATTATTTTAAATAAAATGAAGGAAAAATGTGTATAATTTAATAGGCCTTACAAGTACATAATGGGGTGTCCACATCAGATAATTCGAAAAATACAGTTTGGTTTCCTGGCATTATGTCTGTCAGTCGCGCCATAGTTGAAGCAGCAGCAAAAAATAAGGAACAATTTTGTTTGAACGAATTTCCAAGTAAGGTAATAAGAAGAGTAATAATTTCAACTATAAATCAAGTTTTTGTGATGTGTCGTATATTCGAAGGCTGGATAATTATCCGATTAATAAACGGGGCTCTTCGGTATTACATGATATCGTTATGCAGATTGCGATCTAGAGCGAAAACAGGTTAACGTTCCAAAAATAAATAAAAGTACATTTTTATAAATGTCCTTAATTTTTAACTAAACATAGGACAATGTAATTAATCTCCTAAAAAGTGTAGTACAAATATGTCAAAATTCGTAATTTGCTAGTTCTTTTATGCAGTTATGTATGCTAAATGAAGGAAATATATGTTAAAATCTTGTATAATAAAAATATTTCCCATATTTATTGCAGTTTTAAAGCTAATAACGTTTCAGATACAAAATTCGGAAGATTAATCCTCAAAATATGATTGAGTAGTATAAAAATTCCAAGAAATAGTATAAGCCAAAAAACGATTGCACAGCAGCTTCTTCATATTCGATAAAACTGTTTTTTTATGCTTCAAATGTAACAATTTGTTTTTGGCAGTTTTTTGCTCGTTTTGGGATATAAGAAAATAAAACAAAATATAATTTTTAAAGAAAGATTATGCTTGAATTTGAGTTTCGGGCATGATTAATATTTAATTTAATAAAATATATTTTTGAGAATACATGGTTGTATAATTCTTTTAGCCGACAGTTGTGAGTCATGAAACCTTTCTACTGAGAAAATCGTTTTCAATAAGTAATTTAAAATTGTTATCATGTATCAAAACATTTAACTGTGCCATCTTCCAATAGCTTTGCACGATCAGCAGTATATCTACGCTGCTGGAAATGCCCAAAGGTATGACAGCGTTGACAAAGGTCGACCCTATAGTCAAGGAGAGCCGGGAACACCCGCTGTCAGTCTTGCTTCTTATGCTTCTATACCTTCTAGAATAGACCAAGATGAGTTATATGGTGGACCAATTGAAGTTAAGGGGCCTTACGGTCAAGTAAGAGAACAATTTCTACTAGAAAAGGTGACATATAAATAAAATATTTCTTAGAGTAAGAAAAACATTAAGAACTTTTTACTATGACAATTATGAAAAAGCAATAAAAATTTCTTCCTTATTTTAACACTGTTTCTTTCTAAAGAACTCTTTTTTTAAAATACTTCTTTTAATACTGAGAGTAGTTTTATGCTAAAACCATGCACTTAAATACAGAAAACTTGTTGAAAAAATACTTGATAACTGCATTTCGAAAATATAGGACTACCTTTTGCGAAAAAAGCAATAATAAATTAGAACTATTTGTTCACAAAATTAAATATTACCAAATAAAAATGTTCATATCGTGTACGATGTCTATCGGTTGTATATTTAGGCTTAAAATATTAAGAATGCGAATAATTATAAAATGACCCTAAAAACTACAAAGAGGCATTTCGAAAAATTGTATTTCAAAACTCATAGAATTGATTATTTTATAGCAAAGCCATACCATGTTTCAAAACTCACAGAAGTGTATATTTTACATCAAAGCATGCAATAGCCTGTAAGGATCATGTAGCATCTGCAAATATTTGAACTTCTTCATCTTTCATCTTAACTATATCTGATATCAAATCACCATTTCGGCAATATGCCGCAGAAGTTTGGAATGACATTCTTATGCACATGTATACCAGGTTACCTGGAAAGCTTCAAATTCCCAGGCTTTCTAAACTATAATTTTTTTCCTTAAGAAATTGTAAACTGGATTTGTCAATAATATGGATGACATCACATAAGTCCATATTTAATAAATCCATTACGTTTATTTAAATTAACAACAATAAATATATTCCACATGAAAGGACTTATGTTTCTCAAAACAGAAAATAGTTTCTTAATGTGCTGTTATTCAAATGTTTATTCTTAGGCACTATATTGCTATGATATATAGTAAAATAAAGCATAAATACCCTTTCTACAGAAATAAAGTAGTATGGAAGATCGTCATTGAAACTTAACATATTGTGCATGTATGATAAAATGTATTTTATCATAACATCTATTTTATAAATTAACTTGTAGTATAATTATTTACTTAAAAATCGAAATTTTGTTTACTTAAATGCTTAAAATAGAAGTTTATTGTTTTCCAAGACATATTCTACGAATGCTTTTAAGCAGAATTACTGAAGGTAATATTTACATAATTGGAAATAATGCGATACATAATAATAGAAATAAAATTTAAAATCTCTACTTTTAAAATGCAAGCAGAAAAACATCATCGAACGGGATACAAGCAATGTTATGTGAAACAAATGTAGTGTTTGTTTTTCTAATATAATCTTCTTCTCTGACCATACATTTATCCCAGAGATTCTGTGCAAAATTCTCTGGAGAAACAAGGAGTATGGAGGATTAGGTAACATCTGGAACCTAGCAGCGGCTATAGCAGCCGTTGCTTTAGCAGACGGATGTGATGAGCTTTGCGATGGTTATAAATGATTGGTTGAAATCAATAGCTTTCTCCTTTATTTATTCTCAATTTCTTCCTATAATTTTGCTATTAGTGTGCATAATAATATTCTTTGATTATTCCACATTGACATTATCAATCATCAACAGTTATTTGGCATCCCAAGAAATACTGTCGATAACTTTGAAGGATATACAGAAAAGTCTCCTGCTGATAGGATACGAGACATGTTTCCAAGACATACTTTGTCGACACTCTCAGGTTCAAAGAAGTGTATCCTAGTCCTTCCTAGTAACATATCTGTACAAAATGTATTTTGTATGCCGCTGAAATTTGTCAACAGAGAAATAGAATCCGAAACCAACGATCGGTTTTCTATGCCTCCATCGCAACATCCATCGAATTGAGACAAGACACATGCCATGAAATATATATTACTAAATTTAGTTTTCTGCTACAAAATGGAATACGCGTACTCTCAGGTACTTGCTTAAAAATTAATCGTGTACTTGATGTCCCAGTTTTTTCAAATTCAGACATCCTTTTCTCCGCCACTGATGCAGATGAATAGCTGCAGTATGAATCAGCTTCATAGGAAAATTTTCCATAGTGAAATTCTGAAACCTATTTGGCAAACAAGTTGGGCATTATATTCTAATGTCTCAGCGTGATTCAAGTTTTGACAATTTTTAAAAAAGAAAATTGAAGCAAGATATATCAAATTTATTCTAAATGTTATATATGGGTAAATGTTTCTTTTGAATCTGCCAATTTTTCACTCATCCTTCTACGAAGCTTTTCACCATTTTTTGCATTACGTTTTTAAGACTTGTGAAAATACATGAAAACTACCTTTTTTTAAAACTACTTTGTGAAGATAAAGATATGCACTCCTAGATTGAAATGTTCATTTAAAGTATTTCTGTTTTATTTCCACTTTTATGCAATTTACAAAGGGCATCATACCATTATTGATTATCTGCACAGATCATTTCGCGTCGCTGATTTGGTCGTGAGGGAGCACGACTAAGAGCAACATGTTCACTCATTTTTAATCCCATTAGAGTTTTTGTATGTGATTTTGGTCTTCTCTAAGGTGAGCACTGATTGAAGAACTAGCGATGTAGCCAAAATTCGAAATCCTATTATGGATGCAGTTCAGGCAATTACACTTAAAATTTAAACAGTGTGCTCCAAAAAGCGAGATATTGCTTTAAGTTCTACAGAAGCACTGAATTCGAGTTCTGGAGACTAGTGAACAAAATGTGAGGTACATTTTTCGGAATAAATATATGGCTTTGAGTTCTACAGAAGCACTGAATTGTTTGTACTTTACAGATAAATTAAAGTAGTCACACTAGGATTTAAAAATTATATTCATAGCAATAATTTATTCAGGTAATGAATGGAAGGCGCTAAAGGACGTGCATAAGTAGTGAAGATTCAATGTATGTAAATAAATGAAAAGATGCAATGTCTGTTTATTAAATAGTACAAGCGATTAGTTGCTAACGTTCTTTTTCTTTTCTCTCAAATTTAGAATTATAGAGAACGGCCATCGTCTTTCCCAAGACCGGCATCCAAGAGGCCACACAGTCAGGCTCGCTCTCAGCAACCGCAACAACAGCAGCAGCAGACACCACAACAACAGAATCAACAACCTCCTCCTCCACCACCACCACCGCAGCCATCTCAACAGTCACATGTGCAACCTCCACCTCCACCTCCACCGCCACCGCCTCAGTAAGAAATATGTGACAACTATGTTTGTGAGTTAACATTGCTTGTGATGTATTGATAAGTACAAAAAAGCTGAAAAGCTCAATGATGGTTCTGTTTGGATTGAATGTCTAGCGGTGAGAACAGATACTGTACACAGAATTACATTATTCTAATTCAGTTTCATTTTACTGCGAATTATATCTAAAGTTCTGTCTTTATTTCACGTCCCTTGTATTAGGCGAAATCAGTTTTTTATATTCAGCACATAGTCAAAGGAATTATTTTTTTTAAAGTTAATTCATTCAGAGCTTTTTACTAGTGCAAATGTTTCAGATTGTTAACAATAACTAATGGGGTTAATCTAAAAAAATTGCATTAGTTACTGAAAAGTTTTCGGTTTTATTAAAAGGTATGATTCGCTTTTATTGACATATTTAAGCCTGTTTTATATTTAGGAACGTGACTAATCCTTTCGTTTGATGTTTTAACAACAAAATGAAGCAAAAACTCTTAATGTTTTTTCAAATATTGAATAAGAATTTTAAAGCTATTTTTAAAAGCACTTATACTCACGTAATTCTGAAATTGAAATAACAGAATTAGAAGTTTTATTAACAGTATCTTTAGGAGTTTTGTTTAATGCTTTGTTACTAAATAATAGAAAGATAATTCCAAACTTTCTTTCTGTGATTTCAATATATTTTAATTCTTCGTCAAAATCTGTGTCTTAGTTAGAGAAAGCAAAGTTAAAAATCATTTAATTAATTTTTAATATTGAAATGAGAGGCAAAAAATGAGTCTAAGTGCATAAAAGATTATAAATTATTCCCTTCTTTTAATAGGAAAATAAAAATTACTAATTTACAGAATCTTTAAACTACAGAATTTAAAGCAATATGAAAGGCTTGCAATTTTCTGTCCTGTGACTTTATCTGTATGATTATGTCATTTACAAGAATGTATTTAATAGGTTTGTCAAAATCTGAATTAAACTTTTGTTTAACTGTTTTCGTACCCCATATGCAAATTTATTTTCATGAAAATCTAGTGTTTGGTGTGTCTGTTCACATCGCTTATTATTGCTGCTTTGTTTAAATAATTAAACTTTTGTGAATGTTAGTTTTGCTTTTCAATTTGATTTCGTTTTTAATTTTTTATTATTTAAGCTTATTTATAAGTAAACAAATCTTCGAACTATTAAGTCCCTCACGCTTGAACTATGATGTTATTTTTCTGTATGCGTTTTCTGTTATTATAATAATGTAAGAATTAAAATGCTAGCACGCATTCTAGAAATAGTAAAGTACTTAACTGTCGTGTAGAGATATGAACATAGAAGCTAAGCACTAACGCATTAATTTAATATGAATAAAAGGATTTCATCTTCATGCGCTTTTTGAAAGACTGTTCTAGTTTGTCAAAGTACTTAAATATTAAATGACATTATTTACAACTTAAGGAATATAGTGTTATATTCGCGGAAAACATTTATTACTTAGTGGAGCAAAAAAGTAAAGTTTGAGTTGAAAATAAGTTTTGATTTTGTTAAACGTAAAATATAATTTTCTTCAGTTACTTAACCATAGAATATTTTTGGTTCTAACCAATAAATTATTAACTTTGATTTTATTTCATAAAATTAATCTGTATGAGTACAATTAAATCGACAATGTCTGTATGTTTTCAATATTTATGAACGTATAGCGTGTTAGGGACCATTTCATGGCAGTTTATCATATTTCAATCTAACACAAATTGTAATGGTTATAATTTATATCAAAATGAAATATGATAAATTCACGTGCATAATTTATAATGGTACATTGTATTACTTATAACAAATGGTTTCAAAATTGTAGTTCTAGTAGAAAAAATTTAATAATATTAACATATGTGTAAAACGTTCTGATAACTAACATGTACTACAAGAAAGATATAGAATCAATGACAAAATATTCTGTAAATAGGAAAGAATTAAATGTATTTTTCAGCATATAAATGTGTACGTTTATATGCACAAATTTATGCATATAAATATTAAAATAAATGTATAAAAATTTATGTTTATGCAAATTCTAAATTTAAGCAGAGATAAGGTTTATTTTTGAGTTAAAACGGAGACTATCTGAATAAAGCAAATTAGAGTTAAATGGAAACTATATGAATAAATTAATAACTATTTTGCTGTCCTGGAAATAAAATAATTGTTTCATTATGCTCATCATTGATATAATTGACAGGAAAAAATATAAAGCTTTAAATGTTTTAGCTGTGTATTAAATTACATATCAATTTCTGTTTCTCTAGACATGCTCTACTTCTTACGTTGTATCTCTTAAACGAAATGTATGCATATTTTATTTTCTGTTTATCCATAGACTTATTTTATATGCAGATGAAGAGTTTGGGCCAAATTTACACTAAATATCTTTAGAGATTTATACATATGATAATAATTTAAACTAGACACCATAAATACTTATATTATTATTGATCTAATTACTATTTCAGGACCATATAAGCCTGAAACAGCTTTTAATTATTTTTAGAACGTTAAGTTTTAAAATGTACAGTACTAAACTTAAAGTGCATTAATACTAATGAAACTAATATTAAAAGAATTTCCATTTATATTTACTACTTGCATGAAGTGGCTATGAAAGCTAATAAAAATCTATGTTCTTAAGTAAACATTTTGTATTGATATTAACTGCGAAATGATTGTATGTCTGTTATAATAATAATTTGCTTGACTAATTATAAGGATTACAAACTTAAAAAATATTTTGCTTCATATTATTCTTTTTTCTTGTGAAAACGGTATGAAAAATAGAATTAAAGAAAGTACCGTGAATTTTCTGTCTTATTATTTATTATGATTGAATTCAAATTTTTTTCTCTAAATGTTTCATTCAAGTATTTTGAAAAAGATTAAGGAAATATTTGGCAATAAAGATTTATTAATAAAAATCTTAATTTACTGTAAGTAAAACATAAGTTACGGTGAAGCAAAAACAAAAATGATATGTTTGAAGTAGTGAATAAATTATTGGTATGTTCTGTCGCATAAATACTATTTACTTAAATTATAAAGATACAATTCTGACTTTGAATTTCTTCCTAAACGAGAAAAAGCGTAAGTAAATACTTTCGAAAGGCTAGAAATTATCATATTTGCAGTTACCTAAGCTTAAAATTTGCTTAGTGTCAAAGAAAATGTTACTGATTTATAAGAATTTATTTCACTAGGAAGGCAATGACTTGTTTTGTGTCATGATTGCCTAAGTCACGTTTTCTTCATAAAATGCATTTTTAGTTTACGAACACCTGAAGCATAATGTATATGTGGATGGACTATGTTAAATTATATTTGTAATTTTCTAAATTCTACACTTCGAATAATGTTATACATATTCATTGCCTTTAACCTTCTGTGCCTTTATTTGATAAAATGATGTCATTTTATTTCGTCTGTGCACTAAAACATACCCTTCTTTGATATTTTGTTAATTTGTTCTCTTACTAAAACCTTTTTAAAGGTTCTTTGCTATTATGAGAAACATACATGAAAAATATAAAATTTATTACTGCCTAAATGTCGCATTATGCGTTAGACAACTGCTACATGTATCGTTTTATCTACTGCTCATATCTTGATTTATGCTTCAGTTATATTATACATATCCATAGAGAAGACACTGTATCTTAAACGTACTATAGCAATAGTTTAACATGATTAACATTGTGTGGTGCCCTGAGAATACTTCGGTATTATTACTTCATGAAATCTCTAATATTTCGCATTAAAAGCCTTTTAGCTGCTCTTAGTCGGGAATAATTTTTGAGTTAACTTACTATATAATTATTTTGAAAGCAATGCTAATACAAAAAATACATACCTGGAAGTTAATAATGTGTATTTCTTGGAACGCATTAAATGGAATTAATGGTCGCATTAAATGGAAGATTTATAAATGAACAATTAAATTAAATGATTAGAAATACTAGTAAAAGGTTATATAAAAGTTCTCAAATTAGATTAAGTTAAATTTTCCACAACGCTAATCCTTTTTTGCATATGATAACGTTTCGTTAACTTTCCATATTAAAATATTAGTATTATAGAAATAAAATACTAGAAAACCTTTTTTTAAAAAATAAAGTAAGTAGTGAAAATATCATGAATAACATTTTATTTACCCACTGAAACCTCTTACAGAATCTAATATGTACTTGAAACCATTTCGTAACTGAACTAATTTTATATATAAATAACTGGAAATTAAATGCATTTTAGGAAATATATGTAAAATATAAAAACAATTTAATGCAATAATTAGTAGTCTATTAAAAGTTTTATGTCTGCTTATCTGTATATATGAAATACTAAATTTTTAACGAAGTTTCATTACGTATTTATTTCTTCAAGAAAATGGAAAATATTTAAAGTTTGTCTCTATATTCGTAAATGTTGCAACATTCGTAGCTAAGGCAATTAAAAATGTATAATCTATCAACTGTATATGGTGCTACAGAGTTAGCCATTTTTTTCAGTTACGGAATTATGTTTCGAATATTTCCAAACTGGTTTGTCAAAACTCACGGCTTAAAATGCACTGGAAAGAATGTGTACTTCATTCGGTATGCACGAATTTATATCTTCTTTTTGTACTTATTTCTAAAGAATTTTGTAATAATATTTGTTACGGCAATGTCTGCATTCTTGAATACTTGAAAGAATTAACTGTTGATAATTGTCGCTATTGTTAAAACAATTTTATATTCATGTTTCGAAGGTGTATGTAAGAATTGTTTCATTGTAGGGAATTAGAATTTTTTCATCAATAAATGTTTATGATTCATGCAATGGCTTTGTTCTGATTCTTTCTAAGTATGTTATTTTGTCAATATTGTGCATTTATTTCCTAATTCATGGTACAATTTGGTATATGCTATGTAGTAAATTACATTTTCATTAATATGTAAAACATTAAACATATTAAGCATTTAAAACCTTTTGTTATGATGATTATATCTGTTTTAAGGAATAAGAAGTTATTATTATCAATTTCTATTAGACTGTTTTCAGCAATAGAGGAATACACCGAATTTATTTGAAAGTAAGACCCCCATTAATTATAAAACTTCATCACATTTTAGCATAAATTTTAAGAAATAAAAATGTAGGTGAATATTTTATGAGAATATGATTCAGATTAAATTTCATTTATTTCTAATTAGAATGAAAGGCCTTATTAAATACATACAATAAATATTTTACAACGGTATAGGAAGAATTTGGAAAAATTAATGATACATTATTATCTATTAGTTTTCAGGCATAACAGTAACCAGAATAGTGGATACTTAAATGCAAGTCACTCACCTAGGTATGACTATTATTATAATTACCAGTACGTATTTTATAGATACAGTAATTACCTGTGTGGTTTACTTATTATTTAAACTGTAATTCTTCTATGTAGTTTGATTATTAAACTATATCCTGTCATTTTACAATTTAATTTATTAAACACCCAGTTATAGAACACTACGAAATTTTAGAAAAAAGTGTAGCAAGGAAATGGGATCTTATTTTCCAGTAAATAAAAAAAAATTAAAATCATAGATTGAACATTTACTTATTTCATTAGAATATGCGTGCTTTTTTTTTTTAAAAAAAGGTGCATCACTGTAAAGAACGCCATCCACTAAATCATTTAAATTAAAACATTCTGCCTTATAAGTGCAAATATGGGGATATTTTGCTTTTATATGTCTCTCTATACAAAATAAGAAATTAAATATTTGTTCAACATATGTATATAAGTATTACAGAATATGATAATGAATGTTAAATATAAAATGGAATACTTTCTTTTCTGACTAAATGCATGAAATTTCCATTTAATATATTAAACGAATGGAAGGAAAAACTTTAAACAAAGAATTTTAGTTCGAAAATTCTCAAATCAGCAAAACTATTGCATTGTAAATGAATTCAAAAACATTTTGATTATAACAGCTGACTGACGTATTCTTCTTTTACTGCGCATAAGAATCGCACAAAGAATCGTGTGGCAGTTGCTATGGCCTACTGGTTATTAGAGTGCTCCATTATTCCTTCCCCATCTACCATTACTCATTGCATGAGTCATGAAAGAGGGGTTGTATTTACAACGAGGGGTTGATTTACTAGATATATTTTTACGGTTGGAAAATTGTGGGATGTGGAATGATACTGTTTTGAAAGTTGAGATTAGCCAGATTTAATTTAATTAAGCCAGATTAGAATTTTATGGCATCATAAATTCATATTTTTATTTTAGAAGATCTTTTATTCCATAAGATATTTGTACTTCATATAATAGCTTTCGATTTCTGCTTTGAACATCTATTTCAAACTGAGTAAACTATCCGAAACATCTAAACATATTATGCTGTTCTATATAAATAAAAGATAAATAGTCTCATTAAGTTGATAGTTTAATTAGCAGTTTATCTTTTAAAACATTTATTTAATTGAATGTTTAGAATTTTTAATATGTATTCACGGGAAATCTAATGCGAAACATTAAATTTCCGGTAAAGCGTGTATGAAGCACTTAAATTTCATTTCTTATATACAAACTTATTACAGAAGTTTGAATGCTAGTACATTTAATTAATCAAGAAATCTGTCTTAGAGTTAATGGAATAATACAGACGTCTAGTTTATTTTTTAAAATTAAATGTATGGTTTTAAATGTAAAAAAAAGTATGGCTTATCCTTTTCCTATATAATATCTTACACCGCATTAATTACAATGCCGAAAGACTCAAAATTGACATATTTCTGATTATTAAATAACTACCATTTGACAATATAATAACAATTTCACAGTGAATTTAAATTTCTCGAAATACTCAATCAGATAAGTACGAGAAATAAGACAAATAAGCAAACCTAGAGCAGATTTCATAAATATAATAAATATAATAATGAGAGAAAAATACAAGCACATAATAGAATTTGTAGGGGAAAACCGTTAGCAGTTTTGAATGCTCTATCGATTTTTTACTGCTGCTTATAAGAATACAATATCAAAAATAACGTACAACTTCAGTTATCGAAATTTACTCTGCTTCCTATTAGAATTTAAAAATACATATTTTTTGTTTTTATAGTTCATGTACTCTGTGCAATGCAAATGACGTAGCTTGATTTTTTGATTCATGAATAATGTGATTTAATAATATATGTTTTAGAATTTATATAGGCTAAAGATTTTACTGTAACATTAAAGGCGCAAAACTGCTTTCCAGTAAAAATACTGGGAAGAAGCAGATATCTTAGTAAAAATGTATCTCAGTAAAATTACATCTTAGTAAAATGGTATCTCTGCGAAAGAAACTTCGTTTATTTTTCTTTCAGAACTATCGGAAACGACCTCCATTTTTAGTCGAATAGGAAACACTTAGAAAGGAGCTCTGCGATAGCTATCAAATGTTAGAAGAAGATGTCGAGATATAATTTATCATTGAAATGAACGTATATTCTGTGATTGGCAAGCCAACGAAGGTTGTTTTATTATAAGGCCCACAAAAATTGCCTACTTGTTGTATTATTAAAGTAAGAAAAATATGCTAATCACTGAACCAAAAAAATCAAACTCAAAATCTCAAGGATGATAATGTCACAGAGAAAACAACGCAAGGGTAAATCCTCACATTAGAAAAGAAAATAAAGAGGAAATATTTCGGTTGGGAAACAAAACGGCATAAAACATTGTGGCAAAAAATCTTTACAGTTTTAAAACATCGTCGTAAGAGCATTCTGGTAAAAGGAAAAAGATTCCTCAAAACGCTGCACTACGTTAATCATTTCCCGTTAATGTCGCAGAATAAGTTTTTAAATTTCCAAATTTTCAAAGGTATGTTCTGTGCCGCAATATGCAGCGATATGTGAGGTATGAGGAGACATGAGTAATATTTTTATCTATATTATTTCCGATTTCATTAATTAGCTAATAATATTTTATTGAAAAATTTACATGACTACTAAATTTAATAATTTGACTACTAAATAACTACTAAATTATATTTAGTAGTTAAATAATTTTAAATTTTCATAAATAACTATTAAGCTAACTATTTTTTAGAGTCCATAAGGTTATTTTTAAGATTGGGGCATGAAATATGTACAATTCCATCGCCGGGACTCACACCTGGACCTCTCGAATACGCGCCGAGTGGGCTACCGTTACACCACTAAGGCATGCAGAAAGGAGGAAGAAAATACGTTATAATTTAATTAACTAAATATTTAATTAAGTTTCATGAATACATACTAGTGATTTTCCATAAAAACATATATGAGGGAAAAAACCTTGTGAAAGGAACATTATTCGTAGTCAAATTACTTGGTTAATCGTCAGATTATAAACACATTTTTTTTCGACGTTATTAGTGTGATATTCTTTAATTAAAACTGCATTTCGTTTTATTTGAGTTCATTTATCTTCTTAAAATACAACGGGAATCGTTTGTTTGTTAGTAGACCCATAGTTACTTTGCCATGATAAAATACGTCACTACCTACCCTTCAAATAACCTTTCACTCCAAGTCAATCAAATAAATTTTTTAAATTATAAATTGCTAAACGAATTCAATTTGCTTTAAATTTTTTTTATAAAGATATTGGTCACTTGTAAACCTAAAATTAAATACCCCAGGGAACAGATCTCCATAAAGCAAACAGATCGTTTATTAAACGTAACATGGTTAAAATAAAAGAAAGGAAAAGAAACAGTCAGCAACTCTGTGCGCCCGACAGGTAAAGCTAGTACTGGGCTTCTCTGGAACAGCAGCAATGTGGCAGCTTGGCTATTTGTAATACCAAGTAATTTGGTCTCGCGTTATGGAGTTAGCTGCAGAGACATATAAAGGAGCCGTTACCAAGAGGCACTTCTCTATCAGGTAACTCCCATGCGGCTCACATCTCAAGAATTGAATTCCTGACGCTTAGGCAAGAGGACACTTACGGCTGCGGCGGCAAGAGGACAGTTACGTGACATGATTGCAGGAAATGGTATTTAACTGCTGAACGGAGAAGGTAAGGAATCATTACACAGCTTGCAGCTTTGCAAGCTAGACGCGGTGGCAGCGGCAAACGGAACGGAAACGGTAAGGAATCTTCTTGCACTTACTTTTGCGAGTGATGGGGAAGACTACTGACATAAGTGAATTTGTTAGAGGGGCAGATTGTAATGGCTCGAAGACTCGAAACGAGTATCTCCTAAATTGCAGGAGTGGTAGGGTTTGTACGATCTGCCTTTGTTAACATTTATACAAAGTGGATAAATAACGGTGAAACGAGCAATAAGTGCCAAGGTGTTGGACTTCCAAACATCATCAAAGGAAAAGGATGTTGGAGACTGTCCCACATGTACAGCAAAATTGGCGCTTGGTGGTACCTCAACTGACAGCTCATACAATGCAGGTCCAAGTACAAGTGTTTCGGAACACACAGTTCAGCGGACACTGTTGGATATGAGACTGCGCAGCTGGCGTCTGCGTCTCACTAGTGTGCCTCTGTTGACCAAGCGTCATTGTCAACTACGCTTACAGTGGGCCGGAGAACATCGAGACTGGGCTATGATAAGTGGAAGACAATTCTCTGGTTGGATGAATCACTATTTCTCATTCATCATGTCGTGGTCGTATTTCTCATTAATCATGTCGTGGTGTGTCAAGGTACGCCGTTTTCCAGGCCAACAGTTGCTTCTCTCTTGTATAGCAGGTCATACACAGGTTGGTGGTGGCGGCATTATGATTTGGAGGATGTTCTTATGGGCGGCTCTGGGACCCGTAGTTGTGGTAGAGCA